TCTGAGACTGTGGAGACATACTGTAATGTTTTTGCTTTAGATGGTTCAGACAGAGAGGGATCTGGAAAAGGGAAAACTGTTCAGGAACTTCAGTTTTCTGAGTTTGAGCTCAGCAAACAGGTGCAGATAATCAGCTGATTTGACCTGGATGGGCAGCAAACGACTGCAGGATCCTGGTTAGGATGCTGCAAAGCCTGGGAACAATGAATTCACACATACAGGACCTGTGCAACCAAACTGGAACTCCTGAAAGGTGCAAGTGCTGATCCATGAACCGAGGATCCCTGGACTTGTGTGAGTAAAATCATCTCAGGACAACTGCACGTCATATTGACTCTGAGTTCAGCCTCATTATGGAGCTAAAAGACAGGGATCACCAGATAAAGATTCACCCTCAGGGGAAAAAACGACCGTCTGTGTGGGTTTAATGTCAGTTTACGCCTGTTGTAGTCCGACTGTGTCATCCACGGTCCTCCTGTTTGTTGTTGCTCCTCTGCTGGTAAATTATGCAGAAAAAAACACACTTTTAGTGTTATGTAACTCAGTGCTGCTCAGTGTATCAACACCGAGCTGGAATTTATCCAGAGAGAAAAACATGATGTTAGATTTATCATCTACTCTTAAATACTATTTACTGCACAGGCGAAAACAAGTGTGACTATACCGCGTCTGTGCAGTGTAGGTCAAATCAAAAAGAAAACAGTTCATTCATAGATTCATAAAACCTGGTTTTTGACTTAAACCCAGAACGGGGTCATAACTTTAGAATAAATTGTTTACATACTGGAGACCAGCTGCGTGTCCTCAAAGTCCCCCACAGCGTCCCCCCTCCACAGTTTACATCCACAGACACACTCGAGCATGACTTATAAAAACATCCTTATCAAAGAAAACAGACAATCAGGGACTCACGGTCAACCCTGACTGGTGTTTTCTGGAGGAGTAATTCTCTGATTACATCAACAAATTAGCCTTTTAATGACTTTAATCTTTAAGATTTACCCTCATTTACTTTGCAGAAACATTAACAAATTGACATGAGTGGTTTTCTTAGAAATGTAATAATATAAAGATTGATTTGGCATTTGTAGGAAAAATGAAAGAGGGTTAAATGAGATTTATTATAGTGATCGACACAAAAGATGACAATGACTTCAATAAAATAGTGAAACAGGCTTAGAGGAGAAAAGACACTCTTCAGACAAGATCTAAATTGACAGATTTTTGCCGCTTGTGCTTCATTTTTAGTGAGACATACAGTAAACATTGCTATCCTGAATTTATTAAGACTTTTTCCCTTAAATAAAATTCTGCACAAAGTCATAGTGAGAGTAAATACTCAGGAAAAGCATGAGTAGGATATAAAACGATATAAGATATGATACAATAGGATATGATATGATACAAAGTAATATGATACGATATGACATGATATGATACTATACGATATGATGCGATACAATACAATGCGATACAGTACGATACGATAGGGTATGATATTATATGATACGATGTAATATGATACAATATATGATACAATGTAATATGATACGATACGATACGATGTGATGTAATATGATACAATGTGATAAGATGTAATATGATATTTTGCGCCACGATATTATACAATATTATATTATATTATATGCTATAATATGATATGATATGAGGATATGATCCGATATGACATGATAGGATACAATATGATATAATATGATACGATATGATACGATGTGATATGATAAGATACAACATGATACCATACAATACAATATGATACGATACAATATGATGCGATATGATACAATGTGATATGATGTGATACAATTCGATTTGAAATGAAATGATACGATACCATTCTATATGATACAATATGAGATGATATATGATTTGATGTTATATGATAAGATACAATATGTACCATACAATACGATATGATACAATTTGATACGATGTGATATGACACAATGTGACATGATACGATACAATACGATACAATACAATATGATACGATATGATGCGATTGTTGGACTTTGCTTCTTCTGCACTTTTACATGGAAGGACGTGTTTCTTTGGCGCAGTGCACACCATTAGTGAGGCAGTTATTTCACTCTGGCACAGCAGGTTACAGTGAATCGAATTAACACCAGCTGTTGTCTGCCATTAAACAACAAATTAAGAAGTTTGGGTGGTAATCATCAGTGAGGAGGTGCAGAGGCTGGACCACAGATTCATTTAAGTGTGACTCTGTCTGTATTTTGTACACAGATGATCACATTTCAAGACTTGACTTTGGCGAGCAGCTGAGTTATACACACATATGGAAGATCGATCTGTTTTCCAAACCATAACTGCAGAAATCTTCAGGGCCCTTTACAGCAGGGTCATATTTCAACAAAAGGAAAAACTATTAGAGTCAAACTGATGAGCAGATTCCCCCCTGCTGTTTTGATCCCCATCGTATCCACCGCAGAGGTCAAACAGATTATTAACTGTTTTATTTTAACCCCCTCAGCCCTGTGGTCATAGCAGCTTACGCTAATCGATGCAGGCTTTTCTCACCCAGTAAAAGAGGCTCTGGGAATATTACATAACACTCCTCCTCCTCTGTTTCTGCACCGCTGCACAGCTGACAGCACCAGGGACCCTGCTGCATACTGCATGACATAACTCTCCACACATCTGACTCCACACTGTCCTCTCTTCATCTCTGCATGTTCTCCTCTCTGTTTTACCCCCCAGCTCTCTCTCTCTCTCTCCCTCTTTTACTCTCTCTCTCTCATACCCAGTGATTCTTATACGAGGCTATTTTTACGCAGAGAAAAGCAGACATACACTCAGTTTATTTATAGGTATTTATTCATCTTCAGCCTCTGTACTGCGGTCCTGGCTCTGTCAGAGTCTCATGCTCGCTGTGATTAATCCACGTCTTGGTCTCTGTCCATTTTGGATGCAGTGTTCCTCATGATATAACTCACATATTCCCCTCCTCTAAATCCCTGCATGATCATCCCCATAGTTACCCATCTTAACGCTCTTAACCCTCGCTTAGAGACTCTCTTGGATGAAACACAAGGTTTAATTTCGACATTTTGCTCAAACCAAGAAGGAGTCATAAATCAGGTTTGATTCTGATCTGGGAGTGAATGATTCAGATGGTTAAAAACCTTGTTTAATAGAATTAGAGCCAAAAGTGTTCACTTTCTCTTTTATTTTCTGATATTTTACCCAGAAACAGAGGAGTGTTTTGCATGAAGAAGACTCAAGGCCTTTAATCTAACATAAAAAAAGTTAAAATTGACAAAACTGTAAGTTATTCGTCTTTGGTTTGTTCGGTTTCACAACTAATTTGTGATTTAAAACCTTAAAACTATGTGGACAAGCAGCTACTTTCAAAGCAAATAAAATAAAGTAGTATCTTCTGCTTTCACAGTCTCTGAAGTGAGGATTTTCCGCTTCGTTGATAGATATTCTGGTTTGTATAAATGGAGCTATCAACTCAACTTTGCTTAAACTAACTCCCTTTAAAAATAGATTTAAATAAAGCAGCACAGCGAAAATGTTTCAGTAAAAATTCAGGGAGACTTTTCTGTCATATGGATAAAATCAGGACTATTATTTCATGTGCAGCGTTGTGTTTCAGAGTCCTCACAGAGTTTTGATTTCAGCCCTGATGGTCGATGTTGATTCGATGATCCAGAGAAATGTCCTGAGCGTTTATCACCTCTATGTTACAACTTATGCAATCAGTGCGGAGCTTTAACACGCCACTGTGTGTGTGTGTGTGTGTGTGTGTGTGTGTGTGTTTCATGGAGCCTCGCCCAGAGCAGCACTTCACTCCTCTCACCCCCATCCCTCCTTAACCACTTCTGTCTGACAGGTTGGCTGCTGAGCCTGAGTCTGAGCATGTGGCGCCCTCTGGTGGCTGTTTGCGAAACATAACTGTCCCATGTGATGCTGGTCTTAAACATGGTGGTAACTTTCCTTTAAGCATTGATTTCAGAGAGGTCAGAGGTCAGGACAGCTGCAAGGACAACACTTTTGAGTTGACAGGGATTCAGCAAGTATGTGTCTCATTCATTTGATAAATTTTTTCTCCTTTCCTCCTGTAACTAAAGTTTAAAGGGATATTCCGGCGTAAAATTAATTTGTGGTCAAACACACCATAACACTGAGTTAGACACCCCCTCAAAAAATGAATGTTCCCGACCGCTTGCTTCTCTAGTTATAACAACTTTAGTAACGACCGCACAATAGCAATACACAGCGGTCTGAGGAGCCATAAACAAACCTCAACCAAAACGCCACTCTATAGCCACAATTAATGCTCAGAACAGCACCTAACTTCATCAACAGGACATATAGAGAACTAGCCACCAAAATAACATTTTAGTTTTGCCTGATTTCTTTAGCAAAGAGACTAAACACAACTCACCTACTCTCTTCCAGCAGCCGCTTGTTTGTAGCGAGACCTCAGGCCAGTCGATCATGGACTACAGCGGGGTGACACAGCTAAAGGAAGAACATTTATGATCATCAGAAGAACTACCGTGTCTGCAGAGCAAAATGATTAATATGGTGATTATTACTTCAAGGAAATGATAAAGAAATTATCATAAATGTTCTTCCTTGAGCTGCGTCACCCTGCTGTAGTCCGTAATGGACTGGCCTGAGGTCTCGCTACAAACAAGCGGCTGCTGGAAGAGAGTAGGTGGGTTGTGTTTAGTCTCTTTGCTAAAGAAATTAGTGAAAGTTAAAAATATGTTTGGTGTCTAGCACTATGGCAAGGACCCTATATATCCTATATGTTTTGGATGAGGTTTGTTTCTGGCTCCATAGACCGCTGTGTATTGCTATCGTGCGGTTGTTACTAAAAATGGTAAAGCTAGAGAAGCAAGCGGTCAGCAACATTCATCTCTCAACGGGGTGTCTCACTCGATGTTACGTTGAGTTTGACTCTAACTTGCCGGAATATCCCTTTTTAAATTTGAGGTGTTATTGGGTTATGGGTTAGGGTTAATCTTTCTTTATTTCAGTGGTTTGACACCATTAGTAACTTTGCTATGACTTGAGTTTAGTGAGATGCACTAGTTTTGAAAATGAGGGCCTCTACTGATAAATTTACAATGAAAAAAGACAAAAAATGCACTTATTAATACCTTAAATTAGGTTGGAATTGTCAGCATATTGGATATAGGCTAGAATACAACACTGTGCATCCCTAACATCCCTTGTTGTGAGTGTATTTCTTGCTAAAGTCTACCTCTAAGTTACTAAAGACAGAAAAAGCTGCTTCGTTATCTTTGTGTTGCAGCGTTGATGTTGCAAAATTACAGCTTACCAGATATTAACCCTCATGGTGACATCTGCAGACTTTATCATATGGGAGTTACACTTTCTCCAGATCCTGCGGTATTGTATATTTTTACCTCACCGCAGTAAGGGTTGGAGTTTGCTTGTTTCCCTCATGCATGAGTGGGTTACCTCTGGCTTCATCCTTCATTCTAAAGACATGCACTTTAGGCCAACTCTCTAAATCACCCATAGGTGTGAGTGTGAGTGCACCTAGTTGTCTGTCTTTAGCCCCACAGTACATTGGCTCCGTAATGAGCTGAAAACCTGTCCAAGGTGTCCTCAGCGTAGGATTGTTTCCACCCCCAGCAGAACAAAAGTTAATGGATGGATGTATTTGTATCTTGGAAACAGATATCTGCTTTTTATACATCCAGGTTGAAACTCCACATTGATGGTTTCTTCCTCAAAAGAAACCCGGTTTTCGTGTAACTGTGGATGTTCGATGAGTCTTCTCCATTTGTCTCAGTTTGAGTCTAAGCCTGTCTTTTAGCGTTATTAAGCAGATTAAAACCCACTTACCATGTCCCCCTCCAGCATGTCATTTGGAAACGCATCAAAGACGCGGAAAGCAACATGGCGTTTTGGCAGAGATTCTCCGTGAAAAGAAACACTTGGCAGTCGAGGAATTTGTTCAGATTTTCCTCCGTTTTCACAGACTCTCCGCCTCTGTGAATGAAAAACAGCAGCTCAAACCCTCCAAATGTAAATGGACCTGACCTCAGGGTGGCTGCGCTCAGTGTGTTAGTGCTGCGCTCACTGCCGATGATGGAGGGCGGACGTGAGCTCGAGCTGAGAGAGGCTCAGTGTTCGCCGCTCACCATGTGAAAGGTCAGCCGATCCCACACTTGGAGAGTCTCTCTGTGGAGGCGGACTGGCGGTCAGAAACCGGCAAACGTGACCGTGGTCTCGTCTCGGTCCTGGTGTGATCTTCTCTGGGAAAACCCCTGAAACCCTCTGACCTGCATCCCATCATCACCAGGGAGACTGAGCATGAGCGAGGAAGCCGGACCTCTGTGGACCTTAGATTCTCAGTTGAAAGACTCTCATTCAGACTCGAACCCTGAACTTCAGTCTGAAAATAACTTCAACAAGAGCTCTGAGCAAAGAGAAACTGAAGTGTTATCTTTGAGTGTCTGAGTCACAAAAGCGATCAAGACTGACTGGAAATATTTATTATTTGTCGACCGCTGTGACGGGGTGGGTGTCAGATAAAGTAACAAACTTCATGTACAGTTTTAAGGTGAATATTATCCGTGAGCGACACTAAAAGGCAGTATGAGATCTTTAAAAAAACAAAATCAGCATAAAAATTAATCTACTTGTCCACAGGGGGGCGCTGAAACCAAAACAAACTGAAAGTTTCTCACTGAAACTTGAATGTCACGTGTTAAAACTCCAGTGAGGAGAACTTTTCAAGATTTAAATTCATATCTCTACCTAAAATATCTATAATTAATGATATATTTGACTGTCAAGAGTCAGCAAGGTGAGAGATTTTGGTCAGAAGAGATTATTTTAGCGTGACAAGAAAAGCAAAGATGAGCCGAGACTGATAATACTGAGTATTATATAAGCGAGGCCACTATGCTAGTGTTAGCCATTGAAAACGTCACTTTTCTCTTTACTCAGCTTCTCTGTACGACTTTATTAATTCAAATATACCATAAAATTATGTTATCAAAATTTGTAATAAGTTTTAATTTACTTTTATTTTTTAAAATCATGGATATGAATGCTTGTTCTTCTTTAGCTCTGTTTTTGGGCACCTTTGCTGCTAAATAAACTTAAAAAATCAGTGACTACCAGTAAGATAGGAAACACAAACATTTATACTTAAAACAGCAGACAGTATAGAGCTGGTTTGAACACAAATAAATTAAGATTGACATGAGGAAAATATGACTTGTTTGTTACATTGACGATTGTCGAAGTGTAACTTACTGTGATGGACTGAATTTCTTGTCAGTAATGTTATTTCTCATTAAGGCCGTTACTAAGCTCTCCATAATGTCAGTGAAGGCATCACTCTGAGAATGGGGAGAATAACCTGTGTGTGCGTGTACGAGTTACAGAGTTGTTGTCGTGAAATTAAGAAAGATAAGTTGTAAACATGTTACCTGTCGCATTTGTGCAGAACCATAGACTGAATATAGAATGGACAGTCTGCCTCCTCGCTGGGTGAAGCCACCGCGAGAACAGCACCCTCTGGTGACGGGCTGCAGTATAGGTCATAAATCCTGCCTCCTCCAGCAATCCCTATGGAGCTGTAGACAAACTTTAGAAATTTATTACACAGAATATAAATGTTTCTCCCCCCTGCTTGCGATGTTGACATGTAGTTACTGTAAGACTGGTTTGTGCTCAAGTCCTCTTTTTTCTGTACAGCTCCGGTTTTAAAAGTTATTAGGGGGTTCATGTTTTCTATGATTGACACTTGATACAGCCTATGGGGGTACGAAGATTGCGTAGCTCACCCAGGGTTACGCTGTTTGAGCCGAGCGTCATCACAGCAACTCTGCGACTCTCCTGTCACATGCGCACAATGCTACAGCGCAATGTTGGTTTCAGGAAATGAAGAAAAACACAGAATTACAGAGAGCTTTTCGGCTTCAAATCCGTATACAGGTGGAAGGTGGAACCAAGTTGTCCATAGTATATACAGTCTATGGTTCATACACTGCTAACCCAGCATGTCTTTCTGTCTCTATTATTACAGCTAATTTATTCACGATGTTTGAGGCAGCAGTCGATAAAACGCTTCCTTTGTATTTTTCACCAGTTCGTGACTTTTGCTTACTTGTCCTTTAACTGTATCTTTCCTTTCCTCAGCATCTGAAGTGTAAACGCTTGATTTAACTTTATCTCTCACTGAAACTATCCCGTATCTGCAAGATTGCACGTTTGATTCCCGCAGCAGCCATGTGTCTTATCAGAGTGCCCTTGTGCGAGAGACACCTTGCTCCGGATGAGAGCATCAGCTGAAATTTTAATGCCCCTCTTACAGCAGAGAGTCAGTTTGTGGTCCATGAAATGTTTTTATCTGCCGTCCCCTGACGATAAACTGTACGTTTTCTGAAAATAACCAGAGAGAGAGAGCGTTTGGAAACTTTCAGCTGATCGCGATCACCTTGAGAAGAGGTTCTCACGTGTTCCCCGGAGAGCAGCAAGACTCAGGAATAACCAGAAAAGGCATCAAGATTCAGTGTTCGAGACACACTGTCTTTATTTTACAGTGAGAATACAAATTCAAAACACAACCATCCATGGAGCATTCACACAGATTATTATTTTTTTCCTGTCTTAGTGTGCTTTTTGTACAAGCGCGTCTCAGAGGAGAAACAGCAAAAAAGCCTGTCACAATCAATGCAGTTAAAGGCGACTTAAGAAAACGTATCTGGAAAATAACAGCAATGCAGAACCCCCTTTTTCTCTCGCTGAACACATTCCTGTCATTCGCAGAAAGAAAGGCAAAACAGTGAAAAACGAAGAGACATGAAAACATAAAAAGTGCACGACAGAAAGAGGGATTCAGCTCAACAAGGAAGATCATTTTTATCTTAATTTGCAGCCTCCGTTCCTTTTTAAAGTGGGTTCTCTGAAATCAGCAGGATGTTGCACCAGCTGAACTTGAGCTCAAACATATTCAGATTTGGTACAATGAGTTTTTTCCCACGATAAAGACGTGTGGAATACAAACGCTGCATATATTAAGATTGGTCAAAACCTTCTAAAAGCAGTAATGAACTCTTGACAATCAACATCAGAACAAATCCAGAAAAAGTAGTTTGTGATTTTCAACCTCTGTCTCTTGACACTGTGGCAAAAAAAGTTCCTTTTGTTGGGAAACGATGACGAAAACTGTCAGCCGCTTGTGGACCTACTGGACTCAAACTTTGGGACGGAGAAAAGTGGATTCCTTTGGTTTAGAAAACATTAAAATCAAGAAGTACAGGTGCCAATAAAGATGTTACAGGGATTCATTAGAAACCAACGCGTAATGACAAAGTTCAGATGTAATCCTCCAAGATGGCCGAGTTTAGAAAACTGGATTATACTGTAATGCAGAACAAGTACTACAGCCTCGCTCTGATTGGTTCACATTGAGGTTTGAACACCTAATAATGCACACCTGGTCTCACAGGTGAACCTCAGAGTTGCCTCTTTTAAATAACTTAATCACTCAGAGTCCATTTTGTTGTGGTTGGAAAAAGTGTTTTCTCTTATTTAAAAATAATCCAATTGTCCGATTCTTGAAAATTCAGATCTTAAATTTTCCTTTTCCAACCATAAACTTCATCCTCTCCCATCAAGTCCAAATCCTTTCTGTTCCCTCTAAAGTATTATAATCTCACCTTACTGAAATAAACTTTGGCGCCATAATAAGTAAAGAAAACAAACATTATTCATCGACTACGCTCACACTAAAGGAAGGAGAATCAAACCTGATATCATCAGGACACTCAGTGTTTGTTTTCCAGTGTGAATGCTTCGTCCTTTAAAGGGCTTATAGACGTCAAACAGCTGCCTTCCAATACCCACCGGACCTGAAACTCTCCACTAATGGACTCCAGTGCCACCAAGTTCAGATATTCAAGACGACCTGGAGCTGCTTTTAGTGTTTTAGTCCTGTGTGTGTGTTCAGGGAAACAGAGCATCTTAGTGGAGAGGACTGTGAATACAGACCGGAGGGACATGTACGCCAGGTTATTTAAGCGTAAGGTGCTTCGATTTTTAAATTTTGCATTATTATTTAAACCTCTGTATTAATCCAGTGACATTTTAAACCCTATCCAAGACAGATTTTTTTAAAACAGGTTCAAAGAAGACTGGATTAACAGTTTAGGAGCTTTTATCACTGTGTTAAATCTGAGCGAAACAATAAATCCATTATCTTAATAAGCTCTCTGTGTGTCAAAAGATTGATATATCTTAATCCTGTGAGTCACAGAGATTCATCTTGGTCTCAAAACGATTAAAATCAAACCCATCAAATGAGTCAGTTAATATGTTTACATGCACACGACTTCAAAACGATCATTCAGATTATAAAACAGGTTAAATCGAACAGGTTTCCCATTTATGACAAAATTGAAGTGAAGGGAGAATGACTGCTTTCCATCAATATTATCAAAGCCCACCAATATTGATCACCCTGTTGGTGCTAACTTTGAAGTGGAAGTAAAATTTAACTTCCTGGCAATTAGGAAAACACAGCCACAACAACTATTTATGCAAATGTATCTATAACTCTTTTAAATGATCTTAATAGGTGTGTTTTCAAAAACTCATCTTCCATAATATTCAGGAACTGAAGTCAGAAGAGTTTACGGTCTAATTCAGCTCCTAAAAAGCAGGTTTAACTTTGCAGTAAAAGTTAACATGGTTGTTAATGGGAAGTCGTGGCCTTTTGGGGTCAGCCTCTAGTGGACAAAAGAGGAACTGCAGTTTTTTTTGTGTTTTTTTTTGCACTTTTCACAGGAGGTTCCTGCTCGATATAAAGATTTTTACTTATTCACCAGTTAATCTCAGATGGAAATAATCTGATGCACTACTGATGCACTTTTTACTTATTTGAGAGTTGTAAAATAAAAGCTACAGATTCTGGCTGTAAAATGACAACAGGGTTTTTTTTTTGTTTGAAATAATCCAGATTTAACTGAAGTCATATTCTAAGTGCATCAAGCTAAAATATGTCCAAATTATGACCTGCAGAGTTCGCTGATTTCAGTGTCAGGCGTATGCAGCTGACAGTATTATTTGTGCTTGTTACATAAACCCATTTAGGAGAATATTGTCATTTTCAGAACAGGGATAAAACAGAGAGTTCGGTCCATGTAAACATATCCACTGTTGGACCAGATGACTCTTTCTATCAATCTGCAGATGGAAGTAATCCTCACAAATGCTCCTGACGTTCATAAATCTACAGTTTTTACAGCCTTTATATTTAAAAGCTTTGAGGTTTTTTTAAAGAGACGTGTAGTTTTGGTCTTTTAGAGAGAAAAACAATTTGAAAAACAAGAAAATTTCTGCGTTTTTATATTTAAATGTTGCTTTATGATGGTTCCTAGTCCTACAGATCAGTCATTAACAAACATTCACACTCATGCACGGACTACTCGTTTTCATAAAAATAAGTAAGCGTTATTTTTGGAGCTAGAAAATCAATTTGTCCTCCTATTGATCACATACAGCTACAGAAATCTGTCAAAACACTGCTGTCAGTTCAAGCTCTCCGAAGTGAAACTGGTTTGTGACTTTACGCTGTATGTTCACGAGGCGCACAAGTAAAAAGCTGTGACTCCCGGACGGATTACTCGCACAATCTCGCCGGCATGGACGACAACAAACAGCCTCCACATTTTTAGAAACGTTTACCTCGCTGCCTACCTCCTTCGAAGTTTGAACCACAGTATAAATCTGTAGGGTTGCCAGGACGCCCACCCCTGAAGGCGTGGATAATACTGAATAAAAAGTGGCTTTGAGAGACTTCAAACAAAGATGCAGAAAAAGATCTAAGTAACATTTCTTTATATAGTGTAAAACTTTTTGATAAATTATTCAGATGAACGTTTCAAAAGCAAGCAATGTACAGAAATGCAGCGAACTGCGAGGATCAAATGTACAATATTTATATGTCTAATACTGCATACAAAAAGAGCACGAGAACTTAAGGTGTGTCCGGGTTGGTTTGGTCTGAGAGAGCATAAGGTTCACTGTGAGAAAGCATCTGTAGCAACAGCAGCCAGGCAGGCAGGCAGGCAGGCTGACAATGTTTAATGAACGCTGTTTAATCTAATCTCCTCCCGCATGACTCAGCTCCGTACCCAGGAGGCCGAGCTGCAGGCTACCAGCCAGAAAAAAAAGCCTCCAGCAGCAGCTTAATGCACACGAAAAAAGGGTCCGAAGGGAGTTCGTCGGATTTTGTGTTTTGTGCGTCCAAAAAGCGGTGACACGCAGGACGACTGTCAGAGAAGCTGCGACGAGTGACAAAGATCACAGCTATTCGGACATTTGACCCTTAAATTTTGTGTTCACACTGCAAAGAGGAGAAAGAAGGGAAGACGATGAAAATCAAAGGAGAAGCGTTGTCAGCCTTGGATATCATCAGCTGTCTGCCACAATCAGACGAGATCAAAAGCTTCAGTTTTTCATCCTTAAGGAGTTTCTTTACGCCAAATATCGAACATTAAGATCCATTTAGTCGTTGATTTTTCGCTGATGACACGGTTTACTTCGGCAGTTGTTGCTTGGATGGTTTTCAAAGCACTTTAGGACTTTTTAATCAAGACTGCAGCAGTTAAAACGTTTGAGAAAGTATCATCTTTGCTGCCATACTTGGTGAATTGGTGATGAGTTATTATTCATTTTTTTAATCTGTAGTGACTGATATTTCAGTCACTTTAGGGCACTGCTGTGAACAACAAATGAACAATAGGCGTACTGTCACTTTAAGAGTTGATATGGAAGATCAAATAGGAAATACAGTGATTCCTAAACTTTCAACGAGCAGGGGTGTGTCAGAGGGGTGGCACTGGCCCTTGGCATCTGTTTGGCCACCCCTTGGGCCAAACCACTTCAATCAAGAATCTGACCACCAGAAATAAATATCCCCATTTCTACGTACTGTACCTTTTAAAAATTCCATATTAGAAGATTTACACATGTGAAGCAAATTTGCTGTTTCTTTTTACGGTACTATAAATAAACATAGGAGTGTAACAAATGTATTGTACTTCAACATGAATATAGTCGAAGACGGAGGGGATAATTGCCACACCTACTCCGGCCACCCCTCCCAATGTTGGCGCCTGAATTAGGCCACCCCCCCTCCAAAAAGCCAGAACACGCCCCTGCCCCCAAGAGGTTCTAATGGGGGTTGCAGCAGGGCTTCGTAAAATCAATGTCCACTGTTTTGTACATCTACTGTTTCACTTCAAATGTCTTGAATTACAAAATCAGTTTGTTGGTTTTTTCAATTTCAATTTTTCAACTTTGTAATTTTGCGCAGACGTCAGTTTAAACACAAAACACACTGAGTTTTAAGTGTATATAGAGAAGGAGACCCTGCAGGAAAAGTTTGGGAACCACTGAGTTGACAGATGCCCTTATTTGGAATCACGTCATATCGTTTTTAGCTCCTTTTTTGGTCTCCACCGACTCACTGCAGTAACATCTAGCTCTAATTGCTCTAATTGTTCTCCAGCTAGTCCCCAGCAGCAGTAGTGTTGGCTCATGACGTTGGTTAGATTCGAGTTGAGCTGCCACATGAAAACTAAATAAGCTGAAAGAGGCTAAAATGCTCCATAGATGAGTCGTCATTCGCTTCAAGTTTTGAGATCCTCTGTCGGAGTATAAACATTGTTTTTGGAGTTTTTCAGAATTCTTATAAAAATTGGGAGTTAGTTAAAATTTGGGAGAAGTCTCTCTGCTGGTAAAGATCGTAAGATTTGATTGAAAGCTTAGAAACAATTCGGAAAAAGGATGGTGTTGTCGTTTTTGTAGCTGCTGTCTCCAAGGTCAAAACTGAACTCTGTGATTCAGAATCATCTGCAGAAATTATCATCTCAGATTCCTTCTCTCTCCAAGACGACTTCATTTATTTGTTTATACATAATATCGCTGTGATGCGTCTAAATCTGCTTATTATTCAGTTTGAACTTTGAATTTTGGGATTCGGTTGTCGAGCTGCACTTAAGAGCCCGATGATGGAGGCTGTTTGCAGTGTGAAAGCACATGGTGACTAATTCTTATTGCCTGCAGCACGGGTTACTATCCTTTTGTGACCAGCTTAGGTTTTCATTGAGGGAATAAACACTGATTTGAAAATTTCAGACAAGTAGTGCAAATTTCTAGTGGCGATAACGGCCAAGGTGCTCTCCATAAACACATTCAGTGCTCTGGCATGGATACATATCAGAAAAAAAGCGGCTGCTCTGCTCTTCTTATCAGTCGCTGCGTGACACAAACCACCTCAAAGGGAAGGGTGAAAATAAAGGCACAGAGATTTGGACTTCTCTCACAGTCTTTTCCCTCCCTCCCACTGTCTGGAGCAGCAGCAGCAGCAGCAGCAGCAGCTCGGAGAAGTTTCTAGAAGGCTCAGTCGGCCTTGATCACCGTCAATACTCTCCACTGCACAGGACTCAACTGTGGCCCCGTTGTCTTCAGCCTTGATGTGTCAATCCAGAGGATATCGCCGCCTCCCTTCCTCTTCCTCTTACTCTCTCGCTCTCCAGGGACCTCTCAGAGTCACACTCAGGAGAAAGCAAGTGGGTAGAAATAAAAAGCAGCAGCAACAGCAACAAAAAAAATTAAATTCCTCCTCTTCTCTGTCTCTGAATTCAGACCTGATCCATTTATAGCCTCACGCGATCGCACAACGTCACAACAAACATTTGAAGCACATTACAGACTAACAGCTACACAAGCAGCAAAGAGGGGAAGGTACTTTTATCTCTCAAACATCCTGCTCTCTCTCAAACATCCTGTTCACAGATGACAGGCCGCCACACAAGATTATATTCCTGCACTGATTTTTCTTTTCCTGCCCTCTTTATTGATGCGTCGTCTACGTTTCTTTTTTCGACCGTCTGCCTGCGACAGCTGCAGTTTGCAGGGTTTTGGGAGGACTCTGCCACACTCCTGTAAACTGGAGCGCTACCAGAATCATGGACCAAATGTAGAGGGGGATAAACCGAGTGGCACAGGGGCGGAGGGTGACCTTACACCATGGCTGCAAACTCCCACTGATCCGTCTCTAATTACATCTCTGTTTAAACACAGATTTCCTACAGTCAACAGCAGCAGCAGCAGTGGAAACAGCTCAGCTCTGGCTCTGAGGTTTCACCTCTCTGATGCTCCAAAAACAAAAAAACCCTCTCAGTTTTTCAAAGCTAATTTCACAGCAGGGGGAATTTATTCGTAATCTTCATTTTTTTAGATTTAAAACATTCAGGAGAGGATAAGGACCATTGGAAATTTTTCATGGTCTCTTTTCCTCTAAATTCTGAGTTTAAGGCCATTATCATTATTTTTCAGACAAATCTCAGAATTCAAACTCTAAACTGAATTCTCAGGGGAAAACAAAACTCTAAAAAGTTTTTCAGTCAAGCCGTAAGAAATGGTCGCTGAAAAGACTTTAATTTCAGAATTCTAAAGAAAAAAGTCTCAGGTGTACTCTAAAAAAAATCTGATTCTGTGATTTAAACCAAAATTCTAAAGAAGCCCAAAGCCAGAATTTTCATGAATCAAAGTTTGGATTAAGACCTCCGACAGAACTAAGTTTTGAGACAAAGTCAGAATCATTAGAAAAAAGTCTGATAACTTAAACTGATCTCAAATATCAAAGTTTCAAGTCAGAATTCTGAGATAAAAGTCAGGATACTGTGTTTCTAACCAAAATTCTGAAATTTATCCAAGATTTTTTTAAAAGTCAGAATCCAGTGAAAAAGTCAGAAATCTGTAATTAATCTTATATTTCTCAGATACGTCAGAAACTTATAACAAAAAGTCAGGATTCTGTGATCTAAACTAGAACTGTAAAAATTGGGGGAAAAAAAAACTGCAAGTCTTAAATCAAAATTCAGGAATAAATCCGGATAAAGGATTCCCAGATCCCATAATTTAAAGAAACATTCTGAGTCCAGAAAAAGTAAAATATCTGAACTTACTCTCAGATTTCTGAATATAGAGTCATAATTTTGAGGTTCAAAATTAGGAAAAAGTCAGAATTTTTGGAAAACCAGAGGGAGGGCAAAGAATTTTTGATTCAAACTCAGAATTCAGGATTAAAGTCAGACTTGTAAGAAAAAATTCTGAATTCTTAGATTTTTTCAGAATTTTTGATTTCATTCCAGAATTCTGAAATCAAAGTTGATCAAAGTTAAAATGTAACTTTTGTAAAAAAAGAAAAAATTCTGAAATTTCTGACATAATTTTGGATTTAGTTCCAGAATTTCTGAGATCAAAGTCAAAACTGTAAAGTTCAAATGTAACTTCTCTAAAAAAAGAAAAAATTCTGAGAGAAATGTCAGAATTCTGACCTTGATCCTAAAATTAAAGTGAAAATTGGAAAAAAAAGTCTGATTTCTTAAGTGTGACTACGACAAAAAAGAATTTTGAGTCTCGATCTGAATTCTTAAATGTCAAAATAAAATAATTCTGATAACAAAGTCAGAATTTAAAGAAAAACTTCAGACCTGAAAAGAAAAGATCTAACTGGTCCCTCTCCCTCTCTGTACAAATTTAATCAGACTACCATTGATTTAATCTGCAGCAAAAAAAGAGCGAGAATATTCTTCAATTTTGAAATTTGATTAAAACCAACAGGTTTCACGTTCTGGGCTGAGTCCTGGTCTCGTAGTAGCCCTGGACTCTTTCTATTTAGGTCACTGAATTTAATCACACATCTGCTCTATCAACTTGTTAAATCAGGCCAGACGGGGAAGCAACTGTGAAGCAATCCATCGCATTCAGGGAATTAGTCAATATCAAGTGCAGTCTGGAGGAAACAGCTACGATAACAGGCATTATTTAGTGCTTTGGCAGCAGCAGGCTTCGACAACCACGCACACCAAACATGACAACAACCGACGACATCTCACTCACACACACACACATACGCACGCACACTAACTCACACATTCAGGAGTTTCACCCAAAATAAGAAAGTGTTCCACAAAGAGAGTTCTGTGTCGCAGGGTCGGCCACATCTACCACAGAGAGACGAAATAAAAGAGCTGCTGCAGTGCATTCTGGGGATTTGAGTCAGTATTTACAGCCCATGGAATGATAATGTTCCAGTTTTGACTTCTTTTTTATTTACACTCATTATCATCCTCCATTATCGCTCCCGTCAGTTCTGCAGCGGTGTTTGAATCGGGCGCCCTCGCCCAGCATCAAGGCTTCCTTCCAGTGTTTTCCTTTCTCACGGATCAATACTCCCACTCGTCCGTCTTCATGTCCAGGTAGTTGAGAATGTTCTGGGCAAACTTCACCGCCTGCTTCCTCGCCACTTTGGTGGTCTCGTCGCCCTGCGGGTCCACAGCGTCCAGCGCCAGCAGCTGCTTGGTCAGCAGCTCCTCCAGCATCATGTAGCTCTTATCAACCCGCTTCCCATCGAAGCCCAGCACCTGTGCCTGGAGGTCCGACAGGCTCCCCAGGACCAGCCACACGGCCCGATGTGAGGGGTGCTCACCGGGGCCCGGTTGGCGGCAGACAAGCGCCTCACGAAGGTCGAGGAAGGTGATGATAGCTTGGACTTCGACCACAGCGCGGCGGCGGGCCTCTCTGATGCACGGGTTCTTGGCCGTGTCCACCTGGTCCAAGTGGGTGAGGAGGCTCTGCAGCTCGGCTTTGGGTCTGAAGCTCATATCGCCTATCATGCAGTGCCGCAGGACGCCCTCTCGTAGGTGGGAGACGTGAGCTCGCACCGCCTCGATCTCACGGATGGAGTTGTTCTGAGCCAAGTCATATCTGCAGAGACAAACACAAAATCAGCGCTCTGAAAACCGAAGGATGAACTTCAGCTAACAAGGCAACCAGATTACCCACAATGCAACTACACAGTGTTGGACAATTGTTCTAGCAGCAGCTTATTTAGCCTCATGTAATGTAATGCAGGTCTGGTTAAGCCTCCGTCATTCAAACCTCAAAGTCATACGTAATTTCTTTACTCTCAAACATGTGGTATTTAGTCTCATTTGAAAACAATTAATAACACAGCGTCCTCCTAAACCACAAAGACCAACAGTATTCGGCCTCATTTGATAAACACACTAACAAAATGTCCTTCTAAACCACAAAGACCAACACATCATACATTGTCGAATCATATTAAATTTAAATGTAAAATTTCAACAATACCACATAATTAGTAAAAGAGGAAAGTGTGCACTTAAGCTCTTCTAATGTTAGCTACACTCTGTAAATGAATGAAGATATTGTTTAAACCTAGCTTAGCCTTGTCCGGTAAATCATGTCCGACGCTGATGTTTCCCAATTACTCAATTTTTCGGACTACAAGGCGCACTTAAAATTAACAGTGCGCCTTATATTCCAGCGCGCCTTATGTCTGATAACTTGTCGTGCTTGCTGACTGATTTTGTGTAGCACAATGCGCTCAAAAATCTGTCAAAATGTGTTGGTATGACTTTGGTAAGCAATGAAGCCGCTCCGCTCAATGGATATTTGGAGGATCGTGGTACGCTGTGTCACCACCCGATCGTTCCCGTAACAGGACCCCTGAGGAGTGCACAAGACTGCCTCACTGTAATGTCTAAACTAAAAGTGCATCCATGTAAAGCAACCTGGGCCCGGAATACACGCGAGCAACAATAAACCAATTAATGCTTAATGCGCCTTACAATCTGGTGTGCCTAATGTGTGAACATAGACACGTTAATTCACAGTGTGCCGTATAATTCGGTGCTCCTTATCGCCTGAAAAATATGGTATTTTTTATAATAAACTTGTTGCTTAGTTGAAATTTCTCTTTGGATAACTAATAAATTGGTCATTTTGGCAAATACTGAGTGCCAACTATATAAATGCATAGACATTTTTAAATGTCATATTTGATCCATGGTGTGCTTAGAGGAGTCAGTCTTTAAGTTTTGTTCATCTTCTCTAATATTTGTTTCAATTCAGACTCCATCAGAGAAAGTAATCTTTTTTATTCTGGCTGGTCTGACAATTCAGAGCACAATAATATCAAAATGCTGACATCTCCACTGTGGTTAAATGTGACATATACTTTCTATTTCACCCCGATTGTAGGAGCCAAAATATATTTGTCGAGGCTATGATTTCTAATCGGTATGTCACTTCTGGGGATCGACACTGAGGGGTGTGGTTTTGGGATGTTTGGCTGGTTATTTAATAACACTCGTGTAGTCAGAGATGATGGGTTTTAGTGAGCTCTGATAATTTTCTGTTTTCATCATATCACTTTTCATTTGAAGGCAAACGTTTGGACCTGGATTAGTATTAGACTGTAACTTTTCTTTCCTTTTTGAGCAATAAATCACCTTTAACACTCAACTGGACTGATGAATTAATGAGTCACAGATGCAAGCGCACCTCAACCCCAGTCGCTACACCGATATTTTCCTAAACATAAAACAAATCTCTTGTTGGCTGTAAATCAAGCCTCAAAACTAGGAGCCCAAATGAGACCATGTGAGTGGTCCTTGAATCAATACTCATGTCTGCTTATACATGATGAAGTATGAGGGGGGCGTTTTAGTGTGATCAGTTTTTTCCTCTAGTGAGTGGGGTCTAAATCACTCCTGACAGTGAAGCATGATTCAGACTTCAACAATAATACTCGGTTCTCCTCCGAAGCTGCGGATGAAAAGCAGAACCGCCTGGAAAGTTGAATATTTCCTGATCTGAGAATCTGGTCAAGAGCTTTAACAATCAATCTGTTTACACAAAATTAATAACCCGCGTGCATGTACCTGCGTGTGTCCTCTCCCTCCCCCTCCAGGTCCAGATGTTTCAGCAGCCCGTTTATCTCCTCCACCACCTGTTTCCTGTAATTCCTGATCGCCGCATTCCCGGAAACGTCCAGAGCGTCCAGCTCCACCTGCATCTCCGTCAGGATCCGGGACAAGTGGGCGCAGCTGTCTCTCCCGCTCAGCCCCATGAGCAGAGCGACCAGCTGACTGCGTGCCACGCTCACCTTCACCATCACCTGGTTGATTCGGTTCACCGCCTCATGAGTCTCCCCAGACAGCGGCAGAGAAAGGGTCTGCTGCTGCGTGCGGCCTTCGAGGACATCCTGTACGGCGCAGAGGCGTGTCAGCGCTCGGTAACGCGCCTTGCGAAGCGGCACCCTCCCCTCGGTCTTGACCTGGGTGAGCCTCAGCACGAGCTCCTGCAGGGCGTCCACCAGCTCGTCGTTTATCTCAGCGACCCCGCCTGAACGTTGAGGCGCCACCACACGCTCGTCCACCAGCTGCCGCGCATGGGTGCTCAACTCCTCGATGGCAAGACGTGACGGATGACTGGCGTTCTCCTCCAAGTAGCGCAGGAGGCCCTCCACTTCCTGCGCCGCCCTCTTTCTGGCGCCTTGCAGCTCCGGTTTGCCCTCCGTGTCCACCTGGTCCACCTCCAGCAGCAGCCGCGTCAGCTCTCGCTCCAGCCGTTTGTAGTCTCGATCGTTCTGCATCCCGCTGAAGGTGCACACCTGAGGCCCCAGAGACGCCACTTCCTTCTGCACCTCGTACAGCCGCATCATAGCAGGGTGCTGCGGGTGATACGGCTGGTGCTGCTGCTCCATCGGGTGTTGCTGCTGCTGCTGCGGGACGCCATGGTCCATCCTCTTCCCTCCATCAAAGGGCTTCCCGAACAGGCTGGAAGAAAAAAGGCGGCATGAAAGTCAAATCAGAACAATGAGAAACAATTCAGAGCAGGCGGGAACAGATCCTCAGCAGAGCTCGCATTGTTGTCTACGGGACAGAACGGGGTGGAGGACTTCAAAAGTATCTTTTCAGACGCTCACTGGTTGAATAGGACCCCCGACTAATGTCTGGATCTCCTCCAGAGCAGCTGGCAAAAAGACAAACTCTACAACCTCAGGCACACACACGGAAATCACCACCAACTAATCAGCCGATCTGTGTCTGAATCACCTGGAAAAGAAAGTTTGACTTCTTTCTCTCGACATCTGCAGCAGGAATAATCTCATCCACACACTGACAGTACATTACAGTCATAAAATATGCCCCTTTTGGTATAAAACAATGGCTGTTGTGTTGCACGGTCGCCCACAGGCACACACAGAAAAATCACGGGCAGAAATTCATCCGAGCGTACAGAGCTGTATCTCCCATTTGCAGTCCATTCTGCCGAGCTCGACGTGTCGGAGGAGACGCCTTGAGGGCTGAAGAGTCATTAAACATGAAAATAATCCATTTTTACGTGTGAGCGATCCTGACGCTCCACTACTCTGCTGTCACTTACTAACTGGTTTCTGGGATTGTTACCAGCTTTGTCTAACGAGATCCGTCGTTTCATTTGGAGAACTGAACCTCCATTTTTCTTTTTCTTTCTTGGACGACTTTTGTCAAACTTTCCCAGGAGTCTGAACAGAATCCAACAAAAGGTTCCTGAATCTCAGACTAATATCTACATAACAAAACCTTCTCAGGGATCATAAACTTTGACTAAGATCCTTTCTTGCACGAGTCGTGTTTAGCAGTTGGAATCACTAGTGGCCACATGATATGATGTTATCACGATACTTGGGTCACGATACGATATTATTGCGATTTTTAACATTTTGCAATACAGTGAGCATTGTGATACAAAATATTGCGATTTATATAATTTTTTCAACTTCTAAGCTAATTTAGCTTAACAGTTTAGCATAGCTTAGCATTTGTCTTTCCTGTATGTTTCTCCTATGGTTTGGGGCGGCAGTAGCTCAGGAGGTAGAGCGGTCGTCCAGCAACTGGAAGGTTGGCGTTTCGATTCCCCCCTATCCCAAGCCTGTTCGTTGTGTCCTTAGGCAAGACACTTAACCCACCTTGCTCCCAGTGTGTGTCCTCCACTGGTGTGTGATTGTGAGTGTTGTGTGATGGTGGTCGGAGAGGCGGTGTTTTGGTTTCCATCTCTATTCTGTTTTGAACTGAAAATACAAAAACAAACACTAATCTTTTATTTTTTGGTTATATAGAAAAACAAATAAACAAAATATCAACTCGTTTTTTTTTGTTTTTCGTTTACTAGACTGAATGGAATAACTGAATGGATGGATAATACACAGACCCTGGACCATTGGTTTATTTTTTTCCCCATTATCATAGATTTGACTTCGTATGAGCAGTTAATTTGAAAAATCGATTCTTGGTAAATGTGACGATACGATATATCACCAGGCAAACTATCCCTAACTATGCTGTCTCGATTTTTTTCTCCCACCCCTAGTCGTGTTCACCTCAGTTTGATTTAAGGGTCTTCCTCACCCTGTCAGGATTCTGATTCGTCTAACCACCTGTTCACTGCGCATCATCCTTTACAAACAAACGAGGAGTTTGTTGTCAGAGAAAAAGCTCCTCTTGGTTCTTTTTTCGCGGCGTTGGACCTCGAGCAAACAATGTCCAAAGCTGCAAAGTTTGCCTGACTTCAGTGACAAATAAAAGCAGCAGCAGCACGACTGAGTTATTTATGCATCACAGACAGAAGCATGCAGGCGAGTGGGAGACGTTTGAGGCACAGAGAGCTGTTCGAGACCACAGCGAACCAGAAAACACTAACATATGCAGCATGAAAAATGATTTTATTTCGAGTTCATATCACCCAGTCCTACTTTTCTAAAGTTTAAAACGTTCTAGTTTTTGTCAAGAGTTGGAAAAGTGAAAATTTCTCAGCAGTTTTATCCCACAGTTTGTACTGGATTCAAAGTATATTCTACTCATTATATATCTATTTATGCTATAAGATCAAAAAAGCAGTAGGACTTCCTCTGAATATCCAGTTCTTCATCATCATAAAGGTGTTAAATTAACCAGTAATACCTCACCAAGAGCCTCACCTGAACACTATACTCAGTAATAAAGTTTATGCAAATCAGATCTTTGGCAACAAATTATTATGATTATTATTCTGCCTGAAACCTCTGCTGTACGGCAGGTGCTTGATCAAGACAAAGCGCAGCAAAAACAGCCTTTGTTGACATTTCCCACAGCAGAGACTTACAGTGAGTGATAGTTGTGACTTTTAAAACACAGCAGGATGAAATTATTCAGCAGGAAACACAACTGACACGTGTTCAGGATGAATAAAGCAGGTGTGATGAACGCTTTTTCTAAAACCTGTTCAAGACTGATGATTTTACGGTGTCGTTTCTGATACTCGAAACCAGTGTGAGAGGGTAAATGTCAGCTAATCAGCTCTGTTTTTGCTATTTTTACAGAAAATATTAACAACAAATTTGACTATTTAAAGGCAGAATGAAGAGATTTCTTAGAAGACACTTAAAGTATGTAGAGGACCAGAGGACGCGCTAATTTTGACACAAACTAAAAGTTGCTCACAGGAGCTTTAAGGTTCGGAAAAATCTGATTCAAACACTCAATGCCAAGAATATTATATCCAATTAGTTTAAATCTAATCTAAAAAGCAAAAACTCAATCTTGATCGTAAATTTGCAAATTTTGAAAACTCCCAACAACATACCTGACTCCACTGACTTTCTGCTCACTACAAGCCAAGGCCCCCCCTGCAGTTCAGAGCTGCAACCGCACATAAAATATACACAAATCCGCTTGTTAAATGACACAAAAACAAAATAAAAAAGCTCATTGAAGCTCCGACAAACATGAGCAGATTAGTTTGGCTGCTTTAAAACCACTGACCTCAGATAATAAACAGCTCTGAGTCAAAATTATCCTGTGCTTTATCAACACAGCGTAGCCTCTCAGACTCAGAAATCCGATGATTTTATTTGAGTTCTATAAACAAAACGACTAAACAGATCCGCCTCTTCTTGCCCTTGACCTCTTTTCAGTTCATTATATGTCTGTGAGACTCTGAATCGATCAAATCCATCCCAGCTAAAGAAAGAACGTGAAGAAGAAGTGCCCACATAACAAATTCATGAAATGGTGCCGTTACAATCATGCAAGACAATGAATGAGGTTAACCTACATTCGGTCTGGAGAAGAACACCCACATGACAACCAGTCGGAGTATTGCTGTGCCTCTGCCCGGCTCGGTGGCTGACATGACGCTGATCGCTCTCTAATCCACATTAAAACGATCCTGCCTGCACACAGAGCTTTAAACCCCGAACGGGAGAGATAAACGCAGCTGACCAGCACCCAAAATATGCAACAGTTCAGAGCGTCCCCGCTCTCAGGCGGGTATATTTGGCTAAACAAAGTGTGTCACAGGTGCCTGGAGCCGGGAAATGTACTTCCAATTCAGCTCCACGACTTAGAAATACGCCTTCAGCAGAAAGTGACTTTTTGGTCCGATTAGTAACAGCGTTTTATGATTAAATTATCGTGTCAGCCAAAATGTCAAAATGTCCTTTCTTCTCTAATGCGACATTTGTCAAAGTCATGTTTTAAATTAAATATCTTTGGATTTGGAGTCAGACAAACATACCTTAAGACATCACACTGACCTCTGGAAGGTTTGGTTAAACATTATCCATTAGTACTGACATTTAAGAGACTGTAAAATGATTTTAAATGATGTATTGTTTGTATGTTTTCATCAACAGTGTCATCATCAGTGCTGTCAATCGTAGCATTATTTCCCTTTTTTAGCCCATCAGTTAACAAGCTTATATTTAATTCTATGAAAGTTAACCCCTTGGACTTCAATTGGCATATTAAGAACTAACTTTAATGACGGAAACCGTGTCTGAGGAACATTTATTTAACATGCATTTTAACTTTAGAGTTTGGGCTATATTCCATCTGTTAACATGGAGAGGACAAGCTTTGATGATTACAACCAGCCAGTAGAGGGAGCTTTAAATCACTTGTTTTCACTTTTGAGGAGTCTTTTCTTTTTGTTGTAGATTTTCACCTGTTTACCCTTTTTTTTTAAAGTCTGAGTATTTTTAGTTTTTTTCCTTTTTGGAGTCAGTTTGCTTGAAGTTTTTTCGACAGCTATCTTTTTTCTTTGTAGTCATTTTTTCTGTTTTTGTACTTGAAAGTTTCACCCCTTTGACATAAAATTGCCTCTTCAAAGTTTTTATTCTGATTTTTTTGTGCCTATTGTTCTCTTGAGTAAACTATCTCACTCTTTGTTTTCATGTTTTTAGTATTTAGAATCTTAGTTGTAATATTTTCTCTCTCGAACTGGCCATTTTTTTACCATCTCTTACCAGAGCTCAACAACCCATGAGCCAACCATGAAGATGGCTCTACCTCCGAACCTAGCAAGACACACTGTTAGTATGAGTTAAGGTTGGTGCTGCAGCTTTTTGAACCGCTCCATCGATAAAGAGCTGGAGTCGCAGATACAGTCAAAAAGTAATCCGGTTGCTTTGGCCTGTTTGTGAAAACAGAAATTCAAATATCTCTTTTTTGCATCGCTAACTCTACACGGTTTTAACGTGGGCCACAAAAGATGTGCTTTGGCCACCGACTTGGTTGCCCACAGTGCAGAGGCTTAAAAGTATGACTGTGTATTCCTGATTTAAGAATAGTTTCATCCTTTAACATGTCTTGGTGGTCATTCAACATGACTTTTTCATCATCTTCTATCATCTGTATTCTTCTGCATCTCATTTTGTAGCTTTTTTCTTTCTCGTCTCTCATATACAGACGCACCAGAACTCTCTGGTGCTGTGGGTTAAAAAGCCATACCTGAACTTCAGCGCTCACTTCAGAGATGAAGGGAGGCTGTCTGACTCCAGTTCAAAGCTTACAGAAACCGCGGATCCACACTGACAGTATAACTCGGAGTACTGCAGGGCTCTGTCTGAGCCGAGTGTCTGTGAAACTGGAAGACGCTTTAGATTCAGGTTCTATTTTCATACAAAGAAACCACTCTGGTCCTCTAGTCTTGGTGTGGTTTGTTTCTCTTAATATGAAGTCATTTGATCAGGATTAGTAGCAAGAAGCTAGCTGGCTAAAGATGTTGTGTAGAGTTGAGGTGCTCGGCTGGGGGGCTGCAGCCATATGTCACATATCCACGAGCTTGTACACTGTAGCAATAACCTGTACAACAGCCAGCTCTAAGGACATGGAGACTGGGAACTTTTTACCAGGACACTTCCCCACCTTTGATTGCGATGTGAATGTGGTTATTTTATCAATAAGAACAAGCATGAAGAAAACTGTACCCGACCCCCAATTTCCACCGCATCCGGAACGGCTACAAAAAGACCGTATCCGCCGATCGCAGCTGATCGTAACCGTTCTAGTTAATGTGTCAGTTTCCATCGGCTTCTTTCTGTCCCACTGCGGATCACTGGACTCTGCAGCTGATTGCAAGAGTTATATGTTAACAGGTTAAATTCAGCCAGTGCTGAAAAGGAAGTCGGGCACAGACACAAAATAAAACATCCGGCTTCTTTTCAAAATAAAACACTCCATGTTTCAGGAGGAGCGTATTTCACACAATGCAAACGGGCGGGGACGAACAAGTAAAAAGGTTTTTAGATGTCATGTCCATATCGCCCAGCCCTATCTGCAATAATGCTGGTTATATCCAATCTACTTGGAGCCAATTTAATATGAAAAATTGATTAATTTTGGATTCAGCAGGAACACGCAGCAAACACAGGTATTGCATTTAACATGAAAAACAGCAGTTAGATGAGTTCAAGCTCTCTTTACATAATATTGCGATACGGCGCAATTTGAACTGAGCTCTGAGACCTAACAACAGATTTTAGCTCGAGCTATTTGAAGCAGTTTCTTTCGACCCCTCTGTTTTTGCCTGATAAGCCTGCTCAGTAATCCATCCGTGATCGTAGCACAACCCTCGTACATCTCCAGAAATGAGAGACCACTTCCAGCCTTTAAACAAACAGAGATAAATAAAAGAGTGTAGAGAGAGTAAGGGGAAAGTGCTGGTGAGGAAATTCCCTCCATCAACGCTCAAGACGCCCTGCCTACATCAAAGTAAACTTCCCTCCATCTACAGGCTAAAACACAGGATTAAGATAAGGAGCGGATTGGAGTTTCAGCACAAGAACACGACTCAGGGGGGAGAGGTTGCGTCACGTGACCCGCTGTCATTACCAGCCGAGGTGTGCCTGAAAGCACAATGTGATTGTTGGATATGAATAGCCCACAATATGATGTTTTGTTATTCACAGCATCAGTGACACTTATTAGAATAGACAGGATTATGTATTAGCATCTCCCTAAAGTACTTTTATGTAAGAGGGGCGAGGGGGCTGGGCTTTTACAGACGAGTGGATGAACAGCATGAGCCAGAGCTTGCAAATCTGAGTATTTATTAGGATAATCTCGGTAAAATCCACTCCAGCTTGGCAAACACCTCGTGCCTTAATTTGGTCCAGGAGAGAGGAGGAGAAGGGGGCAGACTCTTCCGGCTCAGGACAGGTCTGCTGTGATCAGCAGACGAGGGCAACATCGATTTATCAAGTCATTGAACTAATTAATGGCCGGATAGTTGATCTCCAACTATTTTTATAATCAAATAACAACTTCTGGTGCTATTTAAGTGATATGTCAAATGTAGCTTCACAAGTTATTAATATTTTTATCATCATAGAAAGATTGATCATATGTTGTGTCTGAGATGTAACGCAGACACCCACCACTGGCTGGAGTGTAGAACATCACTACTGTACAATAGGGGTGAGACAAAACATGGTGAGACAGTCTTATCTTCACTCATGCCACACAAGGGAAATCTATTTTTTTTAATATTTTCTTTGAATTCATGGAATTATTGATATTTGGCACCAGAAGACAACAATACTGTTGGCACAAAACTAGGTTTTCTGTCAAAACATCATGACCTTGCGACTCCTCACTGTAGTTTCAGTGACATAAATCCTACTCTTTGCCCTTCAGAAGCACTTTGCGTCCTTTATTTGATCAGATTTCATGATTTGTGCAGGTAGACTGATGATTTAAAAGTTAATGGATCAGTCTTTTTCTTAATTCTTATGTTCTGATGTTTGGACGCATAGTGGTGTCCTTCTACCTCATTCTCTAGGGGAACTTTGGACTCAGTGTACCATGCTGCGCCACAATTTATCTCTGGTCTTGGCTTGTATGAGGAACTTGGTTTGTCTTTCTTATATAACAGGAGACTGGAGGATTGATATGTCTCTCTCTCTCTCTCTCTCTCTACATGAGCTGCCTTCTTATTTATGTTCTCCACTGACTCCTTAATCTGCCAACCTTCGGTCCCGTGGTCAAAGTCTGTACGTCATTCCTAAGACTTGCACTTTACTCCTGGTCTGGGCTACAAGGTCACCTAAGAGTGGGTCATTTTTTTTAGCCTGGAGGACTTTGAAATTTAAGGATTGTGGATTATCTATGGTGTCTGAGAACTGCCACTGCTGCAAATAAAAAAAGAATGCAAAAAAAAGTGGTTGCAACAAAAGTTACTGATGAAAAAAGAAAAAAAGAAATCCAAGTCCGCTGCAAATAAAGTGCAGATAAAAAATTGAAAAAAGCCACAACAACGGAAAGTTAACAACGGAAGTTAACGCCGCAAAAAAAAAAGTGGCAATGCAAAAAAAAATAGTTACTATATGATCGTGATTAATAATCGTGATAAGTTTCGTTTTGATCACGTTGATCAGCTGAGAGCATATTTACCCGATCAAACATAAAGGAAATGTGTGTCACAACAGCTTTGTATGTTAATAAAATGTTGAACTAATCTCTAGTTTCTTAACTTTTTAGTACAGATGCTTCAAAACTGGTAGTTTAAAAAAACACAAAATAATTGAGATAATAATCGCAATCAGATGATCTGACAAAGTACATTGTGATCATTAAGGTCCTTGCACACCGGGACCGTTTTTGTTGTGTGATTATTTCTGACGTCAATATTTTTTTTCAAACCCGTACCCTGTCAATAACAGCGTTCACGTCAGCGACATTTTCCCGTCCTGCAATATTGCGGCATTTATTTTTTCGGATCGTGGTCGATTTTTCTAAAGTTTCGCATTCTGTGTGTCCACTTCTGACCATTTAGATAGTGTGTTGTTGTGACATCTGATTCACCGGTATATCCAACATGGCCGACCAGCTGATTGTTTACATGTCGAAGAACAGAGTGCTTTTTGATAAAAAAAAAACCCCACAAATATTACAAAGATAACGACCTGAAGGACAACATAGTGTCCGATCTCTCATATGACGATGGTTTGTGTGCTTTAACAGTTTGCTAAACGCCTTTGTTTTAACTTTCATCTGTGCTAACGTAAGCTCACGATTGTTACCATAATTTCATGTGCTTATCTTATCGCCTCTGATTGGCCATAAATGCTGACCATTTGGCTTGAGCGTGCGATTACGTTTCCAGCTTTCCTAGCCAATCAGAGGTGAAGGAGGCGGGACTTTCCCCAGGAAGAGTCTTCGCTGGGATGGGTCTTTTCCCCCCTGGAAAGTCGCAAAATCGCATCGGGCTTGACGTGTATAGTCAAGTTTTTAGTCCAGACGCTTTAAAACTGGCAGTTTGAAAAAAATCGTGATAATAATCGAGATCGGATGATACAACAAAGTATATCGTGATCATTTACTTTTTAGTAAAGATGCTTTAAAACTGGCAGTTTAAAAAAATACACACAAAGATCGGGATACTTATCGGACGATCGGACAATATGACAAAGTATATCGCGATCATTTTTTTTTTGCCAAATCGCTCAGTCCTAGTTCATAGACACTCAGATTAATGGGATGATCCTCGTCTGTTACTCTGCAGATTACTACATGATGACAAAGACCATTACGTGCATTCCCCCTCCCTATGAGTCACACAGCATGACGGTCAACTAAAGCATGAGGTAACATGTAAGCAGCTCCCTCCTTTCCTTCCCCCCAAAACATATCGAGCACCTTCTCCCCAGCTCCGGGCTGCATGCACCGCTCCTCCTGCACGAGCATGGCGCATTATGTCACCGCTGAAAACCCCGCTCCCAGCAGCTCGTGAAGGGGGGTACCCTTCCTATTTTAGGAACGACGACACCACCACACCTCTGCACCTCACTGAAACACCTTGAAGCATCCCCACGAGCTGTCAGCTGTAGCCTCTCTATCTCTCGCGCACACACACACGCGCGCGCCCGAGTAGCAGCAGCAGCATTTCCTCACCTTTTCAGAACTCCGAACACATTCGCGCACATTTTTACGGGTGTCTTTGTCCATCAGCCAAAGCAGGGGCTGTTCGTGGAGCAAAGGGGGGGCGTCCGGTGGAGGTAATCCCAGAGAGAGGCGAGGATGCTCCGGTCAGCTTCAGCACCAAACGACGGACTGACTGAGAGGGACTGCGGTCGGGCTGGTGTCGCCCCTCCCACAGACCATCAGAGGGGCTTCCTCAATGAGTATCAGTTTATAACACACAAACCTAGATTAATATACGACCAAAAACCTCTTAAATGACTCTTACACCTGATTGAGGTCCAAAAAGCAACACCCAGACCCTCTCCTCTCTGAGAGTGCCATTGTCTGTCAGCGCGTTAAGCTAGCTCCCGATGATCACCTGACTCTGCCCCACCTTGACAGAATTACTCCACTTTTGTAGTCTTAATACATTCACACAACTTCGACACCTCCATACTGTCACTCTTACCTGCATAGCCAGCGTACAGCCATCTGAACTGTTAGAGAAAAGAGCGCACCTCCTCTTGTTAAAGCTAAACATTAGCCTTCCTTGCTACCTTCTAGTTGTTACTTTCCGGCTCACGAGTTTGAACTAACACGGAGTTCCTCTCTGCTCGTTTTGGGAGGAGTATTAAAACTTTTATAGCTTTTTTTCTCGACTCGCTTGACTACAGAATCCAATCGACGTTAAGATAAGTGAAAACAAACTGACACTGAGGAGAAGGAAAGTGGGCTCAAGAGATATTTTGCTGTTAATCGTCTTATGTGTTTTTAACGCCGTGTAATTTTTGGTTGCCCAACAGTGGGTATGCTCGATTTGAAGTTTCGCTTTTACCGTTTGTGGATTTGTGGCAAGGGCGGGAAACCAAACGAAAAGCAGTTATCTAAGATTTATTTCTTTTTTATTTCTATACGGTAAAATAATGTTTATTTGCTGAATCGTTTTGACTAAAATGAATTATTGAGATTGAGATGGTTTATTTGATTAAATAAATACATACAGTACAGTTTTAGACAAGAAATTCCCTATTTATTTTGGAGATTTACAAGGAGTAGGTTGAAACTATTTAGCTTACATGTACCTGCCCTCATTCTCATTAAAATAAATTACTTTGACTAAATGTAAATTAATTTTGTGTTATTTATAAAAATGTGGTAAATTTAATAGACTTTTAATTAGGTTAATTTGCCAAAGGTTTGAATGATAGGTATAAAAGGGGCTCTTCAGAGAGGCTGAGTGAGTCTCTCTGAGTCTTTTTTATCATCTGTCGCACATACTATCTTTAAAGGTTACAGGGAATCTACAGAAATCCCAGTGTGAATTATAATTTTCAAACCTTTGGGCGACATTACATTAAAAACAGACATGACTCTGTAGTGGAACTTACTGCATGAGTACAGAGGCCGAGAACCGCCACTGCTGGTAATAAATAAAAATAAAAAAAAGAAAAGAAGTCATAATGGAAGTTATCGATGCAAAAAACAGAAACTGAAGCCCAATAAAAATAAAAAAAGAAACTGCAGATAAAAAAAAAAAAAAGCCATATCAACTCAGGCGCTACATGGCCTAACCAAATGACATGTTGAAAAGTTTATTAAGTGAAATTATGGGCGCATCACCATTATTGGTCCCCGACAGCTCACTTCTGTTGTGGCTTTTTAAAATATGCATCCTTTAATTTTGCAGTAGGTAACTTTTTTTTTTCTTTTTTGCATTGTCACTTTTTTGTGTCGTTAACTTCCATAGTGGCTTTTTAAAATTTTTTATTCTTTTTTTATTTGCAGCAGGCTTCGGTTTCTTTCTCTCTTTTTTTGCATTGGTAACTTCTGTTGTGACTTCTTTTTTATTTGCAGCAGTGGTGGTTCTTGGCCACTGTACTCATGCAATAATATCCACTACAGAGTCATGTCTGTTTTTAATGCAATGTTGTCCAAGGGTCTTGTAAACTCATTAGAAACCCCGCCCTACTGCCTCAATCCTGAGATGTGACGGTGTTTTTATCAAGCGTACCATTATACCCAGGAAGTCACGTGATCAAACGGCTAGTCATGCACGCCGAAGGACAGCAACACAAGCCCCTCCAAAATGTAGTCTAAGGTGACATTAAGTGGTTTGCACTGTAGCTCTCTGTGAATATAGTTTATTTTCGTTTGGTTATAATGGCGTCCACATCAACAGTAACACGAAGGATTCTCGGTCCTTTTACCCTTCACACTCCTCGACTCCCACACCGCTTATCGGCTGCAAACAGTCGGCTCTGCAGCTCCAAACAGGCAACCCAGAAGGACAGGAAACCAAAGGTACGTACCTTAAATCATCACAACATAATCCAAATCCTGCAATTCACTGAGAAATATCGATATTTGATTCACCAGATTAACATCGACTTCTGGAGAGTTCCGATCACCGTGTTTACAGTGTTGACCTGCAAGCTTTGTGTGATTGTATGACATGTTGCCATGATACTGTTGACTGTCTGGTTGCTATTCTTGAATATTTTATACAGTCTGCGATATTGGCACCACATCAGCAGTACAACTACACTTTCTCAGAGGCCTTCACTCAGACCCACTTGGCCTTTGAGGCTGAGACTTGACAAAGAGTACGATATTGTGACGATATTTCGATTCTAGTGCGATATTATCGAGATTATAAACATTTTGTTGAATAATTTCTTTCGATTAGCCTGCCGTGGCATGTATTACTTTTGATAAGATAGCAATTTTTGTTGGGAAAAAATATGTTGTTTGCAATTTCCACACTGTTAGACTTTCCTTATATTATCTTGCATTGCTGCTGTGTTTAAACCTTAATTTTGATTAATATTAGGCTGTATTTAGTTGCAGGTGATCTATATTAATGCTTGGTAGTTTCATATGATCAGTTTATGTTCTGTAAAACTGGACCAATAAGTAAACTAAGTAAAAAAAAAAAAAAAAAACATGGAACATTAATGAAACTGAGGCTTTTGTTTGATTTTGTAATTTTTACCTGTTTTTCGTTCCCTTCGTCTTGGACCGTGTTTCCATTCTCTTCCTCTTTGCTCAACCTATCTGTTGGTCTGGTTATGAATGATAAGCACGTTCCTGACAGCCACTGCTTATATAAACCACGTGACAGCCCTCACCATGTCTGCGTGTTTAAACCTACACTCTGAACTCAGTCTCAACAAACAGACTTGAATTCTCTGTTATTTTAATGATCCACAGAGGTCTCCCTTCAAACCTGCAGCCAACTCCACACATGACTGGATCGGTCCTCCAAACCCTCTTTCAAACCTGCGGCCGATTGTTTACCACATCCCTGAGAATGAAACAGAGCTGGAGAAACGTCTGCGGCACCTGAGGCAAGAGACGGAGGACTGGAACCACAACTTCTGGACTAAACAAAACATCACCTTCACCAAGGTACCAGCTAAATTTGATTTCCACTAACCCTAACTATATTTTTAGACATTATGTACTCAACTTTGGATGAGTCGAAATGATTCAGGACTCTGAGACAGGGTATATGCAGCACCATGTTAACTGATCAGTAAGTGCTGATCATATTCATATTTAATGCCAGTTACTGTAAGCAGAGATGAATACTGACCTGGAGGGAAAAATCCCCTCAGTACATTTAGATTTAAAGGAACTGCAACCACCTTTAAGGTATTTTAAGTCAGTCTGTAATTAATGACTCATCATTTAATCCCAAGCTTTTAATTTTAGTTTCCTCATGAATCATTTAATTTTTAGGGTTCAAAATGAGGTGAAAAAGTTCACTCGAAATTCTGCAGAGACAGTGCTTATAACTTAATTTTTCAGCTCATCTAAAGTATTCGATATCAAACACCTTTGATTTATAATTAATTTGCATTTTAATTTCAGCTTTCATCCTTATATTTTTAATTTAAAAACAGGAACAAAAAGTTAACTTATTTAAGAAGCAGGAACCAGTGTGTGCTCGGCTTTTTGCCCAACAAAACACATCATTTATTGATCATCTAAATGTTATTATTTGATAGTACCCAGTTGTTTCAGTAGGTTTCAAAGTGTCAGTGCTCATTTGGAGGCTACAGGGTGACAAAATAAGTGACAAACCTTCAATCAACCCAGCTGAACTGGAGCAAAACCCCTGAATCAGCAAACAATCCCACCCTGAGCACCAGGCTCCAGAGCCTCTCTGCCTGCCCTGCCCCTAAACTCTGACCTCTGACTTCCCACTGGAGACAGAGCTCAATCCTTCTATCAGGACTGGTGTTACTTTATGTATTTCATCATGATTGATCAAGTTTTACATTACACAGGATATTCCCGTTATCAGCAGAATGAAAGTTGTTACTTATTCCAGCAGAGGGCGCCATCACACTGCAAAACCTTTAAGTTGGGTGAAAGAAAATGTTATAGCCATACTATTAACACTATGACCAGAGCCGCCTCGGGGCTGTTACGATGTAACATATATCTGTTTGTCATTATTTGTGTTAAGTATGATATTTTCCATTGGTTTTTTGTTTTATGTATTTTGTAAATCCTATAAAAACAACTAGGAGAAGAGGAGGGAAATAAAAACAACATATTTTTATGCTCTCTGCAGGAAAAAGAAGCTTTCATCTTCTCTCAGCTAAAGGCAAAAGGCTTGACTGCACGAGATGAGCAAGGTAGGAGAGACTCTTTAGACACAGGATTATAATCTGTGTGTCATTTTCAAAGGTGAAGACTCCACCAGACACTCCTCTGTGCTCTGCAGGATTTATATTAAGAAAAGAAGATTAAAAACGCTGCATGCAGCTTTGTCTGTCAGACTCTGTCAAAAATGAAGCCCCCTTCAGTTGACAGACTTCAACTTGAAGATCCGCAAACATTTTCTGTAACGTCGGGGTGATCGAGGAAGAAAATGCTAATGAGATTATAATGTCGTGTAAAGCGTCTTCTCCCTCTCCCTCTCCCTCAGGACGACGGCGCACCCTCAGCAGTGAAGAAATGGCAGAGTTTTACAAAAGCTTCCTCGACCACAACAGAGCGCGGCATGCGAAATATAACAAGTGAGTTTGTTTTGCAGCTGGGTGTCTCCCACGGTGCCGCAGGGTGCCGCTTGGTGGGTGGATACACCTCCCTCCGCTGGAGCTGTGGGCTTGAACCCACACTGTTATACATACTGTACTTTGTGTAGGGAGGAAAACAAACATTACTGAGGCTTTGAAAAGCTTTCTGTGAATTAGCATTGCAAAGTGGCTGACTTGTTTCTAGGTTAGTGAATCCTCCAGAAGTGTTCTGCCTACGCACATCACCTCTGCAGGAGCTCGAAATAAGAGTGGGATTCAAACTCTAACTCCAGATTCGACTAGCCTTTCATTTAAGAACATCTCTGTGACATATAGTCTGCCTGGAGTTTGTAAAGTTAGAAAACTTGACAGCAACATGTCCAGTCTACTCTGTATAAAAATATTTTGTGGTATACCTGCCCAGAAAGTGGCCAGAATCACCAGGTAGGCCTATTTTTTGCTTTGGATCTGGATGGAAGACGACTAACAAATGTCTATGACAGAACAGAAGAAATAGACTTCATGTTATCAAAGGGACCTTGATTTAGATCCTGATTTAGATTCTGAATCAGAAAATGGAGCCATTGTTAAGAGAGATTAAAGTAATTCAAGACCTTATCCAGTCAAAGGCTCAGGTGCAGCATACTGGGCTACTTATAAATGATTCATGAACGTCCCGCAAAGACAGGTGAAAAGATGGTTACATAAGACTAGATGGGAAGAAATTAAAGTGTAAAGAATGGTAGGCGCAAAAGTACACTCAAGACTACAGGAGCAGAATACTAAATGATGTTTTAAAGATGCATTAAGTCTTAAATGGTATGCTTGATGAATTCAAATATCTACGCATGATAAAAATAAAGTCATCGATTCCCATTCTTACACTTCGGTTTTGTACGGATTGAACAGATGTGATGCAACGTGTCGACCAGTGAGTTTTAAAGATTCTGGAGGCGGATTTTATTATCTCTGAACACATCCAGGATAATTGTTTGGCTGTGTTCCCGTCTCTGTGATGCAAAGTAAGCTGGCTGTAGCCTCATGGCTCTGACTTATGCGGAGGTGCCATTAACACTTATATGCACGCACATAAATGCACAGATGTATGTTCCTGAGTATCTCTTATGAAATATAAATCAACTCTGTTGTTGTCAAGCTGCTTAAAATAACTTTAATTCTCTGTCTTTTTCTGTCACAGGGAATGGTACCGGCGTAACTTCACCATCACTCTGCTCATGGCCCGGGTCTCCTTCAGCAGCATAATGAAGACTGTTACAGATCGATTCAGGGGCAAAAAGAACAGCACACCTACCACATGATTAAATGAAATATTTACCCATCCTCCTGCTTTTGTTTCCAGTGTATTGAATGTGCTTCCCTTATTGAAGTGTCGCAGTTACATCTGATGATGAATATGCTTCCTTTCTTTCAATCTCTTTTTTTCCGAGCTGATTTGATCAAAGCTCCTCGCGTACAGAAGTATATTTTCACAACTCAAATGGCAAAGATAGAGCTGTTGATTTGATCTATTCAGGTTCAGGATCTGAGTCATAAAAAACATCAGAAAAACATCCGGCAATCTCAAGATATCCTTCCTTTTCATGGTGATGTCTTTCGGCACTTCTACAAAGTGCACATTTGAAATATGTTTATATTTTTATCTCATAACTCTGACTCCTTATTAATAACATTTTTATGAAAGTGGTTACCTAACTCATTCAGACTTTAACATATAAAATTATGGCAGGAACTAAAGGAATTGATTCTTACAACTATTTAATGATATGCTTCCAGCTCCACATATGTCAAGGTCTGCTTTTTCTGGTTTAATTTTGATCTGCTTTAAAAAGTCTTCCTAAGGTTAAACTATCCTTGTACTTGAAGCCCCTGTTAGGAGACAGCCAAAAGGTTCACTCGTGTTAATTTCAGTCTCATAGGTATCTTAAAGTGTGTCACTGGAGCTTTAAATAGTTACGTTTTTGATTGTTACCATGCTAACAATAGATATTAAAGCTACTGTGAGGGGAGTTTTGCTGATTATAAAGCTGGCTGGAACTGATAAAGATGCCTCCCCGTGACCTAAAAAAGCAAACAAGACAGATTATTTCTATTGAGTTTTTTTTTTTTGTTCGAATCTGATGGCAGGGGGGTAAACAACGCTTGATTTTACTGATTGTCTGCTACCTAAATTTGACTTTCTCCCATTCAGAGCCGTCCCAAGCCTCAATGGGGCCCTGAGCAAAATGTGATTCTGGGGCCCCCTATTTCTGCCAATATCATTTACCCAAATCTCTTTAATTGTTTTGCCCCACAACTACCTGCTCTTTGGATGTTCAGTGCACATTGCACAGCATGAGGCACATTATGGTAGTGAAGCTTTGACATATGGGCATTAAGAATCATAGGCCTACATCAGCAGCAGCACTAAAATGTTTTTACTTTATTTCATTTTTACATATTTGATCATACGGAAAGCATCCTCATACATGCAAAAATAAAAAATAAAATATATATATATTTTGATTGCTTTTGGGGGCCCCCGTTGCTTACTAAACTCCTGACAGTAGCACTGGACAATACTGTGCAATAACCCACTTAACTGTGCAATATCATCTGTGATGAGCAATACCATGTGCAATACAGCAATTTTCATACCTCATTTATCCCACCGACTTATCCTCCATCTCATACATTCACACTCAGCACTTACTGCGTTTCTTGTTCACTTTGTAAATATCTCCTTTTGAATCCTAAAAAATCTTGAATCCCCCTACTGGTCGCGGGGCCCTAGGCAGGCACTTAGTTCCCTTATGCCTTGGGCCAGCTCCGCTGCCATTTACCCTAGAGATTTCCAATAAATGTTCAGTGAGGGATTCTAACATGTACATAAAAATGAGTAAAAAGAGAGAAGAGGCACTGTTTTGTCCACAGGGGGCGCCCAAAGCAACACAAATCCAGATTTCTTCAGGGAGCTTTAACTGCATGATGAAGAAACTATGAAATGTCATTCATGACCTCCAAAGGATCTTTCTCTGGTGTGTCGATGAGGTTAAATATGTTGATTTTGGGTTGGGTTAATTTTAAAAACTTGAGGAGACATAATTTGTTGAAACGAAATCAGAGCAGACAGTTTAATTACCTGCTGAAACTTCTTCTTGGACACCTCCAGCTTTGGTCTTTTACTTGACAGAGAGAATTGTGATTTTGTGAAAGGATATTTGTACTTTTACTTAAGCACATGATGACTTCCTCTACCTCTGTCACTGTGAAGTAAATCTGGTTGCTCAGTTCGCACCGCAGCTTCCCCTTTAATCCGGGCGAGGGTGACATCATTACCGAGGCAGAGGAGGGGGAGCGCCGGGTAACGCCATTTTCACGCACCGCGCAGTCAGTCAGTCATCCGGCCAGTGGACCAGCGAGCTGTCATCTTCGTGGGCGAGTCGTCAACTTCTCATTTAGACCCATGAAGCCTCTATCGGGCTAGTTTCGCGGCCCCGTTCCTGCTATGGAACCAAATGAGAGCGGGCTCAGTCTAAAGTCAGTGTTTTTGACTGCTAACAGCTATGGAGCTAGCTGGTTATCATTGATGCAGCGAAGCCTGTCGGCATAACATAATCCACGCCGGAGACAGTCTGGAAATTCTAGTTTTTTATGAACATTTTTTTCGCTCGTGTCGGCAAACCTCTTCAGGGAACCGGACAACCTCCATCCTTTGAGTCGACTTGATTTAAAAGGCAGAAAGGCGAGGGAAACAAGCGTCACAGTCCGGCTAAATTGGCAACGGATGTCCGAGAGAACGGTAAGAATGGCCCCGTCTATTTCCTGGTGCGGCGTTATTAGCTAATTAACCTCTTTCAGATTTTTAGGTTCCCTCAATTGTCATGCTATCAAACCCGAATTACAAGGGTTGGTTGTTGTATACTATTAGGAAATATACATTTAGAATATGTTTCTTTTTTGAAGAAGTGTGGTACATGTTTACGTTAATTGCAGGAATTAGACGCCACAAGCAGATTGACAGTCACAGAGTGCTGGCTAGTAGTTAGCTCTATGTGTGGCAGGGAAGTATTGGATAACTGGTTCTTCAGGTTAATCCATTTGAAAGCGACATAGCTGGGACAAAGCAGCCGGGCCACGACTAACACATGCCTGTCAACCGATGGAAAGATGCACTTGTTGGCCGCTGCAGCACCCCTAAAAACCCTGATGTTGGATTTGTCATGTGATAGTTTGCTGTGTCTGATGACCATTCATTGATATTCAGAGCAGGATCTGGATCTGGGGAAGAAAGCTGCCTGTGTTGAGGAGTCTGCTTCAGAGAGACAGTGGATCTCAGTGTGTGTATATACACAGCTGGGATTGAAAACCAAAGAAAGGAGAAAGAGAAAGAAAGAGGTGTTGATGGATATTTGAGATTCTGGACAAGCACAAACTACAATCTGAAATTCTTGAACCCCATAATCAAAATCTAAGAGCTGCCCCTTGAAGGTTTTGTTTTCCCTGCCCTGCGGTCTTTAATGTTTAATGCATCCCAAGAAGGATTCATGACAACCTGCAGGTTTACACCCCTCTGCCCCCCTGAGACGGCTTGTTGTTTACTCAGAGATACCATTTGGGAATAAAGGCTCTGAGAATTACCTGTTATGGTACCAAAATTTGTTGCTTTTGGAAGGTAAATGTGTAAATCAGCATCCTGTTACACCACAATACTTGTTTATTAACACAGTTTCTCCCTGATTTCCATGGAGATCCAGAACATGTCTTTTTGGAGTACAGGCTCGGCCAGGTGAGATTGGCATCAGTGACTTTATAGAAACAAGTCTTGCAAGTTCCCCATGTCAAGCACTACTTAAAACTACCAATGCATCTGCTTAGCTTTGGCGCAGAACAAGTGTTGATGTACCTGAAGTTTTAGCTGAATAATGATTTAAAGTGCTCGGCCAAGGTCACAAACAAAAAATCAGACCTGCATCTGACTTGTAATCATCCAATGCCTATAAATACTATTGAAAACGAAACATTGGGCTGTTTAAGGGACAAAAGTTGGGTCACAGGGAGAGCAAACCATTGACAAAGGCTGTTTCCGAAATGAATCCCTCAATCCCTAACCCCTAACCGCCATATGGGGTTTCACTATATAGCCGACTATGTAGGGAGCTCAATTACTGGAGGTTTCAGACATTGCATGGCAAGACACAATGCATGACGGGATGCCCACCACTGGTGAGTGACCATCGGTCACTTCATTTTGCAATACTCTATGGGAATTTTTGAGTCGCCTCTATGGGCCATTGGAATTGATCACTCAGGTTTCAGACACCCCTCAAAATGGCGCTAGCCCCTATATAATCGCCTATATAGGGGTTAGAGATCCATTTCGGACACAGCCAAAGTTATATAATGTCAGTAAAACCTAACTACATGGGTACTGATGGCGCACCATGTGCATCCAGGGGGTCCAGGTTTGATTGTAGCCTGTGGTACCTTTCCCCTTTTTCTCGCCCTGTCCACTGTCCTGTCAAATAAAGACCCCGAAATAAATCAAAACACTAACAACACAAAGAGATAAATCATAGCTAGGTTTGAAAAGGCGCCCAAGAGAGAGAAAACAACAGTTTCAGAGTAAAAAAATGAAGCAAGGCCAAAAACCAGATACTGGATGACCGCAAACTTCACATGACTCTGCAGTGGAAATCATTGCATGGGCTCTAAAACCATTGTCTGTGAACATGCTTTATGTAAATGCAGGGTAAAACTGTACCATGTAAAGATAAACCCATAGAATGGCTTGGCTCTGTAAGATAAGAGGCAGATATTTACCAACACAGAGGTAGACATGGCCGTGTCCTAACATTTTTTTAAAGGTTCTGCTCATGCTAAATTTAGATGCGTGTATATTTACAATCTAATGTGAGATATTTGTAAAATAATTGGCTTTCCTGATCTGCAAGTCATCATGTTGTGTTTGAGCAACGCAGCACTTTCATTATTATTTTTTGGATACTGTTTACGGAAGAGGGAAATCATGAGGGACCCATGTTATTTCTAAAGAAGTTTTCAGCCCAGATTTTACAACACAATAATAAGTCCTCAAACCTAATCTGTGGGGAGCAAGTCCAATACATTCTCCTCCAGTCTCCACAGTGCTGCAGCAAAGACCGATCCCTTCACTGTCTCTGTTGATCAAAGCGTCTGAGAGGACTTCAGTGATTTAAATGATAAATTTAATCTCTCCCTCAAGGCTCGCTCATGAAAATGAAGAAAATCATTGGTGCTCTCGTTACGTGAGAGCCGACCAGAAGTGAGCTGGTTACTCATTTTAGAAGATGACACAGAGTTATCCCAGCAGCAGGCTGAAGCTAATTACTCAACACTGTATCCAACAGCTCATCTCTTCTATTGAGATGGTTCAAAAGACGGACCTCAAACCTCACTGCATGTCAGACAGACTCTATTCATAATTAATACCAATCCTAGCGATCATTTCCTGCCTTTCAGCTGCTCTGGATCACGTCTCCTGACTGCCTCATTTCTTAACCCTTTCCTTGATTTCTGAAGGGTTTGCTGCTGTCACATGGCACATTAACATAAATGGTTTGATTGTTTGGGAGACTGCCGCTTTGCATGAAAAAATGAGTCACTTTACAGCAGCTATAATTGCTCTATTTATATACCATGGAGAACTGTCCTAATGCCGTGACTCTGCAGGTTCATCTCTTCAGCATCTTTACAGTCACGTCTTTCTCATGTTTTTGAATGCATCCTCACTCCACTTCCACTTTGCCTCCACTCTTCTTCAGCTCTCTGTCACATAAAAATGAAGCAAAGTGAAGTGCGCCACAACAACAACTTGTACTCGCACAAATGTTCCCCAACAGACTCTGAGGCTGCGAGGTTTAGACAGCATGTGCAACCGAATTGGTTGTTATTTTAATCCCTGTTTGTCGCAGTGTTTGTCTCAGATTGTCTGCCTGATTATGGGAGAGGTTTTTAAGTGCGAGTCCAAACAGACCCTGTGATTTAAAAAATGATAGCATAACCGTGAAATATGCGCATGATTCAACCCATTTCCCAAATTTGTGCAGATTCTTAAAGGCCCTCTTGTTTCGGGACATTTTTGCACCAGCTGACTGCCAGAGCAGACTAGAAAGTGGAACATGACGTCTGTGCTGATGACTTTTAGTCCGTTTTCTTAATCTTTGCTGTGTTTTAATGTGCCATCAACCTGCTAAGAACTGCAGAAGGTTTATATACACACATGATGAATTTCTCAGATAAACATATGCGCATTTTCCCTTCTTAAATAAAATACTTTCTCAAAAATAGGCGTGAAAAAGTCAAAACAGGGTTCAAAGTTGCATGAATACTTGGCTTGAATTGTTGGGCTGCCACTGCTATTTCACAAATAAACACAAGTGTCACATCGTAAGTGTTGGATGTGTAAATAACAAACTTAAAAGGTGATGAATTATCAGTTTTCACAGCTTGTTTCAGCGGCTCTTAAAGGTGATGCAAGCTGTTATCGTGATTTCATAAATCAGTCTGAACTTTGTGAACTTAAGGGAGTTTTTCTTTCCCTGAACTTGTTTATTTTTCGGTCTAAAAACTGTTCTATAAGGGGTAATTCAGAGCTGTGGTGTCGCATAGGTAGACTGGTTTTTGTTTTGTTTTCAGCTCTTGAAGAAGAAGCTGGATTTAATTACCTAACCCCCCGATTTAAGACTGTTTTCATCGCCGGCCTGCAGGTAGAACAGCTGTTGAGTTGTTTTAAAGGTGGGCAGAGACACTCAGGGACTCTCAGACTCTCACTGACTTTCATTCTGGTCCAACGAGGAAATGAATCACAGCTCTCATCATCGAATGATTATCAGCCCCCACATCGCTGACTAAGATTGTCCCTCGCAGTGCCGCTCTTTCTGCCGGTGACTCCATCCGATCTGTTATGCATACCCCACCCCACCCCAGCTCATTCCCCTTCAGCCTCCCTCTCTTCCTCTATCACTGCTTTAACCTGCTTATCGGCAGAAACGCAGTGTCCCCCGGGCCCCTCAGACCAGCTATTTACATTTCAAAAGTGAACATCAGAAGTGTTTCTCTCTGACTTTCCCCGCGGTGCTTCATGTTCTGAGACTCATCTGATGCCAGAAATAAAAACGTTTTTTGTTGGATCAGCGCTGGAAGAAAGGCTTGTGCTGTCACTTTCACTTCTGTGTTTCACAGCCTGCAGTGATACTTGTTTGTCGTGTTCTTTGCAGTTTGGGAGCAACAGTTGAATATATTGATTTTAGTATGTGTTGTTGGGCTGCTCATCAATATCTAGAGAAGCTTTTGCAGGAAAATACTTGTTTTGTTTTTATTTGTGCTTATAAAAGTCTACATTTTTCGTCCTGGTAGGTGTTACGTAAGGTCTGCTTTTTATTATAACAGCACGAGACTGGGCATCTGCATGAATATGAATCAAACACTGTTGTTGATTAGCACAGTGTGTATTTTCCTAATTAACGGATTGCTGTCCGCAGCTGCCGGTTTAAAACTGCAGAGCCAGACCATCTGTCCTCTGCATAATTAACAACTTCAAATGATGGCGCTTTACCTGCTGTTTGTAAAACTAGATGTCAAAGTGTTGCAGACTGAAAGTGAAGGTTGTTGTAATTAGAAAACAGTCCAACTGTTTGTGTGCTTATCAGTCAGTGATAGGGCTGGGCGATAAAAGGATAACAATATCAAAAATTAATTTCCCTTGATATTGATATAAAACATGGTCACTGAGTCCACGCTGCGCCGAACCAATCATGTGCTGAATTAGATCCAAGTAGCAAACAACTGCATAGTAGCAAACTGCAGCTACACGCAACCATAGCACGCAACACGTGAAGCAGACAGCACTGTTGGTGAGAAAAAAATGAGTGCTCCCCCCGGCAGAAATGTAGGTGAAGGCTTGACAGATGACATGTTAGGGAATATCTGAGATTGATGAGTGATTTTTTTATATTGTGATATATATATCGATGTCAACTGGTATGAAAAAGATATATCGTGATAAACTTTTTCCCATATTGCCCAGCCCTAGTCAATGATATATATTTTTCAAGGTGATTTGTAGTGCATGTTGAAAGTGAAAACTCTTATTGCTTTATGAAAAATAGAAATATATCATAGAAGCCTGATTCATCATCCAGCTCATATTTATTTCCCCTGGCTGCTGTCGCTGTCATTCTGAACAGTTTCCTGTCAATACACCTGACCAATCATAGTCCAGTATTTAGAAATGGGATGGGCTCTTCTCACCCTGGTCACCACCTGTTTGACCTCTGGCCCTCAGGCAGGCGGCACAGGTCAATTAAAAAAAGAACTAACAGACTCATGAACAGCGTCTTCCCCAAAGCCATCCAGTACCTTAATCAACACATATAATGTCTCCATAACCCAATTTACAAGCATATTTGTGCATATCCGAATGCATGTCATTGACTCTTTATATCTTCTGCCTGATTAGGAGTCCAAGGTTTCCAAAAAGAATGTTAAGCTTTTTTTCCAAAGTAATGAATCAACAAATACAGAGAATAAGCTCGCTAAAATCTAATACAAGTTTTTGTTTTTGAAAATTTTTGATTGAAAGTGAAGCAGAAAAAAACAGGGCTCGACAGTGCAACCGTTTCACTCGCATTTGCGACCAAAAATAGATGTGTGCAAAAAATGTATTTATGGGCACATGTGCATAAAAAAAATCAGCCGAGGCAACAAATGTGTTTTCATGTAAATACAGCAGTGAAGTTAGTTTTAGATTGGAAATTCGACGGATATTCACTGCAGATCTACCGGTGTCTCCATAACCGTGAATAGCAACAGCAGCGCGGTTAAATCTACTCGGCATCCTCACTGTCTAGGGTGTTGGATAAGGGACCGTCAATGAATTGCCGGTTGATGTTTTTAAAAAAAGGCTGTTTTCCTTCAATAGCTTCCATGTCATGTGTCCAAAAGACCTAATATTGATTTCAAATAATAATACTTTATGTCGACCAATAAGACAAACATCATTCCTTGCTCCTTGTGAAAAAATTAGTGTCAAGCCAGTGCGGCTCCGTTCACCTGAAGCTGCTGTTTTCCGTCTGCTCTCGCACACACACAGTCAGCTAGCTCTCGCCTTGCTGTCAGCTGATTGGCTGCAGGCTGGTTGCTGTGTCACATGGAGTGATCAGGACTACAGCTCGTCCTCTCTCTTCCTCCTCTGCTTCAGGCTATCATTTTTTTTCCCCCTTCCACACTTGAATAACAATGTGACATTACAAGGCAGTTCAGGACAAGCCTGCTATCTTTACCTGATACGATCGCAGCTATTTTCACTGAGGTTTGCAAACAGTTTGAAGTGGTTGTATAATTGCAACATTAAGTTTAAGAGAGATGCAAAGTCTGTCACACCCAGGAGTTGTTTCACTTCTGTATTTTTAGAGGAACCCTGCAAAAAAAAAAAGAAAAAAACGAGTCTAGTCAGAGTCTGTGATGATTATCCATCTGAGCGAGTGTTTGCAGTTTCACTTTGGTGCTTGCAGAGATTTATTAGGCAGCTCGCTACAACTGCTGCTGAAACGCTCAGTCATAATCCTCTTAAGTTTGTGTGTGTGTGTGTAATGAATACAGAGCAAAGAAAGTCAGAGCAGAGTGGAGAGAGAGTGCACAGGGAGTGTGTCGAGGGTCAGTGTCAGAAGAGCAGATATTTGCAAGCAGAGTAATGCTAAGATGTTTGTGTACTATAATCGAGTCTATTTTAGAAAAGTCTTTGATCACAGAGGCTGATCCAGAGTCAGATTATGTCGTATGGCTGCGTTATGAAGAAGCTGATTATTCCTGTATAAGATCATGAAAATGAATAGGTGGTTTATTTCACTGTGAGTTATTTAGTAACTGCAGTGCGGAGGATTTGGAGTCTAACTTCTAAAGATTGCAAAATTACACCTGACTTGAACTTCCTCTAAGGTTGCGTCGTAATTAAGCAGGGTCGCTGGTTTTAAGGTTTTAAGGAGGTTTGCTTGGATTAAAACTAGCTGGTTCGAGGCAAAGCCAATTAATACCGCTGTTAAAAAGAGGATTCAGAATTTTTGGAGTGGGGTTGAATGAGGTGCTTTACAGCTGCGGGTCTATTTACATACATTAAATAATGGTCAACACTACCTGTGTTTGGGGAAACAGATCGTAAAGACATGGATGCTTGGCTCTGAAGCATCTGTGGGGTCTTAATAAGTCTTAAAATGTCTAAAATCCAATCATTTGAATTTGAGGCCTTAAAAAATATCTAAAATTCTCTTAAAATCTCATAAAATGTCTTAAATATGAAGACTTGCACAATCGTATGCAATCTTAAATACAAAACTTGTCAGGTACAAAAAGTCTTTTCTTTTCTGGCCTTTTATAGATGAGCCGTCTTACCAAAAAAAAACTGTCTTAAGTACGATTTAATAATAAATGATGATTGATTTGAGGTAATGTAAAATGTTCTGATTTCCCTTCATGTCTTTTGTACTTTTTTTGTCTGTATGGATACAAAATTGGTCTTAAAATGTATTTGTTACGTCTTTAAAAAGTCTTTAAAACATCTTAAAATAGACTTGTTGAAACCTGCAGAGACCCTGAACTAGAGTCATTAGTCTAGGGTCATTAGTTGAGGGTCTGTATGCTGATTTCTATTGCGTTGAGCATTGTCTACAATGTTTGTGGAGCTTTTTCTAGTTCCAGTGAAGCTCAGCAGATCTGTATCAGCACTTAATAGCTTCAAGAACTAATTACCAGTACTGGCAGATTTGAAATTAACTGCCGTCATGTGGGGTCAATAAGTTGACACATTGATTATGTAAATGCCACAAAACCTTATATGTACACTTATAACTTGTCATAGCTTCAGCATGTTGGCTGTATGACAGTATTTTAAAGAGTTGGAAACAGCAAAATAACTATTTAACATACTGATAGAAGGAGAGACAGAACAACACTACTCTTACGCTGCCAGTTTAATTGTGCATGTCAAGATCTGTCGTCCTGAGCAGCATGAGGAGTCAAGGACTTGTTTTTGATAACCAGCCTTTCAGTGTGGTGGAAGATGCAGACTGATGTACTCGGCCAAAATGAGGTTGAAATCAGCTCAGATATCGGATTGATGGGCAAAAATACAGTGTCACGCTCTCTACACGGTTAAATTCTCTAAAAGTAAACCAACTTTTTCTTAAAATGCATGATGAGGGAGCAAAAAGAGCTATCCTAGTCCATGTAGACATTTATTCCATCATGTTTTACACAGTGAAACAGCTGCCTGAAATGAAAAATGAATGGGGTTGAATTTTGCAGTAGGTCGTGGTGGAAGCTTGAGCAGTTACTCAGCTTAAACCTCTGCGATTTGGCTACACCTGCATGAGTAGTTATCCATACTCAACACACCTCTTCTTTAGTTTGTGAGGTACGTTTGGGAACCCCCGAAATTTCCCTGAAGTTTTTCTTCCCATTTTCATTTCTTTAGTTTTCTTTCCTCACCACTCACACCTCATGTCTGTGTGTATCTTTAAACCGCACACAGCCCACAGGCCTCAGATCTGGATTTAAGCTGTCAGCAGGCAGCGGCTTGAACGTCTGCGGTGTGGTTCGTACTTTTCATGGCAGCTGCGCCAGAGTCCCTCCTTTTTCTCAAAGCACCTGAAGTGATGACTCCTCAGTTTCTATAGAGAGCGCTTCAAAAAGCATTAGTAATACGCCCTGTTGCACCTCACCTCTGTTTATCCAGCTTGTTGTTCAGACGCACAAAGGCACCTTGTGTTTACTTGGAAAAAGGGAGCATAACTTCTTCTTATTAAATCTCTTTGGCTGTTTGTGTCCAGCCCCTGAGCGGTCGGTCAGGTCACACACACTCACACACACGGGTCCAACCTTAAGTTAAAGCTGATGTTGTTTCTCATCCTGAGGCGTGTATTGATTTTGAAGTAGGATGAATCACTCAGTAGGGCAGTAAACATCTTTGTGATGGCTGTTAGACTGGGGTAAGATGCAATTTTAATTGAAACATCTGACAGCTATATGTTTGCTCATTAATTATTTCACTGCAGAAATCAATATGTTACCCTTATCCATTGCTTTATGAAGGGTCTTTTCTCTTTTTCTCATGGTTCTGTTTCCGAGCCTTTCTTAGTTTGCACAGCAGCAAATATGTGACCTATGATTTTAGTTTAGCCCATTAACTTGATTAACTTTGACAAAGAATGAAGAAAACATAGAGGTCACAAAGCATCTGCTAATTTGGATGAGGTCAGGGACTTTAGGTGGCCGTAAATCTGTTTAAGTTTGCTTGTTTTTGTCAGAGTTATCGACAATATCTGCCTGCAGGAGTTAATTAATGAAGCATGTTGGTGTATGAGTTTATCCTTCTTAGCTAAACAGTTGAAGTAATTGTATAAATCACAATATACTGTATCGCAATATTCACTGTTAAAAATTGCAATAATGTCGTATCGCGGCCCAAGTATCGTGATACTACTATACTATCATGGCCCAACTATCGTGATAATATCGTATTGTGGCCCAAATATTGTGACAATATTGTATCGTGGCTCAAGTATCGTGGCCAAAGTATTGTGATAATATCATATCGTGGCCCAAGTATCGTGATAATATCGTATCGTGATAATATCGTATCGTGGCCCTAATATTGTGATAGTATCGTATTGTGGCCCTAAAATCGTGATAATATCGTACCGTGGTCCTAGTATTGTGATAATATCGTATCGTGGCCCTAGTATCATGATAATATCGTATCATGGGGCCACTAGTGATTCCCACCCCTAATAATTTGTCTGTACATGATTATTTGGATATCTTCGAACAGAGGTTTGTTAAACATAAAATTCACTTCCACTTCGTTCTCACTTTCATTTTTCCGTATCAAACCCGTAGGATGCGTGAGGACATGTCCACCATGGTGTGCGTGAAGGAGGAGGAGGACCCTGGGGAGAAGCTGTCCCAGGATGAGATCATCTCCAGGACCAAGCAGGTGATCCAGGGGCTGGAGGCCCTGAAGCAGGAGCACCACTCCATCCTGGAGGGCCTGCTGGGTACCCTACGCTGCCTGAAGCAGGACGAGGAGGGCGTCCTGGTGGAAGAGAAGTCCCACATGATTCGCAAGTCCCTGGAGATGCTGGAGCTGGGGTTGAGTGAGGCACAGGTACGTCCGTCAATCACATGGAAATTTTTTACTGTATTTTGAAGATAAATTCTTCTGCCACTTTTGGTTTAAAAACAAACCGGTATTTACTCATTTCAGTTTTGTATTTTGTAAACTTGGAGATGCATTTTCAGGATTTTTTAAAAAACTAATTACAAGCCTAGGTTTGTCAGGAAGAATTTTGACTGTGTCATGAGAACGAAAAATGACAGACTTCATTAGAAACACTTGAAAAATGCTGCTGGTGCGGTCGAGCCTTTAGTTGGCAGTCATTCGTCTTGTTTTAATGCTGCGTATGATAACAGACTGAGAAAACCAGCCACGGGCGGAAATTCCAATACCGAGAATTCATCCAAAGCTATACATCATTCTTCTTTTTTCTGTCACACTTTAGATCCTCTCAGAGACAGACAATAGAAACAAAGAGAGCAGCACTAACAGATCAGACCTGAAGCCTTTTAAGATGCAAATTTATCCGAGACAGTTTGGAAACTTTAGATTTGTTGTGTCATCTCTCAGTTGGCAAACAACAGCCCATGAGCCGCTGCTGAGTCAGCTTGTGCCTCTGGTCCTCGTCTCGTATCAGACTTTGCTTAATACGCTGCACCCTGCAGACTCTTAATATCCACCTTCAGCCTTTTTTCTGCTCGCTCACAGCGGAGGTAAAGTACAGAGTCATTTCTATTTTCCTGCTGAATTCTTGTCTCTGCGCCTGAAATTTCTCATATAATTACACCTCTTTCAGCGTTTCACCTCACAACCTATGCTATTAGGCGGATGTTTTTACCCAAAGTGCCCCACAGTTATATAAGTGGGCACACATTTAGCTGTGGTGGGGGCCTTGCCTTCACCCCTGTGAGTTTAATCCTTCTCTAGTCATAATACCCCTGAAATCTGTCACTACTGAGCTGAAAATGAAAACTTGAGAGTAATCTGTAGATTGTAATTTTAGTACAACTGCTTAAAACTAAATCATTCCAGCATCAAAATACTTGATTATCAGAAACTCTTGAATTTACTAGAATAAAAAAAGTTGCTGCATCTTTTTTCCAAATCATCCAGGCTTCCTGTAGGCTGATTGTTGTAGCTTTACTTAGTCAACAAGGAATTTTTTTTACTGGATCTTTTCTCTTGTCTTTCTGTAGGTGATGATGGCGCTGTCGAGCCACCTGAGCTCCGTGGAGTCCGAGAAGCAGAAGCTGCGGGCCCAGGTACGCCGACTCTGCCAGGAGAACCAGTGGCTGAGGGACGAGCTGGCGGGGACGCAGCAGAAGCTGCAGAAGAGCGAGCAGAGTGTGGCCCAGCTGGAGGAGGAGAAGAAGCACCTGGAGTTCATGAACCAGCTGAAGAAGTACGACGAGGACCTGTCCCCATCTGTGAGTCCTCGGGTCTTTTTCACACTTTGTTCATGTTTGCGGGGTTTTTACCAGACATTACGCAACTGAAGGATGATACCAGAACATCAGATCTGGATCTTTACCAGCCTGGTGGTTACTGGGTTTCAGCCAGTAAATGAATGATTCTGTTTTATTCGCAGCAGCACAGTTGACCCGTCATTTCAATCGATTTCCACTTTTAGTCACAGCTGCTATCTCCTTTTTCTCAGCGCCGCAGAAAAAGATGGCTTCAGGCTGGCTTATATAACAGTTCCAAGTGATTTTATTTGGTGAAGACCACTGATTAAACAGTTTGGAGAGCTCTTGTGTGAATAAGTGTTTTCTCTTCTCTTCTCTCTTGTCTCTCCCGCCCACCTCGCTCTCATCTCAGGAGGAGAAGGACTCCGACTCAAGTAAAGAAAATTTGGACGATCTCTTCCCAGATGACCAGGATGACCAAGCCCCAGGCAGTAAGTGCTCCAGCTTCATCCTCCTCCCTCTGGTTTGGTGGATAACTCAAGCAGTTCCTAAAAATAGAATTTGGAGTTGTAGAAGCAGAAATCATCATAATAGAAAAGCAACTAAGAGGACACAATTACCTTGAAATTTTATATCAGTGTACTGACCACCTGCAGTCACGTGTCCACAAGTATCGGTGTAATAGTGGTTTTTCTAGGACAGGAAAAGACATAGTTAATCAAAAATGTAACCCCGTCAACAGTTAAACAGTTCAAACAGAAGTTATCATGAATATATAAACATTCAAACCTGCACAAAGTCCAACAGTCTGCCGTTCAGTGGCTGCAGTGTTTGTATGCCCATGCTCAAGTTGTTTGTGATCCATCTTAACCATGCCGGAGCAGGGTTTAGATTCTTCTTCTATCACAGGGGAACAGCCTCAGCATAGATACTCCTCATGATGGAGATTCAGGTGCTTTTAAGTAATCCAGATCATTTGGGTTAGAGGTCAAGGTCCAAAATGGTTCTAAATTGAATTGTTTATCGTTTCAATGCCAGAGGCAATTGAACAAGTGTGTGATGTCTTCACAGGAACAGCATGATAGTAATAATAGACTGGTCTTAGTTTTGGCATCCAGAAAGCAGCATGTTCCTTTTGCCATCCAGACATGATGATGTCAGGTACAAAAGGTCTGTACTGTGAAGTGGATAACTCCTCCTATCCTAAAGATTTATCATGGAATAACTGAAAAACATGCCTAACTGCAGCTCTCATAACATCAAGCTGTGACTGATGATGCATGTTTTCTATTGTAGGAAATTAGATCCAGTTTCTCTGACGAAATGTCATTGCTATAAAACCGGCTCAGCCTCAGGCAACAGAACTTTAATATTTAAACTATAAACACTAAAGTCTTCTAGTCCCCAGAGTCAGAACAGATCACATAATGAACTGTGCTGGAGTTTCTCGTGCCGTAAATCTTCGTCTCTTCCCCTGCACACCCCAGTTCTTCTTTCCTCTCGCTCCTCATGTCCACCCCATCCCTGGGTGTTTGATGGGGTTGTCTTTCAGCAGCTCCGACAGTAAAACTGTGCTGGCTGAACCGGCCCATTAGTCAGGACCTAGTTCGGCCTGGAGGGAGGCCAAATGGGGGGGAAACCCTCCCAAGCAGATTGTTGTAATGTAGTTCTCAGGTTCCTGGAGTGTTTTTTCTTGTTCATTTGAATCCAGTCAGGTGAAATAATGTTTGGAAATATCACTGTAGCGTTGGTGTGAACTGATTTGTATATAAAAGGAAATGAAAAGCTTTAAGTCTAAACATTTGTTGGCCTTATACTTTGAGAAAAAAGTGAAAAGCATACAATTCTGAGTAGATTAAGCCTGTTTGTCTTTGAGAAACCAATTACAAAAGCCTCATTTGACCGGGATTATAACTTTAGTGAACTGGATTGCCCCACCAGAACAAGTGCAGCACTAATTTAATTGAATGAAAGGAAATTCACTGAAGCTTTGAGTTGTACTGGGACAACTGACCTACAAGCTGCTGGTCTGCACAGAAACACAGCGAACTGTTTGTTCCCTAACTTGGCACTGAGATTCCTAAACCCCTTTTTGCACCAAGGTGATTCCTCTTTGGCTGCTGGCATCAGTCTGGCAGCCAGTTTGAATAGCTGACAGAATGGACTGCAGACTTGTTTACACGCCTCTGAGCATTGTTTGAGCCAGACTGCCGCTCTGAGAACTCCACTTTCTCTTTGTACGCGTCTAATTTAGTCTAATTCAAACTACCTGCGAGAGGTTACAGCGTCCTCAGAATGTGTGCGTTTTCAGATCGGACCTTTGTGTGTGTTTGATACCCAAATTGTGTAGAATTAAACAGGTTAAATGTCACATTTTGAGTCATCGACATAGGGCTGGGCAATAAACCGAACATTTACTGATACCAATGTGTCATTTTGCCCATGTCAATATATTCAGTGTCAAAAAAATAAATGAATAGAAGTTGGTTTTGGATGTGTGTAGGTAGGCTATGGTCTCATTTCCCTTTAAGACGCTTTCCTACGTCGGAGACGTGACTCCACCCCATCCAGTCTGTAACAAAGAGGGAAAGGCAGGTGAGGAGATGGAGGACAGTTCAAAAGTTGTAGTGGCTGAAGTAGACGAAGTTAATGTGATAGAGTAGTTATCGTCCATTTATCGTTATTGAGGTGAACTGATTAATATATCGGTGATATTAATTTTGACGCCATATCGCCCAGCCCTACTCGGGCAGCTCTCCAGTGAAAACTATCCAAAGAAATGTGTTTCATGTTTTTCATCTCTCAGAGAAACCCGGTTTTCCTCTGTTTTGGTTCATACCAGACTACTATTTCCCCTCGTTTCATATGCGTAAGAAGGGTTTTGATCGGGACTCCTCTGTGTTTTGGCTTCATTTATTTCTACGCTGCAGGTGGAAGAGCTGAGGAAGCAGGCCAGGTTGTTTTTGGGGATACTGTTTCAAATTAAAGTGCTACATTTTTCATTTTTCTGGACGGAAAACTTGCTTCATTGTGCATATTTTCCGCATTTTCCCCGATGCTGTCAGTCGAGCCTTTGCTGTGTCAAGCTCTGCAGCCAGTGTGAATTATGAGGATGGAGGAGAGCGAGAGAGAGAGAGAGAGTTTTTAATAGAACATAGCTGTGAGTGGGGAATACCAGGCAGCTTAAGATTGACTTTCTGCATCATAAATCTCAATAGAAGAGCTGCCACTTCAGGAGTCAATACTGAAAAATGATTAAAAAAATAATATGACATGACGTTTACCTCCTGAGTTATGGAGACGGTGATGTTGGCATATTCATGATGACTGTAAATCAAATAAATCAAGGAGCTGGAACCAGGTTAGAGGGATGAGGAGTGAAGGTATTGATAGAGATATTTATTGAGCTCGAAGATGGAGGAATAAAGTCAGTTATATTTAATTACCCTTGTAAGGGAATTTGGTGTCAGCATGTGGCAACACAAGGCTGCCAACAGCTTTTGTACGTACATACGATGAGAAAAGGCAGCGCAGTTGAACCCAAATGGTTTTTTAATTTCCCTGAGGGAACCCTCCCAAAAGGATCAATAAAGTTCTATCTAATCTAATCTGATCTGATCTAATCAGTGTATCAGTGTTCTCAACCGAGACCTGCTGTATCTGTGACACGAGGCAGGGGGCCACAGGATCATTTTATTCTACATGAAGTCAATTTATAGTATGTTAAGTCATCCACCGGTTATTTTTTATCATTAGATTATTTTTCAGATTTATAGTGCATGTGACTAAAAGGGTTAAATTGATCTATTTATCAATCTTTCCAGGGAGCACTGAATATTTGAAGGGATTTAAACACATGAACATGATCAAATGAGCATGTATTATGAGTCAATACAAAAGTAAAAATTCAGGGTTTTTTGTACTGTTAGATATCAAAAACAGCCGTTACATTAGTGATGGATTTCAGCTGTGTTTGTTTAATTGTGTGTATTTACTTAGATACAGTATATCGAAGATCAAATGATTAATTTGACATTTAAAAAACGTTTGCAGCCTTTAAAAGTTAACCGCTGGTAATTGTAGGTGGGGTTCCAGATAAACACAGTTAAAAAAGTTATGCAACCATGTCGGCCCGCACCCATAAACACCTCTCACTGCTCTTTGTTGCTCTCCCACGCCCACCCACATACTCCTGCTTACACCTTCATCAGCGTTGACAGTAAACACAGTCAAGTAGCAACATTTCAGGAAGGTAACTAGGACAAATAAAGGACAAAAGTTCAAATCTTCCAGGGTGAAGAGCTGCGCTTTATCGGGTTCATATTCACTGATATTAAATAATACCTGAGCTGACGGGTACGCTTTTGAGTGCCGTGTGTTTCTGGATGGATGAATCGATTTGAAAGAAAGGAGAGCATTAAAAGGCAGAACAGGAAAAGAATTGCTCACAGATCGGGGAAATTGGGATGCATTTAGGATCTGCCGGTGCACAGAGAGGGAACGCTGCTCCCTTTGACATTAATCCTCTCTGTGTGAAATGGAGCTGCATGATACTCTGTGGGAACGCGCGTGTGTGTGTTTGTGCTTCTATGTGTAGTGTACCGCTCAAGTAGATAAGCTATCTTTCCTCTTTAGGCTTATTCAGACTGCCTGAGATGCTGCTGGGGTTTTGGGGAAATAGCTGTCAGCAGAGCGAAGATAATGGTGGAAAGAAAGAAGAAAACGGCAATGACAGCTCTGCTTTTATTCAAACTTGGCCTTGAGCTCATGCTCATCTAAGATTTACTTTTCAGTCATTGAGCTTGCTTGATTATCCAAGCTTGTGAAGATTTAGTATCATCTTCTCTGTAGTTTCAGTCGAATCTGGAGGATTTATGAAAGTGGGGTCAGTGTCAGGTTGTTAAGCGTAAAAAGTTTTCTGTTTATGTTTAGTTTTGATCACCAAAACCATGCATTATAGACGTCCTAATACTGGCTGTTTCTAGCTTATATGGATCAGTTTGTCAGAAAATGTCCAGAACAGCTCCAGTCTGAAAGCTGAGACTGGGATCTGGACTTCCCAAGATCTGATTCATGATGGAGCACACATGTTTGAAAGTACAAAGTAAGAAAGTATGATGATGATGATGATGATAATACAGTGACAGAAGTGCTGCTGATGATGAGGATGATGATAATGATGATGATTACAAAAATGATGACAATGATGATTGCCACAGTGATGTTGGTGATAATGATGACAATGATGATGACACTGATGATAATGATTTTGATTATGGTATTGATGATTACGATTATAATGATGGCGATGATGATGATGATGATAATGATGATGACTATGACGATGTTGATGATGATATTGATGGTGATAATGATGACGACAATGATGATGATGATTATGATGGCATTGAGGATGGGAGTGATGATTATGATAAAAATGATGGTGATGATGATGATGATGACAGTGGTAATGATGATAACGCTGATAATGATGATGATGATGATGATGATGCTGACGACAGTGATGATGACGATAATGACCATTAAAATGATGACGATTATATTGATGATGATGACAACGATAATGATGATGATGAAGACAATAATAATGATGATGATGATAATGATGACTATGATGATGAGGATGACGTTGATAATGATGATGATAATGATGATGATGATGACTTTTAATATTTTGCTTGTTGTTTGAAGACGCTCATGGACTCATCTGTCCATTTTTTTGCATATTTGATTATACTTTCGAGTAGGTAGAGTCATTCTGCAGTGGTGTGTGTGTGTGTGTGTGTGTGTGTGTGTGGTTCTAAACACCTGGTACCACTTGGCGTCAGAACCAGCGTAGGTCAGTGTTATTGCTGCTGTGGGTGGTTCCCTCTCTGAACCCCGCTGGCTCTTTTTCAGAGTAAATATAGAGCTGCCTGCCTTTAATAAGAAACCCGGTCAGGTGGTTTCCTGACCTCTCACTGTAACACTTATGCATTATTATACACACACACACACACTTACGGATCATTCAAACAAAGTCTTTTTGACCCTGAGAAACTACCAGCACATTTTCCGTTCATCAGTATAATGAGGACATTGTTTATGTGTAAATAATCTTGTTTGTAGGGCATACGTAGGCAGCCAGATGGTGTGTGTGTGTGTGTGTCTGTCTGTTTGTTTGTTGTGGTTCAGCTTTGACCTGTTTGTGGGGAAACAGACAACTAATTACTTCAGAGGGGTCTCACAATTTAACAACAGAAGAAACCTGTGTTTAAAACAATTAATGGGAAAGGCTCATGTTTGCACATGCGTGACAAATTAGCTACAATACCAGCTTAGCCAGCTGTCCAGTTAGAGATAATTTACCTTTAAGGCCAAAGTAGAGCTGAAATGTTGAAACAGTCAATTAAAAACTTTTTTTTTTAGTTTTCCTGAGCAGAAAAAGCTCTGTAAGAAAAATGATTTTAGGTGGTTCTGGTTTGTCAGACAGAAGCGGCTTTTACAGTCAACATATAGTACCCTTTTTTACCTTAATGCTGTGTCAGTCCGGACACCTATAGAGCAGCTCGATAAAGCTCCTCGTCTTCTTCTGGCATCTGTGAAAACGCAGATTTCAGCACATTTCAGCTCCCGCCTGTACTGCTTCTTTCTGGCACCTCTTGCAAAGTCTAATCTTCGCCGCTCTCCTTCTCCAATCTGTCCTCCAGTCCAGCCAACTCACGGCAGCGCTGCAGCCGCCGCCGCTCAGCAGGGAGGATACGAGATCCCCGCCCGCCTGAGGACCCTCCACAACCTGGTGATCCAGTACGCTTCGCAGGGCAGATACGAGGTGGCCGTGCCCCTCTGCAAACAGGCCCTGGAGGACCTGGAGAAGACCTCCGGACACGACCACCCAGATGTGGCCACGATGCTAAATATCCTCGCCCTTGTTTACAGGTGGGTCTTCTCTCTGTAATTGCGGCTCTCAAATAGGATCATTTGAAGGTAGTTACAAGGATTCAGCTGCAAACCTTTAAAGGAAAATTATGGCAAGAACACCTCATCAATCAGTAGTTTAATTGAGATTTCATAATAAAGTGAGAGATAACAGAGAGCATTAGTTCTCTGTCTAGTTTGTGTGATTTTAACATTAAGACTGAGTTTGGATTTACATTAAGATCGCTGAAACCACTTCTAATCCAAAAGTGAAGTCCTCGACAGCTTCTAAGTCCTTTGAGTCCCTGAGGAACTCTGATTATTTCACGGTTCTCTCCACAATTCAAGAAGGGGAAAGCTTCATAATGAATGCCGGGACACTGTCAGCCACTAATCTATGAGAGGAATGTTTTCAACCTTGTTACCGTTCGAGCAATACTTCAAATACAGAGAGAGGGAGACGTGATAATGGCTCCTGTTGTCACCATCACAACTTGGTGGCATGCAAAGCAGAAACCTTTGGTCACAACCCTGAAAGCGCGGTGTGACAGGTCTCTAAAAGACCCCCCCACATGATAATTGGATGCCTTTCTACGTCAGAAGTGGAACTTAGCAAACGGAGCCGACAGGAGCAGATTTATGGTACAGTAATAGAAGTGGGGAAACATAGAGCAGAAAAGGGCCTGTAAGAGCTGGAGGGAACTTTGCAGGGGTCTGTCACGAGATTTTAACTTCTGTAAATTGTGTCCATTCAATAGTCGTGTTTTTAGTCTGGTTACCGTGGAGGAATAAAAGACGAGATACTTGTTGTTAACTGGGTTCTACATCCACTGTGGGAACTTCTGCGAAGCTATTTTAAACGATGTCACTTGAAAATAATGGGCTGCAAGTTAAAATTGTTGGAATACTTTGTTATTGTGTGTGTGTGTGTTGAAGTGTACTCCACTGACTCTGTTTGCCTCTGCCTGTCAGGGACCAGAACAAATATAAGGAGGCAGCCAACCTGCTGAATGATGCTCTGGCCATCAGGGAGAAGACTTTGGGCAGGGACCATCCCGCTGTAAGTGCATCATCCCCTGAAACTTCTCCTCTCCTCTCTTGTGGAGCACCTTGTTGCTAAAATGTGCAATATTAAAAATACGTATCTTGCCAAGAATTACATTAAAGTTATTCAGCAGGGCTCTGAGGGGATAGATTACCCTCCAGCACAGAAAGTCAAAAACAGGGGGTTACCTAACTTGGTTCAATCTGTAGAAAAATATATAATAATAAGAGTTAATTTTGACTAGGGCTGGGCGATATGTCCTCATATCAATTTCACGTTATATTGAGCAGTTCACTTCGATAACGATCCCACATTAACTTCGTCTACTTCAGCCGCTACAACGATGAAACGTCCTCCATCTCCTCAACTGTCTTTCCCTCTTTGTTACGGACTGGATGGGGTGGAGTCACGTCTCTGATGTAGGACAGCGTCTTAAAGAGACATGAGACCATTTATTTATTTATTTATTTATTTATTATTGACACCGAATTTACCGATATGGGCAAAATGATGTTGGTTATTGTCGTAAATTTTGGCATCTGTAAATTTTCGGTTAATTGTCCAGCCCTAATTTAGAGGATCTTTTGCCCCTAAATTAAAGTAAACCTATCACACACTGAAAAAGTCAAACCCTGTGCTTGACAATTGTATCATATCCAATCTCCGAGCAACCAGAGTCCTGACTATCAGATCTCTCAAGGTCAAATGTAATTTTGGAGTAAACAAATATGGTGGATGACAGGGCTGATGGTCACCAGGTGATTTGTTTCCATCGTCAGTCAGTTTTCTTTCTAATTGGCCTCTTACACATTAGAATTACTGATTGTAATAGTGAACATTACAATGTCAAGTCAAGGAGGGATAAAAAATCACTTTAAACACAATTCATGTTGCAGGATTATCTGTCGCAAAAAATCTTCAAAACCATCTGAAAATCGGGCCTTTTGTGACTTTTTTATTTTGAAGGGGGAGTCTGGCTCAATATTTTTTTATCCTCTGTTTATATTCTACTGTGTGCCCAGCTATAAGATAAGGACTAGAGGAGCTTACCCTGCTCAATGAAAACAGGATGAAATCCACTTTAGATTGCTAACTGAAACAATATATCCAATGTTGTTGTTGTTGTTGGGTTTTTTTTGCTGTTTGTGTTCAGTTCATGGCTGCAGCTTCATAATCAAACTCAGACGTGTTTTAATTTCACCGAGAAAGCAAAACACACACATCCTAAAATGTCCCTTTTTCATAAGAAGTAGTTTCAATGTAATTATGACTGTTGTAAAACTATATATTCCACAAGTGCATTCAGTGGAAAGATACAAAAAGAACTTGTCACCCGGTGAGGGACTGTCGTAGTCAGACTGCACCATCCACCATTGTTATGTTTCCATTTCTCTGGACTTCGCTCTCCGCCTATTTTTGGTCACTGCAGCAGTGGCCCAGTTCTCCCTGAAGATCGATAAAAACATTTCAAACTTTGCTCCCCCGCTCTCCTTCAGGTAACACATTAAACAAACCCAGACAGCAGTAATAACAGTGCAGACTAAGTCGTTTGTGAATTAGAGTTTGGAGGTATTTATCTGGATTAAAGGGCCCATAAAATGACTCCTGAGTGTTCAAGAGCTGCTCTCAGACGTAATATTCCATGTATCAGTGTTAGATTATATTGACTGAGAATCACACTGAACTGTTTCTCAATATCAGATCCATTTATTTAGTCTGGAAACAGGGTTGAGTTTGGTTATGAGATGAATCCTTTCAATTGTGTTTGTCCTTCACAGCTATAATAACCTCCCCTTTAAAAACCAATACAAACAATATCAGGGTTTGAAAGTGTGATTTAAAAACACTCTAAAACAGCAGCTAATGAATTGGACACATAATGACTTTCTCGAAGTCTCCTTAGAAGCTCGTGGATAATGTTGGTTCAGGGTGTTGGCTCTTCATACATTTTAAATGACTAATCTCTCATAAAGCTTTAAATAATTTCTCTCAGATTGTGATCGTCGTCCAGATGGATTAAGATGAACATGGAAGATTTCATCAATAATTCATTCATTCAGGGCTGTTTCCTCACCCATTAACCTCTTTTTGTAAACATACAGTACAGCAGCTCCACTAACTCTGTTAACCCCAGCAGGCCCCCGCCTCCTCCTCTGTCTGGACCTCCATCTCTCACCACTTTGTCAAACCAAGGTTAGCCCTCCTAACTCCCGGCCTCTGATCCTGCCACAAAGTCCCAATCCCTTTTCCACACCAGAATGATCCGAATTCAGCAACAAATCAGCCAATTATCCGATTCACCATCACCTGATTGGTCTGTTTGGTTTTCATCTGATATCCTTCACTTTGCCTCTCGCTCTCTTTCTCCTAAATTTGTCTTTAAGTCTTCAAATTTTTTGACTCATCTTCCTTTTTGGTCTTTTGCTGATGTTCAGACATACTGGTTTGTTTCTACATGAGCAGTTATGTGCTGTAGGTCCCCTCATAGTCCGCTCTGTGTGTGTACATGATAGCTGATTGGGTGGTCTGGGACTTTGACAGCTGCGGTATCAACTTTGACAAAGTGACTTACCGGCTGTTAAAACCGAATCTGAGGTATCATCTCTGTTGTGGACTGTTACTTCACTGAGTCAGGGACAGGACAGGAGGTACCAGACTTGAACCGAAACAGTTCAGGGCCCCCCACTGAAGTGTTGTTGTGTTGAAGTTTTACCCACAGAAAAGAGGGTCGGAAATTAGAAGCCTCTGATTGCAGCTCCTGCCCACGCATCAATTTAGATATCAGGTTCTCTAAAGTGTCTCAAAGTGGGGTCCTTCAAGTGGGACCCTCAGGGGTGCCTGGAAGAGGTTGATGGGAGGAAAGAGTTTGTTTATCCAGACCAGAAAGTCCTCAGAGGATGGACCATCAGGGATGCTGTCTTTTCAGCTCCTCCACTTTTCCTCCGTCTCGAACGGCCTCGAGCTGAGGGGAGTTTCTGGCCTTTCAGGATCATGGCTTCCTCTTTGTTTGGTGCTATTTTAACCGTGTTTGTAGATGCAACAATGAAGTGTGTAAACAGACAGTGGCCTGATTTACAATCCCTCAAAATCTATTTTTATCACCACTTTCCAAACGGAGTTAAAACTGATTTTCTATTACATGAATGTCTTATGGTATTTTCATCAACAACAGGAAGACTCCAGACCCCTGGTTAAGAACGACTGGTTGAGATCATGACTTTATTCAGAGACAGAACATGTGAGATTGGTTGTTGGTTTTAGTGGCTGTTTTGTGGATATATTCATGTGTCCAGCTGTGGCGAATAATTTTTATCTCTTAAGAAAATTAAGAATCAACATCAGTCACGCTGAACTTTTCAATCTGAGACAGCGGTTTTTGGAAAAAGTAAAAAGATTTAGTTTTTTAAATGTTACTGTCCTCTGTTCACTCCCTCTGTCTGGATTACCAACCCCTCCTCCAGAAACCTCTCTCCCTCTCTCGCCCTTTCTTGCCCTTCTTCCTGTCCTCCCACTCGGTCCACATGGCCACCAGATCCTGTCTGAATCAGAGGTGACCTCCGGGCTCTTCCGATTCCCCTCCTCCTCCTGAGCGCACTGTTGAGATTCATCCTCCAGCTGATTGGGATCAAATGACAGCCCACCACCATCACCCTCTGTCTCAGCATGTCTTCCTCCTCCTCATTCATTCATTCATTCTAACAGATTGACGGCACAACACGGTGGCTATGATGGAGATCTGCGGTCGCACGAATAAAGAGCACGCGGGTGAGAATGGTTTCCAAAAGTGTTGTGAAATAACACGTGTTTGTTTTTCCCCGTCAGGTCGCTGCCACCCTCAATAACCTGGCTGTCCTGTATGGAAAGAGAGGAAAGTACAAAGAAGCAGAGCCGCTGTGTAAGAGAGCGCTGGAGATCAGAGAAAAGGTAGGTCAAAGGTCATCAAACACCGCAGCTAAACAGATTCAGCAGTAGTTACACAAACTATGACAAAGCACTTTTTTACTCTCTGGTCTAGAAACTTCAACACGAAAGTTTTCTTTCACTTTAAGACAAACTCTGTCCCACTTTGCGACAAAGCAGTCAATCACTTAACGCCGAGGACTTCACTCAAAAGATGTTTCCCATGAGTCACTGGTTTTTAGAGGCTGCAGAATCAAGGACACGCTTCCTGCCAAGCCCTGTCAAAGTGAAGCACGGCTCATTCAGCCCACAACAATAACAGTGACAGATTTACTCTCAATCACTCCTGGAGCTGTAGGCTGTCCGTTTCACACAGAGGGAACTAAAGCAGCGCTCCTGCTTCGCTGACAGCTGTAGTTATTTTATTTTCAGCTTTTAAACGCCATCAGTTTGTTAAAAACGTTCAATTTCTGACGTTTTTGAGCTCCATTTCCTCTCAATTGAACTGAACGTTCTCCAGAAGGCGGCGCACACAGTTGCTGCGGCTCTGTGCGCTCTCAGTCGGTGCTTTAAATGGCTTTTTAGTTTCATGTTCATGTGTGTCCTGGGTGTTATACCTGTTACAATGACAATAAAGGACTATTCCAACTATTCCTATTCCTATTTGACCCCCTCAGAGATTCATATATTGTGCTTAAAACTAGTTCCCATACCTGTAAGAATAAACGTGAGAGCCTGAGCTGTAAATGTAAAGATGTAGTGACCCTGCTACACGTCTTCGATAGTGGATAGATGAAGAAGTGTCGGACCACCAGCAAGCTAGTTGTAGCATCCCTCTGAGCGATGATTCAGCACTTTTAAAAACTGATATTTCAGACTGGTTGTGAACATCAGAGCTCGTGACTCTTCAGGTTACGAATCAGTGAACATTTATACTTTCTAACCTGTTATTTAGCAGACTTAAAAACCAAAGTCTAATTATCACGCTGGAAATAAAGCAACCTAAATCCATCCTAACCTTGCCTCTCCACAGTTCATCATAGGTGCTGCCCATCAGTCCCGATTGTGTCTGAAACACCGCATTATCACCGATTCTGTGTCTGTTCTTTGCTTCTTGCTCTGAACAAATCCCCCCCCTCGCTTTCCTTCACGCTGCTCTGAGAAGGAGACGTCAGCTTTGGTTAAGCTGAGCAATGTCATTTTCCTTGTGCTACTTAAACCCAGATGATAATGCTCTCACTGAAGCCCAGAGATTTGCCACTGAGGTTGTTTTTTTTCTGCACTGGCAGGGCGGTGCAAAGACCTCGCTGTGGATTTGTTTTTCTCAGCTTGATTTAATATGAAGCTCATTTTTCTGACGCCAATTAAAGATATATTTGTATTGGTTAGATTATAAAACACCTCATGCCGTCTTTGAATATGAGCCAAATTTCTGTTAAAACACACACATTGTAGTTTCTTTAGCTCCAATCCCACCTGTGTTGTCCGGCTGCCCTAAATAATCACTAGAGCGACAAATGCGTATTAATCCACCTCTGCAAATAGTCCCAAACAAATGCACGTTTAAGGACAGTCATTATTTGCTCAGCATTGTTAGACTTTACACGCTATAGATCAATATTTTTTGGCTGTTTTCAAAAATGTGTGTATCATCTTGGTGGTGTTTTTGTATTTTTTGTGTTTCTGTTTCATCATAACGCTGCCTCAGCAGTTAACTTAACCATATTTCTGACACTGTAGCGGTCAGTGACTCTAAAATGACCAGCATCACTCAGCGCTCTGTGTGCCGGATAGTCATGTGACCACACAAATATGCTGTCAGAGCCGCTGCAGAGTCTGTAATTGCACATTTTTCTGATCGAAAGTCCTCCAGCAAGAAGGTGAAGGTCCAACCTGCTGGGAGTTGTCTTCCTAGAAATGCACAATAAGCCAAATGCCTGAATTTCTCCCAAACTCAGTAAATACTTTACCAAACTGTGGGTCCAGAGAGCGCGCTGTAAGCAGAGGCTTTTCTGCTTAATTTCAGATTTAGCATTATTTCTAAGAGCTTCCTGGAAAAAAATGGCTGCGCTTTTTCAATATGTGACGGCTTCTATCAATAAATGAAATCAGCGCCTCTGTGACCTGCATTTCCCCCCGTGCTCGGCTTATGGAAATTCTTTTTTTCAGCTAATGATGTTCACGGGAAAGCTGTCAGATTTGTGACACTGCGAAGGAATGCAGGTGGCGACGCTCGGATGGGTCTGTACCATCCTGGTGATCACAGAGGCTGTCAGACACCTTCCCCCTACAGGGCGGGAGATGATCCTGTTGGGCTCAGACCTCCTACGGACTCAAACGCTGCAGTTATCTAAAACCAAAAACCCCCAAAAGACAGACAACAAGCTCTTTGGTTTACATCCTTCCCTTTAACTTTTGGTCTTTATCAAATTTTCCCCCATTTTTTTGAGCAGCAGCTTTCTAACTCTGTTTATTAAAATTTCATCCTCCTCTCCCTTTCTTCTTCTCAGCCTGCCTGCTCTTTTTTCTTTCTGTATTTTCCATCCTCTCTGTCCCCGTCTGATCTCCCTTTTTGTTAATCTGCCAGACTCCATAAAACCCTCTCCACACCTCGACTCTAACGATCCTCCCGCCCCTCTTTCACGCTCGCTACACTCGCCTCTGATTGCGTTAAGCCTCCGCGGCACATAAGGAAAGCTCACACTCAACGCGAACACTTCCACCTGACAAGATCATTTTTCACGGTTGATTCAGCTTCTGTTTGTCTGCGGCAAATGTTGTTTGCTGCTTAACTTGTGTGTTTGTCCCGTGTAATCAGCTTTTATTGAATCAAGCGGGTCAAAAGTCCACCAGTCTGGTTCTGGACAAATCTTTTTGGATACGCTGGTTGTAGGTTAAATTGCTACAGATTTAATTCCCCGCTGTGAAAGCCTGACTTTGTGGATCCAAAATTATATTTATTTGACCAAATTTCATGACCAGAAACGTTACAAACAAATTCCAAAAAGCAGAGTTTAATTTAACGCTGAATATATTGTCAGACGGAGAATTCAAAATCACTCTTGGGTGTTGAAACTGGGGCAGAAACTGAAACTGAAAGTGTACCCCTGGAGAAGCGAGCTAACAAATATGCAAAATTAATCATTAGTTATTTACAAATATTCAGAATAACTGCAGTTTGAAGCACGTTATGTTAGAGGTGTCTTAGAATAGAGGAGAACAGCTGCAATAAGACAGGGTACCAGCTTCTCCAGCACCTGCTCTCAGGCTGCTGGTACTTTCAGGTCGGTGGATGAGGGCTGTCGACCAAATGGCAGATCTCCTGAGAGACGGGTCGTCTTCTGCAGCTCGTTCAGTCTGATGTAATGACTGTTTTCGTTACCTCCCTCTTCTGTTTGCTTCCGTTCACCAGGTGCTGGGGAAGGACCACCCAGATGTGGCCAAGCAGCTGAACAACCTGGCCCTGCTGTGTCAGAACCAGGGCAAGTACGAGGAGGTGGAATACTACTACATGAGAGCGCTGGAGATCTACCAGACCAAACTGGGCCCTGACGACCCCAACGTGGCCAAAACCAAGAACAACCTGGTGAGAGGGAGCAGCTCGGATGGTGTCAGTTCCATCCTCCCCACCCCATTTCCCAGTTGTTTTTCAGGAGGTGGCGTTTTCCGCAGCGGGTCCTCTGAAAGTGTTTTGCTGTCCTTATCATCCGCAGTGTCGTGCTGACTCTTTACATTTCGCCCTCTTTGTCTTGCAGGCATCCTGTTACCTCAAACAGGGCAAGTTCAAGCAGGCCGAAACTCTGTACAAAGAAATCCTCACCCGCGCCCATGAGAGGGAGTTCGGCTCCGTCGATGGTACGCCATGTGACCGGATTATAAAAAGAAAAACCCAAACACACAACTCAGCCGTAATCCTCTCATCCAAAGTGACTTAAAATAAGTGGGAAACATAAACAAATGAGTCCTTCTCTGACAGACCCTGCTGCTCTCCCCCTCTTCAGGAAAGCTTCTGTTTTCAGCTGTAAACAAAAACGACCTTTTGACCCAAAAAAAAAAATTTCTTCAGAAGCAGAGTGACTTTTTCAAACTCGTGAGCGAATATCTCTAAGGCATGTTTACCTCATGCTGCGTGTCTGTCTGTTTCTCTGCAGATGAGAACAAACCAATATGGATGCACGCCGAGGAGAGAGAGGAACAAAGCAAGGTGAGCGAAATACGAGGCGATTTTTCGACATTTCCTTTCATCATGTCAAACTGAGTCTGGATTTTGCCGCACGTGCAGATAAGAAGATCCTGAAGTAGTCCGCCAGGTTTAAGATGTTTTTATTCAAAGGAATAGGCCTGAATCACTTCACTAAGAGCTGGATTAGATGACTAAGCTTAATAATTACCATCTGATGCTGATTTAAGTATCGGACTTTACCACCAGGACTTTATTTTCATCATGCTTTCAAGTGTTTGCTTGTTCAGGGACTAACCAGACTCTAATCTCATGACCGAGAACCCCTTTAAGTTATCTTTGAAGGTCTTACAAAAGCCACTTGTTTTGAAACGGGCTTCATAAATCCCCGTACTGCACGAGTCATTCAAGAGTAAGTTAACCGGTTGACCCAAAACATTCAGTTAAATCCAAGTTATTAAGTTCCCAGGAAGCGTTTAAGTGTTGACCAATAATCACATCAGTCCAGTTCTGAGGTCTTTACGGATAGGGTGACTGTACGTCCTCTTTTACCCGGACATCGGGACATGTCCTCTTTTTTGGGGGATGTCAGGACTTGTCCGACTTTGTCCGGGGAAGTTTATAAAATCCTTCAAATGTCCGCAGTTTTGTACAAGAGTTTCGATTTTGTGTCATGTTGACTTACTGAGTTAGAAGCTCGTAAAAGACACTCAATCCCACCCGAAACACTATCAAAATAGACGGGTTTCTGTGCGACGTCATTGCAGGTATTTGCGCGCAGCCAGGGGGCAAAAAGCGGGACATTTTTTATTTGTTTACTAGCGGAGTAAAAGGAGAAAGAAAATGACAAGAAGCTGTTGTGCTGTAAACTACACGAATCGGCAAAACAAACAAATGGCAAACATTACGACCCTGATCCTGATATTAGAAACATCTAAAACAACAACGTCACAACCTGGTAAACTGAGTGAACTTCATGGATATTTCAGCGAGTGTGTTTCTGATTTTGATGCAATGAAAGACAAAATGATTTTTCAATGAAATGACATTTTACGACATATGCAATTATGCCAGGGAGAACTTACAAACAATACGGCATCTTCATTGATATCAGTTCACTCTAAAGCAGGCTTTTGACCCATGGTTGCGCACACACCTAGTTTGTTGTTTTTTTTACACAAGAAACCCGTCTATTAACTTTGTGTGACTCCGCCCCCTCATAGCTGCGTCCTCTTTTTGGGAGGTCAGTTTCAAAATGCTGTCCTTTTGATAAACGTCAAAAACTCCTCAATGAAGCTTTAACCGTCTGTTTTTGCTTTAATTTTCAGTGACTTTTCTCAACGACTCTGCTCGTGTGCTCTTTCACTAAACTTTAAATTTGTCTGACAGGGGAAGCAGAAGGACGGCTCGCCGTTTGGAGAATATGGAGGCTGGTACAAAGCTTGTAAAGTGGACAGGTACGTTCATTTGATGAATCCAGATGCAGAAAAAGAGGAAAGATGAAACATTAAGCTGTTCACTCAAAGCAAGAGGTTCTCTGGTCTCTGTGCTCTTACTTATCGACAGCATATATGTCGCTTTTTCATCTCCCCTATGTTTTCTTTGTTGTTTAGTAACTTCTTCTTCTGAGTTGTTTTGACCTTATTTAGGACCCACCAAAGGTTTGAGAAGACTGATTCTTGCGTCCCAATAAATGACGTAAAAATCTCTCTGTCATTATTTTGCTTCATCACTTAAGAAAATTGGAGATCTTGACAGCTCAAGTAAAAGGTTGTTCTTAATAAACTGTTTCCCAGTGATTTAATATTCGTCGTCTTCTTCCCTGCAGCCCCACAGTGACCACCACCCTGAAGAACCTCGGCGCCCTCTACAGGCGGCAGGGCAAGTTCGAGGCGGCTGAGACCCTGGAGGAAGCTGCCATGCGTTCCAGAAAGCAGGTGTGGTCTCTAGGTTGATGATGCAGCGTCGTCACGGTTTGTGTTCAAACCGCAGAGACGGCGCCACATGAACGAATCCAGTGACCGTTTCTCTGTAGCCGTTCCTGGCTGATTTAAAGGCAGAGATAGTTTAAAATTTAGGAGAAAATGATGGATAATTAGGAGGTGGACAAGCCGCCTCTGATGGCGTGTTACCTAAGAGGCTCCCTGTGGAGATAAGAGGCAGAGGAGAAGCCCTGCAGCTCTCAGCCTGAATTAGGATTCCCTTTCCTAATTTAATATCGAGCATCTTTCTGTTGGAGAGGAACATGAGACTGTTTCAGCTGCTTTGTATGACAGTAACAGGAAGTGAAACCAATCTGGCGTCTCATCAAACCATCTGTCCTTTTTTCTTAGATATTTACAGGAATATTGTTGTAGATTCTGACATTTAAACCGGATTATTTTTAGGATTAATCAGCATAAGAGAGGAAATATTACATTACAGGTAAACCAGTGAGCATGAGAGAGCATCCCTGTTTACTCTCTGTGATCTTGTCCGTCCGTGTTTTTCCTCTCGTGAATAATTCATCCCTCCGACAGGATCAGAGGAAACTGTTTTTGCACGAGTCTGCACGGTGCTGTAACAGTATCACGGTGGCAGAGTCTGCAACATATACCTGAAGAGAAATCCCATTGTTGAAGGAGATAATCGAGCTTTCTGTCATAAAATTTGAAGATTTTTTTAGATATAATTTCAGGACAAAGTGTCATAAGGGTTCCTAGTTTTCCAATTCTAGAAAATCGAGTCTAAATTTGAGCTTTTCTGAAATATTTCTACTCTGTTTGTGTGTCTGCCAGGGCCTGCTTTGATCCTGGCAGGTTGTATAAGTTCACAGCTTTAATATTAATTGGATTAAATGACTTGGAACTTGTTCCTGTCAGCTGTGCAGCTACCATGTGTGTGACAATGTGCTCAAACTGTAGGTAGCTGAGGCTCCTTGCTGTTGATTTAATTGGATTAGCTGAATCGACATTTATCGCTTTTATATGTGTGTGTGTGTGTGTGTGTGTGTGTGTGTGTGTGTGTGTGTGTGTGTGTGTGTGTGTGTGTGTGTGTGTGTGTGTGTGTGTGTGTGTGTGTGTGTGTGTGTGTGTGTGTTTTCCAGGGTCTGGACACCGTTCACAAGCAGCGTGTGGCAGAGGTCCTGAGCGAGCCCGAAGCCCGTGAGAAGCAGCGGAGCCGCGAGAGTCTGACCTCTGACACGGTGAAATACGAGAGCGGGCCAGACGGTGGCGAGGAAGTGAGTATGAGCGTGGAGTGGAACGGGGTAAGTACAGTACACAGCCCTCAACATGGAGACGAGAGTCTACATTCAGTCCAGACCCGTTGAACAGCAAACAGCCTGTATCTGTCCTGGTAGAAGCCACATCCAAAACCATCTGCTCTGATAAGCATGAGTCCTGTTTTAAAGACGTGTATATATACGTCGTACATGTTGACACAGTACAGTGTGTAACTCCCAAACACTGATAAAATATTTGTAGAGCCATCAGTCGGAGCGGGTGAGGTCAGATCCAGCTGGTGTAGACCAGATCCTGTTAACTCTGGTGGATTTGCTGCAGTTTTTCATCCTCTTTCTTTTGTTGGGATTGATTCCTTTAGAAAGCAGAAAGGCAGATTTTACCCCTGAGCATTTTTAGGTGAAAATACAAAATAAAATCTTTAGAGACAATCATAAAGTTGAAGCTAGTTTTCCAAGTTTTACAGAACTACAGATTTAAAGTGTGCAGACCTGGTTCCCTTCCTTAAACTGTGTAAAACATATTTTTTATCAATATGTTTTTGCAAAGCAGAGTCGGAAAGTGTCAGACGTCATACTTGCTTTCTGATATCGGAGTTTCCAAAGATATCACAGGAATTATGATGGACGTGTTTACCATCAGTGAGTTACAGCAGCTGGAATCTCGTCTTTGTTCTCTAAGTAGTAAAAGAAGCTTTTAATTGAGCAGAGTTTGATTTTATGTGAGTCTGTGTGCAGTATTAAAAGGATCTGACTCCCTCCAAAGTGTTATTTCACTTCTAACAAGATACCTGGAGCTTTTTCTTCAGGGTTAGCCAAGTTTATTTCCTAGGAATATATACTTAAGTCATCCTCTAGCCTCTAGAGAAACGGCCCTGCATGGTTGGTACCTGTTGTGATGTAATGATGGGAGTGATTTGGATCAGCATACAAGCGAAGACAGACCCACTCCTACTCCTCAAGTAGTCTATTTGCTGTTTTGATGTTGCAGAGTCAAGATGTCAAAGGTTAAAGACAGACAAGCCAACCAACACTTATGTCTATTATGTCCCAGAACTGGATAATCAAGGTAGCCTTAAAAAACGGCAACACCACTCCACCAGTCGCCTTCTCATGTTTGAGGTCCGATTCTCAATCTCGACCGAACAAAGAGTCTAATTTTGTGTTTGCTGGATCTGATTTCATCCACCCTCCATTCACTGAACATCTGAGGTGAACATGTTCATCAGTGTCCGTGTTTATCAGGGTTTCTGTGGCTCCTGTCCAGAAAGATATAAAGCCTGTTTACTCAGCTACAAAAAAACCCCTCTGTTTCAAGGATCGTTCAATAATGTTTTACACTGATTATGCTGATTGACTGTCAGATTTACTACAGTACTAAAGTAGAAACTGCTTGCACTAAACCGTTAGAGTGATTTTGATTGATGAGACCAAGTGAGACTTGGCTGGATCTTAAACCTCCTCACAGTAGGTGCTTCAGTCGTAGTGTTTAACATCCAAACAGTGCTTTGGTCTTAAAAACTTTTTCTCCCTGTAGCCCCCTCTTCTTCTTCTTCTTCTTCTTCTTCTTCTCATAAAGCTTTCCAAACTAACTGGTTCTCTAAAAACCCGCTCTCACAGCAGTAAAACTCCTCTGGTTTCACATGTTGACGACACCCTCCTAACCCCCTCTGCTGCAGAGCCGCACCTCTAACTCTGCTTTACAGTGTCTGCGGTGTTTTCTCACAGCCTCTAGTGACTGCAGCAGCAGAACATGTAGATGTAGAGTCTCTGTAGGCTTCTCACCGTCTAAATCTTTAAGGCTGCTGCTGCTGCTGCTGCTGCTGCTGCCAGCTCACATAGCAACAGTAGTCATAGCTCCCTGAACAACCAATCAGCATCTCCTCCAGTCGCTCAGGTCGTGGCTCTGGGAGGTTTTGGTGGAGATGCATCAGTGTCAATGAAAAACAATGTCCTGTCAGTCGTTTATGAGCTCACAGCCTCCCGCAGACGATCACACTCTTACTGGCTGATTCTGGATGATTCTTTTAGGGAACCTGCCTGTTTCATGTGGAAAGAGCTCCAGCTGGAAGTGATTTTTTCCCTTAAGTCCTCTTTTATACATCAGTTAATGATATTTAATCTGAAAAGTTGCCATTGAGTCTACAACAGTACATGAAAATTATAATTTAACTTTGTTTTAGTGAATTTAGAAAGAGCCTTAAGGAGCTTCTCTGTCTATAAAAGGCCTCCATCTTTTTCCGCCTTACTTCTACGGGAGCAGAGAAAGGACAAACTTATAACAGGCTGTTTTTGAACTTTCAGTAAATTGCTGAAATTCATCAGATTGAAAAAACAGAGGAAAAGATTCATGTATGTTAGGAGATTTTTGTCCTCTGAGGCCACCATCTCTTCCCTGATAGGAGAGGTGAGTAAGGGAGCAAGAATGACCGCTAAATATGAGTAAATATCCACATTACTATACACTGTTCTCCGAAGTCCAAATAATAGAAATAGTGCAGATCATAGAATTGGATTTGGCTGTAGATAAATCATATGTACTAAATAAAATCTATGTAATTCAGAATGATAGAAAAAAATATTGAATGCTAGGGCCTGACCGATTTATCGGCAAGCCGATTGACTCGGCCAATTTAAACCAATTAACCAATTTAGCCAATTTAAATCACAGATTTTCGCCGATATTTTCAGAAATAAAATGCGGAGAATAAGATTCGGTTTCACTTCGAAAATGTTCCGCCATTTGAAAAGTTCCCCGACTTATCCTGTAGATGGCGCATCGACCTCACCTTCATCCACAAACTACCTCACAGCACAGCAGAGTGACAGCATCTCGGCATCAGTGGGCTCTACTAAATGCACCATCAACAGTGAAATATTCAGATCTTACTGTCGTAGATGAGGAACAGCACACAGTCTGAATCCATTAGAGCAGCAGCACCTGGTGTTCTCTGTATTTTTACCCTCTGTTGCCTCCCTGCAGCTGTTAGACCACTTTTTTTCCCCTCCAACCTGCCTTAAAAAAAAAAAAATCATCACTTCCACTTCAGCTCTCTCCTCAGGCAGGCGTGAAAACAGTTTTCTTCTCACTTCATATAAAATTAGTCCTCCGAGAAGCAGCGTGACTCATCGGTCTGTTCATCCGACTCAACATGGGCTCTGTACTGTACTCCGTCTGTGTCCTCTGGGCACCGTCTTCATGTATGTGGTCCTTATGCACTGTGTCGTGTGTTCTTGTGAATGTGTTTGTGTTAATGTGTGTGTGCATCTTCCCTCTGCATGTGTGTGATGAGCTGCTGCTGGGATTCAGTTTGATTTCTTTTCCTTCTGCTTGTTTTGATTGGACGTTCACAGCTAGAGGGGAGGGGCATGTCAAGGTAGAAAATAAAATTAAGAGTTAAAAACTCAGAGCACAATAAATTTAAGTTATTATTCGATTTGTGTGAAATATTTTTAGCTGATGCTCTCCCCTTTAGAAATTTCAGATACTTCGATCTTAGTGGGGTCGTGTTTTTGATGCATTATTTTGTTGTTTAATGTTGAATATGACAGAAATTTGCATTTCGTTAAAGCACAACAAGCTAATTTAGTGCTCAATCAACAACTTTTCTTAACATATTCAGCGTCATGAGGCCAAAAATGATCAAACTACAAGAAACAGCGATAAAAGCTCATCTTCGTAGTGATATTTATCTGCAGAACTTGCATTAGAAACAGTCGACAAATAAACAGGAGTGTCTGTATCTGTCCGGCTGCTCTCGTGTGTCTCCCTCCTGCTCTCCGCTGTCTTTGTTTTGTGGCTTTTCGACAAAAGTTTTGATGTAAATGTTTGAACACTGCTCCAGATCCAGACGCAGAGCCTCTCCATCATGTTGAGCTGTGCGAGAGCCCCACCTTGTGGGAGGCTTGGAGAATAACGTCATATTTGAGCACTCCACAGAATTCATTCAGTAGACTGAGATTTAATGCTTAGATTTTTTTAAAGAAGTAAAGATAAGAGAAAAGATTAAAAAATCTACACCTGGTGACTTTAGTTCTTGATCCGAATTAAGACATTTATTAAGATTTACACAGAGAAAGCTTCAACTTATGTCATTTTTATCTGTTTTTGCCATTTCCAGGTTTCTATCTAATCAGATTTATTCTAAAATTTTAACTGGACATTTGTTTTTGATATCTCGGGTTTGAAGGGTGGGCTGATTTTGCCAGCACTGATAGAGAAGTTCTGAGTCTGATCTGGAAAACCTGCTCACTAACCTCACCTTCTCAGTGTCCGCTTCTCTTTTTCTCTTGTATTTCCCCTCTACATCTCATCTCACGGTCTTTTTCTCTCTCTCTCTCTCTCTCTCTCTTTTTCACCGCTTGTGTTTCCTTCTTCTTCTTCTTCTCTCTTCTCCTCCTGCTTCGTCTGACCGGCAGGCATAACTCCAGATGCCTTGTAACGATTCTAAAAAACTTGTCTTCTGCATGACGGACGCCTCACCTCACCTCAGCTCGCCTCAGTCCCTTCAGCTTTGCAGTTTTTCGTCAGCTCTGACTCCCCCCTTCTTTCTCCACCACCACCACCACCTCCTCTTCCTCTGGGTTCTGGTGGGATTCTTCGCAGGCTGGGTCGAACCAAACCGCAGCGATAATGTTGCTTTTACAAGGAGAGGGTTGGAGTTGAGATAACGCAGGGATACGTAGCTCGTTTGTGGGAGAGGACTGGGGTGACTTCTCTCTTAGTCGACAGTGAACTTTTGCTTCTTCCCTCTGTCCACTAACATGACTCTGTTCTCTCTTTCTGTCCCTTTCCAGTGTCTTTAGGCTGTGCTGTAGACTCGGTTTATATTCATGAAGAGTGAGGGAATTATGGGGGAAGACGGACAGTGTTCCCTTAAACCTCTGACTTCTTAGCTGTCCCATAAAGACTCTAACTCTGTCCATTTTGACCTGGATTCCTGGATTTGGATGTTTAAAAATCACAATCTAGGCTTGAGAACGGCGGTAAAGTTCAGGACGAAATTTGCTAAAAATCACTCCCATCTGCCCTGAAATGCGTCTGATCAGCTTACGACTTCTTAAACTTGAAAAAGAAAGACGTAAAGAAGAAATCTAATACCTAAAGTGTGTATAATAGGATGTAAAGTGATCAGAAAACTTAGAAATAAGAAAAAACAAGAAAAGAAAGTGTAGAAATGGGCGTGTAAACATGATAAAGAATGCTGTATATTCCCTCAGAGCTTGTTCAATAGAGTTATATGCAATTCAATTATTGAGACTGAGTAAAAATAGCAAATCTGTATAGGAAAATAAATCTAGATCATCTATGTGTTTGACTCTTTTACCTCCAAAACGTAATCAGACCGGGATAATGTTGTTTGTCCTCACTGATCAACATGAAACACACGTGGGTGGGACTCATTTGGTGAGATCAGCACCCTTCTTTAAACAGCAGAGGGCGCTTTTTCCCCACCTGTCATTATTTCATCTCTTCAATTCACTTCTGGATTGAGGTGTTGAGACCAAATTAAGATGTAGTCAAAGTTAGAGTGCTAAAACCTGCAGTTCTTCAAGTGTCCACTAGAGGCAGGCTCCAAAAACTTTAAGAAATCCTCTTTACACTCGTGTTAAAATGCTCATTTTGACATGATTGGACATAACGAGAAGTAAAGCTAACTTTGATTGACAGGTGGGCACATTTTAGCTAATAGCTCCTCCTCCTGGCCTGCGTCTAGACAATACCTGAGTGTCCCGTCAAAGTATCGTGAACCATCGTAGAAAATATCATGACGAATCAAGAGTCTCACTGAGTCTCCAGGTGTGAAATGATCCGAGTTAGAGCTTTAACTTTTATACCCTCTCCTCCCTCTCTCTTCATCCTCTCTCTCTCTCTCTCTTCCTCTCCGTGGAGGTCTCTCTGTCCTCTATAATTCATCCAGTTTAATTCAGCGTTTACAAGCAGACTCATTTAGTGGTGACTCAAAGCTCATAGTGATTCAACATGCTGTAAATAACATCTCGTAAACGGCTCGTCAGCATGATCGAGAGCACCGTGGATTGTGGCTCTGTGGGTTTCTGCTCCTCTTAGAGTTCTAGTCACTAGTTTGTCGCTCTGTGTCACCTGTACGCTCTGATATCAGACTAAACTTTGTTTCGATGTCAATAAGAGGACACGTTCGCGGGTAACGGGATCCATGTGCGATGTTTTCAGGTGTGTAACAGGATAGACTCTCTCTGCTAAAGTTGACATTTTCAGATTTATTCCGGGGTTTGAATCTTTTGGTCAGTATGAAGTGTAAACGTCGTGCATCCAGCCTGTTTGCCTTCTGTATATCTCTGTATATAGATGTCTGAATTCATGGGTGGGGGGGTGGGTTTGCTGTGAACAAGCGATGTTGCATTTGTTGGAAATCTAGAAATGATAAAAATCTCTTTGTCTCTGCTCCTGCTAATAATCTTCTGTGTCCTGTCCTGTCTGTGCATCTTACAGTTTGTCTTTCTTAACTTCTAATAAAACCTAAACTCTTTGCTCACCTGAACCTGTGCCTGTCGCCTCTTTGTGTGTCTGTTCCTTCTGTTTTCTCTGCGCGCTTCGATAACGGAGATAATCTCTGAACATTAACACCTCTCAGCAGCACTGCTATTGCTTTTTTTCCTCACCTTTTATTAAACCAGGAAGTCCTTTTAGAATGAAACAACAAAAACTCTCGATGAAAAGAGAGTCTGCCAACAAAGCTACTGTGTAACATCACTCTGTGTTAAAATGCAGTAAATGTGTGAGAGCCAAGAATAGATGCCTGAGGACTTAAAGGGATATTTCTGCGTAAAATGAAGTTCAGGTCAAACACACGTAACACCGAGTTAGACATCACATTGAGAGATGAATGTTGCCGACCGCTTCCTTCTCTAGTTATACCGACTGCAAATAGCAATACAGAGAGCCACACGCTCAACCAAAACGCCACTCTATAGCCTCAAATAATGATCAGAACAGCACCTAACTTCATCAACAGGACATATAGGGTCACAGCCAAAGTACTAGACACCAAACACCTTTTTAACTTTGACTAATTTCTTTAGCAAAGAGACTAAACACAACTCCCCTACTCTCTTCTGGTAACTGCTTGTTTCTATCACGGACTACAATGGGGTGACGCAGCTCAGGGAAGAACATTTGTGATCATTACTTCATGGAAATGATAAAGAAATTATCATAAATGTTCTTCCTTGAGCTGCGTCACCCCGCAGCAGTCCATAATGGATTTGCCTGAGTTCTCGCTACAAACAAGCGGCTGCTGGAAGAGAGTAGGTGAGTTGCTAAAGAAATATTTATAGAGTGGCGATTTGGTTGAGGTTTGTTTATGGCTCCTCAGACTGCTGTGTATTGCTATCCTGCGGTTGTTACTAAAGTTGGTATAACTAGAGAAGCAAGCGGTCGGCAACATTCATCTCTCGAGGGGGTGTCTAACTCAGTGTTATGGTGTGTTTGACCCTAAAATTAATTTAAATTAAATTGATATCCCTTTAAAACCCCTTTTTTCACTATACATTCAAAGATATAAATATTAAAGCTCCTCTGTGGGGGTATTTGTCAAGTTAAGTGATTTCACACACCACTGCAAAGACTCTTGGTGAGAAAGACATTTAAATGTTCAGTCAGGGGTGGAATTAGCAAAGACTGCCTTATCTACAGGGGGCGCCAAAATCAACACAAACTGAACATCCCTCACAGGAGCTTTAATTTAACCCTGAAATTAGAAATTGAGATCTCTACATCACATCTCATGTCCTTGAACACAATTTTCCGCAGTGTCACGTGCATGTTTACATTTTACAGTCATGGTACACAAATACAGACTTCACACACAGCAGTCAGTAATCTATGTTCAAGCCAGAGGCTGCATTCAAGTAAATCAGGAGGATATTACAGATTATTTACAGATAACAGGAAACTGCTGACAGTGTTATGTTCCAGGTCATGAGACTGACATTAGGACCACATGATGAATCAAATGCTTCCCTCTTATCTGTTTTTAGCTCTTCACAGCTTTATCATCAGAGTAATGAGACTCATTACTTACATGTCTGAAACTTAAGAAATAAAGAGTCCATCATGGTTTACTCAGTGCATGTCATGTTATCTTCACCCTGCTCTCCTTTTAAGGCCTCTGTGAGGAGTTTTAAACTGGTTGTAACAAAGATGTCTGAAACTACTGTGAGGGAGTTAAATTAAAGTGAACAAGAAATAAACTTTTGAGCATTTTCAAGAGAGAGTATTCTCAAATTAGACTGTTAAAAGGAAGGAGGATGAGATTTTTATGTCAGAAAATACAACCTTCAAACAGCAGAGTGAAAGCTGTACATCTCTGTCAGCAGAGGGCGCCAGATTGACACAAATCAAAAGTTTGAGAGTAGTTTGTTGATGCTCAGTTGGTCTTTAAGCTTTAAACTTTTATTGATTGTAACCTTGGTGGTTTTAAGCACAAAAACCCTTTCTTTTTTGACTTTCTTTGGAAGATTTTCACTCTGACATGATCAGAATTTGTTACTGCTCCATGTAGCTTTTGGACTTCTTAAAAAAAAAAAGAGCATGTTGGCTGACAGGTCGGGTAATTTGGGGCGTGTTGCTCAGTTTTGAGGTACGCCATTTTGTTCACATCACCAGCACATGAGTTTAATTTGTCCTCCAATAGCATGTGCAACAAAATCTATGAATTCACCTCTGTGGGTGGGTGCACCACAAGTGTGCGGGGTTTCTAAAACTTACTTTGTGTGGAAATAAAATGCACAAGAAACTAATCCATGAACTTCACAGGTCTGCATTTGAGAGTGCAGCTGCATTGCTGCATTATGTATGCACATGAAACCATGCATTATGCCACTGTGCACTAAAGTGTGTGTGTTTGTATACTAGTGTTGGACCAGATTTAGGGACATTTATTTGCACCGTACTGGATTTTATTTGGTGAAGAGCCCACTGATCTGACACTAATGTACATCCAGCTCCCTCTCTCCATGTTTGTGTGTCTGTGTGTGAACGAGTGTAACACTGTCACGTTTCCCATCAGGACGGCTCCGGCTCGCTGAAGAGGAGCGGCTCCTTCAGTAAACTACGAGCGTCGATCCGCCGCAGCAGCGAGAAACTCGTCCGCAAGCTGAAAGGCGGCGGCTCGACCCAAAACAGCGAGCCCAAAAACCCCGGGTAACTATAGCAACAGACACCCTGAACCACACCCTACAGGTGACTCTCTCTTTATGCACTGGAGGCCTGGAGGAACGGGCCGGCCCTCCAAACCTCAGCTCGGCAGTTGGTGCACTAACCAAAAAAAAAACAAAAGAAGGGATTGGCTCTGCTTTTCTGCTGGTGAAGTGGTGAAACTCTAAAGCTGTTTGCACATGAAATGACGGCGGGAGCTTTTACTGACACAAACACACACGTGTCCTTTTTTCCCATTGCACTGTTTTACCCTCTGCTCTCACACTGCTCATGCTCAGCGTTCAATTTTGTTTTTAACGTCTTATGAGAGAAATTGTTGGAGAAATTGGTGAAAAGATAAAAGGTAAGATAAAAGAAAGAAATCTTATAATAAAGCTCTGATTTTATGGAATAAAGATGGGAGATTTAAAGGGATATTCTGGCGTAAAATTAATTTTTGGTCAAACACACTGAACACCGAGTTAGACACCCCCTCAAGAGATGAATGTTGCCGACCGCTTGCTTCTCTAGTTATACCTTTAGTAACGACCGCAGGATAGCAATACACAGCGGTCTGAAGAACTATAAACAAACCTCAACCAAAACACCACTCTATAGCCACAAATAACGCTCAGAACAGCACCTAACTTCATCAACAGTACACATAGGGTCCTACAGTGGGGTGCCGCAGCTCAAGGAAGAACATTTATGATCGTTTCTTTGTGGAAATGCAGTCAGAGCGAGACGCTAAGGCAGAAGAACTACCATGTCTGCAGTGCAAAATGATTATTATAATGATTAATACTTCAAGGAAATGATAAAGAAATTATCATAAATGTTCTTCCTTGAGCTGCGGCACCCCGCTGCAGTCCGTAATGGACTGGCCTGAGGTCTCGCTACAAACAAGCGGCTGCTGGAAGAGAGTAGGTGAGTTGTGTTTAATCTCTTTGCTTAAGAAATTAGTCAAAGCTAAAAAGATGTTTGGTGTCTAGTACTATGGCTGGGACCCTATATGTACTGTTGATGAAGCTAGGTGCTGTTCTGAGCATTATTTGTGGCTATAGAGTGGCGTTTTGGTTGAGGTTTGTTTATGGCTCCTCAGACCGCTGTGTATTGCTATCCTGCGGTTGTTACTAAAGTTGGTAAAACTAGAGAAGCAAGCAGTCGGCAACATTCATCTCTAGAGGGGGTGTCTAACTTGGTGTTACAGTGTGTCTGACCCTAAATTAATTTTGCACCGGAATATTCCTTTAAGATGTAATATTTTAGGGGGGTGAAAACAGATTCAGACAAAACCAAAAAAACATGAAGAGAAAATATAAAAATAAAAATTGAAGGAAAAACTTATAACTTTAGATGATAAAATAAGATACTATCTCAGAAAGATCTCCAATTTTGTCCTGTCGTGGTGCTAACTGTCTTTTCTAATAACTTTGAAACTTGAACAGGATGAAACAGAAAACCAAAGTGAACTCTGTCTGTACTCAGAGCAGTGTGTGAACGCAGATCTGTGTCAGTGAAATGAGAAAAAGATTCAGACACTTCACTCTCCTGCTGCGACGGGTGACGTTACAAAAGCATCTGCATCGAAACGCAAACTAATGTCTGCTTCTGAAACGCCTTCACGCTCATTTACTGTTTTTGGTTTGAACCACCAATAGTTCAATATTTATTGCATTTTGTGGCTTTTGGACTATTTATTTCAATTTGTTTTGAAATATGGTTCAGTTTTACTCGGCTGTGGATTTTATTTTCATTTTTCTCTGAGAGTTTTATTCTGGAAAAACAAACCTGTCTGCATGGCTGTTTGTGTTTAGAACTGAATGCTGTGATGAATTCTTATTTATGAATAAATTTTTTTTTCAGTTGAATGTCCACTTGCATGCCTCATCTGTGTGCTCACTGGTTTCTGTTCTTCTTTTCTGTGCCGCTCTCCTCTTTGGCTCATTGAAGATGATGGACGCCATCGTCATCGTCATGAGCGAATGGCTAACAGTAAAATGGAGTCGCTGCAGAAATGTCCATTTTAACGAATCATCAGACTCTAAAAGGTGGTGCGAAAGGAAGTCTTCCTTCATTTCTCGGATGTCTATTAAATTGGTAATCTAATGACGTGAATAAACAAGATTATCTGGGAGAGTTTATTTGATTAGTCAAGATGGACATTCTGCAGTGTTTTCATAATAAACTCAAGTTCTTGTTCAGGCATGGTTTTTGACGTCTGCATGAATTGACTGACATTAAAACATAAATTTACACCATCCAAGACTTGTCAACAAACATGGTTGTTACATGTTACTCTTATATTTATTGGTACCACTTTCTATTCAAGATTGCATTTCAGTATATGAAGGTTTACGTTAACCAGATCAGATTTGTTACAGTGAGTGAGCTAGGGGTGGGAGGAAAACTCGATACAGCATAGTATTGGGATATTTTGTCTGGTGATATATCGTATCGCCTCATTTACCAAGTATCGATTTTTTTTCGAATTAACTGTTAATATAAAGTCAAATCTATGATAATGGAAAAATAAAATCAACTGTTTGTCCAGTGAGGTTGGCAGAGGTGACATCATAGAGCAGGAGAAAGATGTGCTATATGAAAATAAAATACTGCGTAAAAAAGACAAACATAAAGGAAAGACAAATGATAAATTAGCTAAACAGTTGAAAATTTTGTATAAATCGCAATAAAAGTATCTTGATAATATCGTGTCATAGGGCCACTAGTGATTCCCACCCCTAGAATGAGCCCTCTGGAGTCTGCGATTAAAGCCCCAGCTCTTGCAACACTCTGTTCAGTGTGCTATCAATAAATAACAGACTGTTGCTATGAGCTGTTGCTATGGAGTTACCAATCAGAACAGAGTACCTAACATGCAAGAATTTGCCCTCTAAATGTTATCCTTTACGCATCTTTTTGCTCAATATATCATCAAGTCTTCCTCTTTAAGTTATGAAATTGAGGTTCTTGTAATTTAAAATGTAAACAATTGCTTTTTGTTTCTTTGTCCAAATGGCATTTTCCTTGATTGTCCAATAAAGTAGATATCAGCAGTTGTAAATCAGAAATATAACTCTTTAACTAACTGCTAACCCGGTAACAACGTCATTAGTGTCAAAAACAGATCATCCATGAATTCAGTTCAAACTTGATGAAAATCAATCCGTCCTCCTGTTGCAGGATTCAGACAATTTTCTGTACTTTCTGGTTGGATTCTACTGTCCGGTATTGTAGCACGCTAACTTTGTTTGGGCTCATGCACGTTATTCGAGGACGTGGAGCGTGCTTTACAGTCAGAAAGAGCGGGCCACTCAAAAATGTAAAATGTTGACTACACAGACATAACAAAACACAGCGATATCGTTATATTCCCAAATATCATTAATAACTAGTAGCTTTATATTGATATTAAAAGCTTTTATATATACACACCACAAAGAAAGATGCTACTTTATCGGAATCCTGCCTACCCCACCTTTAAGCTCTTGCTCAAGTTGTCTGTGATCCATCTTACCAGAGCAGAGTTTAGATCTTCTTTCTCTGATTGTGGGTGAACCCGGTATGCCTTCCTTGTTGCACCGACTCCTATAAAACAAGACTGAACATTTTGGAGGCAAACTTTCTCACATCTCTCAACGTAAACACCGAGATCGTAACAGGAAGTGGTACCAAAATGTTATTTCATCAACAGGACGTGGGAAAACACACGTGACACTAACCTGTGTGGAAATATGAAGATGTTTTTAACCCACCACTGTTTCCATCAAGCTAATAATAATATCCTCACACCTGACTCTCCACCCCCTCACCCCACCTCCGCCCCTCACTCCCCCCCTCCCTTTGCATGTCACTGCTGTGGGTGCAGCATGAAGCGAGCCAGCTCTCTGGGCGTTCTTAACGTGGCGGACAAGGCTGCGAGTGACCACTACCAAGTAAGGAGGCCGAGTGTCGGGACAAAAAGTATCTGCTGAGAGTTGGTTTCTCTTTGACCCTGATGGTTCCCCAGGGGTTATTATTAGCATGGGATGGAAAGGTCAAAGTTCAATCTATCTATATATGAGAAGTCATTACGGATAGTCATGATGAATACGAATCCCCCTGAATGAGATACTTTTTGGCTCGTATGACAGTTTTACGGCCAGATCGCAGTAATTTCCTCAGAGGTTCATCACTAACAGAGTCATGAGGAGTGATCAAATCAGTGTGACTAACCCACTCACTTCACATTATTAATATTTTGACTTATCAGCTAATTACAAGCACGGTGAATGTTTTAACTTCCTTTTTTTAAGGAAGTTCACACTTCTTTCCCAACACAGATTTGCTGCTCTTAAAAGTCTAAGAAAACTTTAGATTTTTGGGACCATCTTTCCAGAACAGTCCAAGTATTTAAAGTAAAACTGATAACTTCAGACACGAGATCAGAGCAGAGTGTATTTTAAGTAAAATATTCTGGTTTTGAAGGACTTAAAGTGAATTAATCTAAATACGATAATAAATCTGGCAGAAAAGTCGAGAATTTTCCCAAGTTGACGGCTGAGTTAAACTTCTATTTATAAAACTGTTGGTGTTTTTGTTTCTAAACCTCTTTGAAAAGGACGAATCAGTGTGTCAACAGAGGTTTAATGTCATCCGTTAGTACACCAGTAAAGACATAAATAGCTGGCCTGACATCCTAATATTTGTCGAGTACAGAAGCACTTTGTTCTTAAGACGCCTACAGTTCTTCAGTTAACCCTCCCTTCTCCACATTTCCTCCAGGAACGAAATAATCGTCTGAGAAAGAGTCGCGACCTGAGTGCCAGCCACACTGACCTGGCGCATTGAAGGTTTTTGTTTTTTTACCCGCCTGTACCAGCAGCGACGTCAAGACGGACTCTGTGCTCCAACTCCAGACTCTTCTCACTGTCAATTTCTCAGTGTGACTGCGTTTTATCTTCACGTAACAAACTCACCGATCCAGCCACCAAGTGCTCACTGTACAGGTTTCATGCACTTTTGAAGGTTTGTGCTCTTAGAGGAGTGATTTTTTTTTATCTATACATATCGAGGAACAAGAGAGTTATATGAAAGTAGAGCGACCTGCTGTGTGTTAGTGAACTGAGTGTGTATATCTTCTTTTATATGTGCTTGTACTGTATGTAAGAGTGAGATCACTTATTTAATGCTGGTGCTTTAATGAAGGCAAATGCAGAGCGGAGCTTTAGTTTTGTAAACGTTTGTGAAGAGGATGCAGAACGTGATTTCATTCAGTGGAATTATCGTGGGTGAAGACCAGAGATGATATGTAAATATGGACGACACGCATCAGTCTCAAAGTGAAGCCCAAATACTGCCGCAGACATACTACGCTAATGACGTAACTTTGAACCAGAATTCTTATCGAACCAATCAATAAAAAGTGGAAGATCCGTCCAGATGGTGCCGTCCAAATTTAAAGTAGGCACTCATAATTACCAAAAAATTGTTTCTTTTTAAAGGGTAAAGGGACCTCATTCGTCACCAGAGCTGTCAATCATGATGTCATATCCTTTATTTTTAGCATTAATTCTGTGTTAGAGTTACCTCGGAAGTCAGGTGTCGGAGCTAAAAATGAGGTCACACCCGAAAAACAAAATCGGAGGCGGAAACAAGATGACTACATTTCCGAAAGTTATTTTAGCACTTAGCTTATATTCGGACAAGGCAAGCGCTAAAATAGCTTTTGTAGATGTAGCTATCAGCGTGTTTACGAACTAAAGAGTGAACTTTTTTGTTAATTGACCATAATAGCATAAGAACTGTCACGATCGAGAGCATGTGTAGGAAAAATGTATCTTTAAAGTAACTTAATTTTTTTGTTTGACTCTTGTCAAGGCGGGATTTGAGGCCTTTACTGCAGCCAGCCACCAGGGAGAGCTTTAAGTATTTTGGCTTCACGTCCAGGGAATGGTTCCATCTTTTTACACAGTCTACAGTAACAACAATAAACTCCTGGTTTATCAGTCAAGTTCACAAACAGAAAATCTAAACTTGGTACAAACGTTTTCTATTGAGGTCTGAGAGTTTGGACTGTTTTTATCATGTTACTTTGCACTCAGTTAAAAATTTAAAAAGTGAAGTAATGTTTGGTTTAAAATTTGAAGTCTTTTCCTGTCAACCAAATTTATTGATCATAAGAAGTTGTTCACTAATGAATGAAGGAGTGAAATCAATCCACCCAGATTTTTTTTAACCAAAACCTTCACCCACTGACTTTTAAAGCTCCTCTGAGGAATTTTGAACTGGTGCTGAAAAACACTCAGATTAATAGCTTTTAATTAATCGAGCAAAACAGACCATCAACTAGAAGAGCGGCCATTTCTGTAAAGCTGTTTTTATTGTCTAAATCCACTGGTAAGCGTCAGACCAAGTAATAAACTGAAGACTGTTCTGTCCACAGGGGGGCGCCAAAGTCAACACAAACTAAAAGTTCCTCACAGGAGCTTTAACTGAATCGACGAGTCATTTCTGCATCTAAACTGTTTAAAAACTGCCGCCTCTGCTGTAAAATCGTCCAGTGATGACGTCTTTTACAGGCCGACCTGGACTCAGCTTAGCTCAGCTTGGCCTAGCGTAGTTTAGCTCTGCTTAGCTTCATGTTCACTCAGCAGGTTTCGATTTAATTGTGAGAGAAAACGAGTGTTAGTTCTGCTAAAGTAAAAATATCGGAAACCTGCTGAGAGAGCTGACATCTCAGACGCTTTTTGAAGACTTATTTTCCTAAAATGTTCTGTCCTGTGTTGGTTGAAGATTTTTCTTGTGTATGAAGTTTTATGTTTACATTTGGGGTTTTGTAAATTATGTTTCGTTCATTTCCGTCCTTTTTGCTGCTCTCTTCGTATCTGTACGTTAAAGCCTCGACATTAGCGGCGCTGTCTGTGTGGCCTCTAATATGGCGGAGTGACCCTTTTATTCGGCACATAAAGGCTGAACGACACACTCAGGTTTCGAGCTTTTTAGTTTCACGCACTGACAGCCGAGTTAGCACCACGTAACACTTTGAGATATTAATGCCGTTTTCATCTCCAGAGGCCTTAGAAATGTTCGTTTTTTTAACTTGTTGGAAAAAACTTGATCATGCAAGTAAAGTTGAACAAATCCAACTAAAAAGGCAAATTTATCGAATGTTTAAAGAAAGTTATTTTCATGCTACAGTCATTACTGAGATTTATGTTTCTATTACAAGAATAAAGAAATATTCCTTGATATATTTTAACTAAATTGACTCACACTACTTGCATACCAAAAACTTGTGTTTAAACTGAAATTAGTTTGGTGAATTTATAGAAAAATCAGTTCTATTGTCCACATGACAGCAGCCGGATCAAAGTCAGGATCAAAACAAAAGTTCTCTAAATGCTGAGAAACAACACTAAACTTTCCATCATTAAAGTTTTTCACTTAATTAACTTTGATTTAATAGGGCTTTCTATTTTAGGTTCAATTCTTATTTTTTTTTTAAAAGGGAACTGAGTTTATTTATCATCATTTTCAACATCTAATAGATAACAGCTGATCTTTTGTGGCTAATTTCCTTCTCATTTAAACATACAGTATATTTTAATTTGACCAGCCAACTCAAGGTCAAGATTTGAAAACAATTCATTAATAAAAGTTAGACACAGGATCGTCAGGATTTGCGGCTGAACGGTGTCAAACTGGTACATTTGCAGAGCGAGCTCCACCAGCCACGGTCCTCCTCGCAGGTTAACACCCACATACTTTATATTAATTAAAGTGCTAAATTACTCAAAAGGGATCGTCCGATTAAAGTATTTAGTGTTTCATTTTGTTTTTCCTTTTATAGAAGTTTCATTATATTTGCACTAAGATGTGCAATAAGCCTTTAAATAATCATAACTTCCTTTTTACATCTTTATTGTCTTGATTCTGATTTATAGATCCGATTAAAACTAACCAGCCAACCAAAATATGGACTTTATTCTCCAAACCAATCCTTCTGTACATCATTTTTTCCATCTTTAATCCTTTCTTCATATGTAAAATCGACATGAATATGAAGCCCTGAGGTGTAAAATATAACAGCTGAAACATTTGACAACTTGAATAATATTCATGATTATTTTTCTTTCTGTGTCTGCAGTGATTTAGACAGAGTTTAGTGAGTTTTCAGACTGTTTCGTATCTTCTTTTTTCTCTTTATTCCTGTATAAGAATGATTTTATCGACACTTTGTCGAGTGAGTTGAAGTTTTTGCCGACTGTTGATCGGTCCGCTTATCAACCTGCTTTGTGCTTTTGAAAAATGAAGCTTTTTGTCTTTTTCTGTTAGAGGCACATAAACTTCATATGTTAGTGGTGGCTGTGGGGGCATCATTTAGAATAGAAAAGAATACAAAGCCATTGTGTGTGATTAAAGGGTTTGTATGGAGGTAAAGAAGTCCAAAATCATTTAATTTCTTTGAAAAGTTGATTGTAACAAAACTTTTCTGCCTTAATTTTGGTGTAAATCTGAGAGAGGAGAAGTTCAATTTAAAAACAGGTCTAACTTTGTGGTATTGAAGTTTCCACATTTGGTGGTTTCGTCTTATAATTGTGGATAAAGTTAATATAAAAGGACAGCGAGGGTTTTTCACTCCTATGGTTGCACTTCTTTGATGCAGTTGAAGTTCCTGTTTGCCCAGTGTTGCATCAGAGCTGCTCAGACTGTTTGTCATTTCCTTGATGCTGATGATAAAATACACAAGAAACCTTTGAATCAGACCCTGAAATCTTCCCTATAATCATGAGTGTTTTATGTGCTAATTATGATGACGTGAATGTAAACATTTGGATTTACAGGAGTTAAAACTGGGACAACTTTTGGTGTAGACTCTTTTTTGGTCAAAGAAGTGAAGGTTACTTTTGAGTTATAGGCCATGTTTGTGATTTGCAAAAGTGTTCTGAAACGTCAATAGATGTATATTTATGTTCGCTTTTGCCCTTGACCAGTTGTGATATAAAACCAAAGCAATATTGATCAGGCACCTCCCTTTAAAATAACTGAATGTAATCAACAATATAGTAATAAACTGAGATTTACAGTCATGACATATAATTTTTTTATCTCTGAACTACTTAATTAGATGTTAAGGCTGTGAATACTCCCCCTGCGACTAGAAATTAAATTAGGCATGTTAATTTATTGTAATATCAAATGTCTCATACTGCATTTTCCCCTCTTCATTGTTGTTTGTTTCATGTGTTTGTGTATGCACTGTTGTAGCCCTGCGTTAAAATTGAAACAAAGCCGTCCTCTGTTGATCGCACAGGAGATGGGAAATGTTCCTGGATAAGACTGGCATATTTGTGACACTATACTTTGTATTTGTAACCGCTGCTGTCCCCCAATGCTTTGTTTGACTACATCTCCTTTTATACACGAGCAATAGTGACATTTCTCCTGCATTTTATTGTACAGAAAACCTAAAGTAACTGAATAAAATGGTCAAATTCATTTGTTTCCTGCTCTTGTTTTAATTACTTGACCTAAAGTGAATCTAGATGGAGCTGAAGCAAAAGGTAAGTTTAATTACTTATTTATTGATGAGGTGTGTCCCAAATCCCAAAAACAAAAACTTAAAATTTTCAGTTTACTCAATTCAAAATGTAAAAAAGTATGGATAGTATGCGAAAACTGAGTCGCATTTATTCTAACGAGTGCGGGCGAGTGTCCACGGTCGCATACTCAAAATACTATCCGTACTTTTTCCTTTTTGAGTTGAGTATACTCAACATTTGAAGTATTTAGTGTGGAAGTATGTGATTTGGGAGTGTACTTTTTTGAATCAAATGAGTGCGGGCTCGTGTCCGCACTCACATACCTAAAATCTTGACCGATTTGAGTACGTCATATGGGTACTTTTGCATACCCAATTTTCGCATACAATCCATACTTTTTGCATTTTGAGTTGAGTATACTCAAAATTTTAAGTATTTAGTATGGAAGTATGCGACTTGGGAGTGTACTTTTTTGAATCAAGGATGTGTATTTTATGTTAAATTGATAGTATGATTGAAGTAAAAACAGTTAAAAACAACTTTCATCCGGATAAAATTTGCATAAATGTTGTTGATTTTCTCCTTTCTATTACAGTGCGGACAAAAGCAAAACAACGTAACACGTGATACCAATTCCGCGCTGTGATTCGTTGAACGCCCTGCCAATCATCACAGAGGGTGTGTTCGGACAGGAGTTAGTGTGAGCGCAGAGAACACAGACAGAGCGCTGCTAAAGCAAAATGTCTTCAGTGCCTGACGGGAAAAAACTCGTCCGGAGCCCCAGCGGCCTTCGCATGGTGCCCGAAAACGGCGCCTTTAACAGCCCTTTCTCCCTGGACGAGCCGCAGTGGGTCCCGGATAAAGAGGTGAGTCAGGGTGGGGAGAGGATTTGTTTGACAGCGAGCGGATATCAGGGCTGTGGATACGATCGACAAGCTAGAGAGGATGTAATGGTGAGCGTTTCCGGTTGGAATTTTCAAAATAAAAGTGGTTGCGAAGTTACACTACAAGAACATTGATTAAGCAAGAAAAAGGCCAGAATTTTTCATTTTAAAACATTTTTTTTTCGCGTACACTTTTGAAGTCGTCTTGCCTCTGGCAGCGTTGAGTGATAATGTCAAATAAAGTTATATTTACAGTGTTAAAATGTGTTTTAATACATTTTCCAGTTCATTTAAGGGGTGGGGTGGAACTTACCCCATACTCGGGGTAAGTTGACCATAGGAGACCACTTTTTTTGGCATGCTATATTATCAAGACAGTTATGTTTACACTCATTCTGTTGGTAGGCCGAGATGCACAAAATCTTGAAATAAAAGCAGGTACACTATTTGGAGACAAAACTATGATCGCCTTGATGTAGTGATCAGAAATATGAAAAATGGCTCATCTTACCCCTCTCTGAACCGGAAAGTTATCGTCTTGTCGTGACAATTGATAGAATTTTAAATTGGTGTTTTTTTGTAATCAGTCAATCATCAATAAATGTAATGGCACATTTAGCTCAAAATTAAGAATTACGAAATAAAAAATCCCGATAAGAGATTTGTTTCCTTTCGGTGCTTTTATTTTGAAGCACGGTATTCCAATTTCCGCCCGCTATCTTGCTTGCTTCGGCTAACTTGACGCTGTGCTGGACATGGCAGTTGGCCCCTGGACTGGGCGTTGCAGGCGCGCACGGCCAGCCTGGCATTTAAAGGATCCTGTTTACTAGGAAAAACCCGCTTGTTAACTCCCCCCAATTATCTGCCAGTCACTCATTATATCAAAGTTGATCAGAGACATTGAAGATTAACTTCTTCCTCTTGTTTTGCATTCTAGCTTTCAGCTACGTCCTCACTTAGCTTGTCACATTTAAGCTAGCTGGAGGAGCTAGCTGTTGAGTTTGAGGGGCTCTGTGTCCTTCTGGGTGACTTTATTTTGTTTCAGTATGCAGTTGAACTAAAAGAGGAGAAGTAGGTAAACAAACACAATGTCAGTGCAAAGGCTAGAGAGCACAAAGACACACTTTGACCAGACTGACAGTGAACTCCAGCTAATAAAGTTAATGATTGAAATCCTGGATCTGGTTTTATATTAGAGGCACTGACAGATAATGAAAATAAAGATTAATCATTTCCAGACCAAACATTTGCCTTTCACATGTCACTTTTGGTTAATACTCTTCTAGGCTTGGGCGATTTGGCCACAAAAATGATCACAATATATTTTGTCATATCGTTGGATCTCGATTATTTTCACGATTTTTTTGTATCTTTTTCAACCTGCCAGTTTTAAAGCATCTGTACTAAAAACTAAAGAAACTAGAGATTGATTCAACATTTTGTTAGCATACAAAGTAAATAACAAAGCAAAGTAAAACAAGATAAACAGAAAAGTATAAAAAAACATTTTAACTCAACAGTACAACAAATTTAGATAAATATTAATTAATACAATGAACAAGATTACAGTCCTGAGTGTTTTTTAGCAGCTATGCAAGACCCAAAATAGACAAATCACCCCCTCAGAGATAATGAAGACGCCTTAAAATGTAAACGAAGATGACATAAACATAGATATATGATTGGTTGCTCCTTTGGTCTGGTTGCTGCACTGCTAGTTGTAGCTAAACTACTAATGCTAAATGCCGTCAGCAGTGACAGGCTGTACAGACTCCGCTAACATTTTTGTGCTTTCTGCACTATCACTCGGGAAGTACTTCTTCAAATGATTATACCTTACACATCGGCTTAATTAACAGCCGATGTGCGATAACAACACAACTGGTGTTGAATAACTTTTCTTCTCAAGGATGGCATCATCTTTCGGCTTCAAATCCATATACAGGTGGAAGGCGGAACCAAGTTGTCCAAAGTATATGCAGTCTACACTCATAGCTGATCACCATGATCGAACCGAAATGTATCACGATCATAAATCACGATCATATAATCGCCCAGTCCTATACTCTTCTCACCTGTATGACCAGATTTCTAAACATATGGGTTGTTGGTAACATTAAGTAAGCTATTTTAAGATTTTCTCATTTGTTTGAGAACAAGCTTCTCAACGTTAAACCCGAGCTAAAAAAGGAAAGGAGGATGCGTAAAGATCACTCTTCGTTCCATATTCTGTAGCTGCCGCTGAACTCGAATCCGCCTTGTTCAGCATGTTGTGTAACATCCTGTTTTTTCCTCTTCCTCTCTTGTCTCCCAGTGCCCGAGATGTATGCAGTGTGACACCAAGTTCGACTTCATCAGAAGAAAGGTTTGTTTTGTTTCGCGACGCGACCATGAAAACAAACGGCAGCATTATCTGAACAGAAGAGGGACACAGCGCAGCATGCGGGGAAACTGAAGAGGCTTTCAGTTTGTGTTTGGAAACCTTTATGACCATTTTTCCTCCTCTTGGCTTCTCTTCATTTATTTTGGCAAAGACACACACTGAGGACTCTTTTGGAGGCATTTGTTTCCAGTGACTACTCTCATAATAACACTGCAGCTCTGCGTATTCATGTCCCAGTTACGTATTTTAAAGAATTCTCTCTGTAGTAAAACCTGATATTCTCTTTAATGCCAGCTGTTTTTACAGATATCAGAGATGTAAAAAGTCCCCCAACCTCCTAAACTCTTAAAGGTGGTATGCATTTGTTCTATACTTGTTATGGCTTGGATTTTAAGGGACTGGTTTGACAAATATGGGGATTTGAACTATAAAACAAAGTTAATAGTCATAAAAGTACCTTAAAACATGAAATTTAGAGTAAAAACTGTCCTGTGCCACCTCAGAGGACCTCAGCGTGTCTGCTGTTTTGAGGTCAAACACAAATCTGGATCTCTGAAGTCTCTGTGAGTCAGATTTTCTTCTCCAGCTCCACAAATTTGTGGTTCAGAAAGTCATTTTCTGGCCTCAATTCAGCAAACGCTGCAGTTTACTGCTGACACACTTCCTCTCGCCAAACAAACAGAAACCAGTGACATGCTTTGCTCTTTTGTAACAAAAACAAAATGGATATAAGAGATTCAATGAGGGAGATTTAACACCTCAATTGATCCAAACTGTCTTAGATTAAAATAGCAGCAGACGCTCCTCTTTATATCTCACCTTTAACCATCTGAATCAACAAAATTCTCTTTAAACGTCTTTATATTTTACGAGATGTTCAATCACTACCTAATGGTTTCTCCTGCAGCATCACTGTCGGCGGTGCGGGCGGTGCTTCTGTGATAAATGCTGCAGTAAGAAGGTGGTGCTGCCCCGCATGTGCTTCGTGGATCCGGTGCGTCAGTGTGCGGAGTGCGGCCTGGTCTCGCAGAAAGAGATGGAGTTCTACGACAAACAGCTCAAAGTGCTTCTGGGAGGTGAGACGTTCAACACACGACCAGTGCCATTACATATGATAAGGTTTTTATATGTTGAAACACCTGAAAGAAAGCTGGATATGAACTGTGTAATGAAATGGGGAGGATTTCTCCATCCTGCTCATCTTTCGTTGGGTCCTCCTCACCCTACCGGGAGTCTAATTTGCATAACCACCTGCTCACTTGAAGTTATTAGTCTTATTACCTTGCTGCCAATTAAAGAGGTGAACAAGCTTTGGTTTGGAGCAGGATACTCCAGCAGAGCGTCCTCCCTCGTCCCCCTCGCCCCATTGAGTGTGGGTCAGCGTGCAGCTATAAATAAGCAGCCGCAGCAGCAGGTCGCCTCTCAATGAAAAATCCATCAGCAGCCTGGAGCTGCAGGGGGGGACGAGCGGCTGAATGGAGCGCCTGCAGCGCGGTGGGGCCTCATGCTTTATGGATGATGGAGTTATGGACGGCTCAGCGGAAAAGAAGAGGCACAGGAGTCACAGAGAGATGAACATACAGCAAATAGAACAAAGCTACTGTCGGGAGTTCTAATTCAGCCGAAATAAAGATCATGATCGCTCAGTCAGCTCAGTGTTACGGTGTGTGTGACCCTAACTTAATTTCACGCCGGAATATTCCTTTAACTGGTTGCCCCTCCCTTTTGTTTTCATCTTCTTGTTTCCAGGGGGCACCTTCGTCGTGACTTTGGGAACGTCAGAGAAGTCTGAAACCATGACGTGTCGCCTTTCCAACAACCACAGGTAAACAAACACCGAGTCCTTACCTGTCAAGTCATCATTATCACTATATTTTGTAGTTTCAACATCACCCATCGTTGGGTTCACTGATCAGATTCGGTAGCTTGTCGTGTGTCAAGCTTCTTTGAGTGTTGAGTTCTCATCCACACGTCAGGTATCTGTTCCTGGACGGAGAGAGCCACTTCGAGGTGGAGTTATCTCGGATCTCCAGCATGCAGATTCTGACAGACGGGACGAGTCCAGGAGGTAACCCAAGTTTCTGACGATCAAAACGAAGAAAAAAATGTAACATGTGACTTCTTTTCTGCTGATGAACAAAGACGTGAACTGTGCATTTATCCACGAAAAGACGCTGGTTCATTACTTTGTCTTTAATTAACACGTAAACCTGTTTGTCTTTAATCTAATCGAACACTAACAAACTCTTTTTCTCCTCCCGCTGCTTTGACTCTGGACTCTCCCTCTTCCTCTCCTCCTCCTCCTCCTCTTCTTCTTCTTCTTCCTCTGGGCTCAGAGAATGACATTCACACTTACACCAGTCTGCTGGACAGTCACTTTATCTCTGAAGGTTAGCTGAGGTTCTCTGCCGTGTTTGTCTCTGTCTTTTTCCCCTCGTGTTTTTTATTTGTGTGCATGAAGCTGCCTGACACTGAGACCAACCAACATCACATTTATTGGAGCTAATATAGTTGATAGTTGAGGTTTTTGATTCTGGCGGTAAAGCTGTAACTTGCTGCTTCTTATTAAGAGTGTGTTATTTATTTGTCCATGTATAACAAGATTGATAACTGATCAGCTGATCAACAAAAGAGTCATTACGCAAAGTTATTTAAAGCTGCTTTCATGTGAGGATTTCCTGTTTTCTTTTTCTAAGTGCGTCTCCATGTTTGAGCGGCTTGTTAATGAAAATATATTTAATGATTTGAAGTTGTTTTCTGAGGCTGTAGTGATATTTTTTTACATCCCCATCACTTCAAAAATCTCTCTGCAGATTAGTATGACTGTGTTTGTGTGACTTCTGTCAACTAAGATCTATAATTTTGACTTTTGATACTTTAAGAAACTCATCAAACTTCTGCACGTTTTTTGAGATTTTACTTTTGAATTTATGAATGAATTTATTCCCCTTTTGTCTCATTTTTCTTTTTTTTGTTCGTTTTGAGACTTGTTGATGTTGCATCTGTGTGTTTTTGCATGATTTGACCATTTTTTTTAAGTTTGATATGAATCTTGAGAGTGAAATTGTGACTCAGACGCCGAGACTTGATCTCACTGGGTTGGCTTTTTGATTCTACTTTGATATTTTGTTTATTAGACATGGGATTGTGTCGATTCTTTCCCCGGTTTTTCTTTGTTTGTTGCCACATTTCATCACTCTTATTCAACTTCTATTTCGTCTGTTAGATTTAATAAAAAGTGGATGTTCGTGCTAGAAAGCAGGTTTGATTTTTCCAGCTCAGTTCGCAGTGATCACACAGTTTCAGACCACTTCAGCTCTGTCAGTCATGGCCTTATAATTAGCATCCCATAACTACTCAACTAAAATTTTCAGACACATGGATGCTTCGGCACAAATTTGCATAATCAGCACTAAAGTAAACATCAGAAACCAGGTTTGAGAAGAGTCTGATTGATGTGTATTTCCATTTTAAAGTTTCGGTCATGTCCCATCGGTTCACATGGAGGAGGTGGGCTTTATCACTAATACCGCTGTCAGCCAGGAGGGGGAGCTTCACTTTTAGGGAGCTTTCATGTGTGGCGTATTTCTTTAAACATGTTAAACTTTGAGTGTTGAGTGGAGGAAAACACGACTTTAAAAGTCAGGATAACTTAATTTAAAATGTCACCTGATCTGATCTGAACTCTTCTCTGACTAAAGAAGCACGAGATGACCAAAAATAGGCTCATAAAGTTTAATCCACAGATCTCATTAGAGGCGTTTGTGTTTGTTTGTGTGTGCAGGCGGTACGTCACGGGCCAGCGGCATGCTGCTTCACTACAAACCGATGGGCTCCCAGGACGCTCAGCAGCTCCGCATGGAGGCAGCAGACGACAAGAAGGTGGCCTCGCTGTGGTTAGCTGCAATGCACAAGGTATAAACACGTAATATTTAACACAGGTAAGGTCGCTGGTCTTTTAATTTGAAGGTCTTTGCAGGATTTTGAACTTTGATTAAAGGTGGGGTAGGCAGGATCTGAGAAAGTTCCAGTTTTTGGGAGAAATCTTGAATGTCAACACCTGCCTACAAACAGTTCACTCTGTTTCACAGCTTTAACTCTTTATGTCCTGTACCTACATATTTAGCTTGTGTCTACTCTCCCTTCTCTCTCCACTATTCCTAATTTAAAAAGCATTTTTGTGTGTTTGTGTAGCACTTTGTTACACGGCTGAAAAAGTGCTCAGTAAGTAATAAAAACCAGAACACAGGACAGCTAAGATGAGCTCATTGAGGTCTGACAGCTTAAGGGGAGAACTGCACAACCTGTCCTCTGGCGCCCTCATCAGGCCAACATATGCACTTGACCTCATCTGTGAAAAGAAAATAGATAATAGATAATCAATTCCCTGTTTTTGGTCTAAACACGCAGTTTCTAAAGTGTATGTGTGTCTGAAAGTTCTTCACATTTTGTCGCCTTTTACCTTTATTTCATTCTGTGTTTCTTTTTTTCCTCCTCTTCCTCACAGGCGGCCAAACTCCTGTACGAATCTCGGGACCAGTGACGTGCAGACCGCAGCGAACCTGAACCTCCAGGCAGCACACACCCAAGTGTTTTACACCCCGTCTCATCGGGGTCCGGTATCGTTTGGATTTCATCGACGCCAGTTCTGATTCTGATTTTTTCCGGGTTCTTGATAACGGTTTTTATTACAGTAATCTCTGAAAAGAAACGTTTCTATAAGAACACTTTGTTACCTCTTTAACCAGTACTTTGTACACGTTTACCGCAGTTATACCGATTGTACATCTGTCAGAGTTGTTTAATCCTCTCTTCTTCATACAGAAATCAGGACAGGCAGCGTTAATGTTTCTACGATAATGAAGTCAGCTAAGCGGCAAATATAACGAGAGCTTCACAAATGTTCTTCTCTCTTTTTACTTTCACTCTGAACGGGACATTTTACCTTTTTAAATACCATTTTTAATAACTTCAGAGACGCCATAAACTAAAGGTGGAGGCGCAGTGGTTTCATGACGACACAATAATTTTATACGCAGCTGTTTTTATCCACGAGGAAAAGTGATGTGACGGTTTTAGGGATGTTTTTAACTCCTTATTTTCTGACTCTTCTTCCAGAGGTGTGATGCTGGATAGTTGAACCAGTCTGAACACAGATCTTCCAGAAAAAGAGGATTTTCTCTGGACTGTTTTATACAATTATTTAAAAGTGGGTTTGATCAGTTTCATCAGACAACACAAAATATGTCCACAAACCTGCAACTGTTGACATAAAAAGTTCAACTTAAAGATGATTACGAGATGCAAAGAACATCCCAGATTTATCTACAACAACAATCGTGATATTTTCCCATCCGTACAAAGATCTACATTATAACTTTTGAGTTCCAGCGCGAATAAGAAAACGTTTTCAGTGACGTGTTTCTGTTTCCTCTCCGCTACGAGTATTTACAGATTTTTATCTTCTAGGCCTCTGCGTCTCTGCGAGGAAACTACAGACTCTTCACTGATTCTAGTGACACACAAAAATGCTTTAAATGTAAATTCATGTATTGAAGTTTTGTATAAGCTATTTTGTTAACCGTTTCTTCTTTAACACAGGACATGTATGTACTCGTAGTTTTCATAGCAGACGTACGATGATGACGGTTTTGTAATATTTGTAAACGGTCATTTTTTTCGTCCTCACTCGAAGACTTAAACTGTGTGTTTTTCCTTTTTCTTTTTTAATTTAAAGATTCTTTATTTTAATAACCCAAAGCGAGGATGTGTGCGGCAGGTTGGTAGTTGCGCTTCCAAGGACCTATTTTAGAAAAAAATTGAGTTTGTGCTGTGATAGTGAAAGTTGAGAAATGCCGAACAAATGTGGTGAGCCCAGTATGTTGCCTCGTGTGTGATTGTCTTACTCCTTTATATGGACTATGGAGTAGGTTGCAGTTGGAGAATGACGGTAAAACTTCATTTTTGTGCAGTAAATAACAGAGTCTTTGGAGGACTGTGGATATCGGGCCACAGATTTGTGTTAAACTTGATTTTTTTACGGAATATTTCCATTTCAATTGTTTAACCTTTTAATCTGGGTTTTACCTGATGTTGGTAGCAGAGTTAAAAACACACTGCCTTTTACTCATCCTCATAAATCCATATTTTTAAGTCTCCATAGTCAGAGCAGTTTAAACATTTAAATTATTGGTAAAACTGCACAGAGAAAAAACAGCCCATCAGATCAGATCTTTGATAGATAAGGTGTTAGTTTTCATGATGTTGCATTACCCAGATAATTTAGTGCATTAGGCTCCATATTTGCGAATATAGCTGTCAGTCATGGCCTTATAATTAGCATCCCATAACTAGTCAAAACTAACATTTTCAGTTAAATTGATGCTTGGGCAAGAGTTTGCATAATCAACACTAAATTAAATATCAGAAACCAGGTTTGAGAAGAATTTATGTGATGTGTTTTTTCATTTTAAAGTTTCGCTCATGTCCCATCTGTTTACATGGAGGAGGTGGGCTTTATCAACAATACCGCAGACAGCCAGGAGGGGGAGCATCACATTCAGGGAGCTTTCTTGTTTGGCGAATTTCTTTACATGATGACGAGCTAACAAACGGACCTTGAGATGATGAGTCAAATTTGTCCAAACACAAAAATCTCAGACTTTACTCCGAAAAAAGAAATTATTTTTGTTTGTGAATACTTACCACGTATCATTGGCTTCACAGTACTTATATTTTTTGACCTCTTCGTGTCTTCCCTGGTTTTTCTCCACCTCCATCTGTGACAAAGATTATTTTTATATGCTGCTCACCTAAGAAGTGAAAGTGTAGTTTGTAGTTTTGGAGAAAAGAGGATGAATGGTAAGGTTAGTGTAGAGAAATAAGCAGATGTCAGTGTTGTGTCATAAACATAATTGTACTCTCTGTTTTCCTGCACACCAACAGCCCTGCTCTTCCTTATGTTTGTGTTGTAAGTTAGCACTACCTGTAATGTCACCAAGTCATGAATCAGCCAGTGTTTGAACCTGCACTTTATCCCCACTCGGATTTCAAGTCCTTTTTATTCCTCTTCTTCCTTTTATTACGCTAAACATGTCGTATCTACACCCTTTGTTGGATTCTTCTGTTATGAATAAAATCAAGTGTTTATACATTTGTGGTGTCTGTGTCATGGTGCTGGGTGGGTGGGTGGGGGTCTGTGGTTGATTTCTGCCATGTTAATGACAAAAGAAAGTCCCTCTAGGAGTTTTAGATGGATGTAAGAAGTTTATTTCAGCTTCACATGTTTCTGAGTAATTCTTATAACCATCTACAACTCAACAAGCTGACTGTAAAAGAGCTGAGACAAGAAAACATGAAAAAACAGTTTAAGCTGTGTGGAAAAATGAGGAAAGTCTGTTTTGTTATTATATTAAACACAGTCTGATTTTAGAGGAACAAAAACTGCTCTTTTTCACTGTAGTTTGTTTATGGATCTCTCTGTTGTAACTTAGTTTATGTATCTGTCCCTGTAAGAGTAAAGTAGGAGGAGTCAAAACACCTGACAGGTAAACTTAAGGTTTCAATTTGTCAGTTTGTGTGGGAGTTTATTTTCTACCGTCTGCAGGTCTGTAGTCCCTCACTTTAAAATACTCTAACCTTTTTCTTCATCAGATGTTTTTCATTTTACATTTGCTCTTTTGTTTGGTTGTACAAGAATCTGGAATCCAGGAATCTGAAGAGGTTTGTGGAGAACTCAAGAAATGGAGGAGGGAGGAGAGATTTTCCGCGAGGCCCTTTGGGCAAGGTGCTCCGCTCGCAGGAATGTCTTGATAATACAGGTAAGTAGGCAAACTGTTTTGAAGGGTGATATTGGTTTTAAAGGCCTAAGATGGGTAAATTATACTATTTAGAAACGTAGTTTCAGTTTAATGGAGTTAGTTGAATAAAGTGAAGTTTGCTCTGGCTCAACACACAAACATGTCGGACCCTCACCATTGTTGATTTTCTTGGCCTACCTGTTTAGGGGATAAGAGTTCAGATGGTGTTTCTCTCAGTTCATAGAAAATTGGTGTTTTGTTGTTCAAATAGTAAATTTTCAGGCAATTAGTTTGGATACTATACATTTATTGCAGTGTGTGTGTGTGCGTGTGCTTTTTATGTTATATGCTTAAAAGTTAAAACAAAGATGTGTTGTCCTGTTTTAGTTCTTTAAATTTCAGATGAAATGTTCAGGGTGTTTTACTGTACTGTTGTACTTCTGTTTCCTGTTGTGTTCTGCCTCTGTCTGCTGTGTTGTTGTTGGCTGTTTGTGGTAAAATACTGTTACTGACCGCTCGCTTCTGAGGTTGTCAGTTTTCGTTATTTGATAGGTTGGAAATGTGCTGCTTAGTCAGTGTTACATTATGATAAATTAAACTGTACTATCATGATAAAATACAACTGTTGTTCAAGAGAAGACTGGAAAGGTCTTTTTTTGTTCTTTGTGTTTGTTTTTGCAGCAACATGAAAGATTGGAGACAATAGTCCACAGAGAGTCTGTGGAGGGGCCTGTTGATCTTCTGAGGCACCTAAAGCAGTAAGTCATTAAATGTGAACTTGAATAACAGTTATTGATTCAAGGCAATGTTGCAAAAACACACAATGTTTTTTCTGTTTTACTATTTTCCTCTTAACTGCCTCCATTTTGTCACATTTGTCTTATTACAGTGACACTCATTACTGGTAACACTGAGTTCCTCCAACAGAAGATAAACAAAACAGTTTAGTTACGTTTAGTTTATTTGTTTGCTCCATATTTAAAAAAATGAAAACACAATCGATGAATAATTAACAACAGAGTGCAGAGAGGGAAGGGAAGTCTCATACAAAGTCCTCTTATGTCTGAAACGAACATGAACGGTGAATCACAGAGTAGGGGATAAAAACAGAAAATCCAAAGATAAAACTAAATACATTTAAGCATTACAAATAAAAACATGGGAAAAAAAATAAAAAGTAAAAAATAAGAGAGTCAATGTAAGTAGCAGATCCGATTACCGATTATTTTTAAAAAATGTAAAAATCTGCTGATTAAAGGCAGAAGGTTCCTGTGAGTTGGAGTGAGGAATCTCAAAAAAATCTTGTGTATGATGAGCAGCTTAGAAAGGATGGAGGAACAGGAAGAACCCCAGACAATGTTACAATAATTACGATAAGGAAATATCAAACTAATATATCCTTAGATGGGAAGATGGATGAATAGATTTATAAACTTTTAACAAAATACCAAGCATTTTCAAAGGTCTTCTGCAGAAAAGGTTTTTTTAATATTTTTCCGAGTTAAATTCTCAATTTATTCAATGAGCTTCCATTTAGAAAGACTAATTGCTCTTTTGGCTTATTAATTGGATAACTATAGAAGGGTTACATCCTGGATCTCATATCTGTCGAGAAAGGGGATTAAGATCGAATGGATGACTGTATCAAATTTTTTGGATAGATCTAAAAACACACCAAGAGCAAATTTCTCTCTATTTAGAGCAGTGAAGATGTGACTGATGAGATGTAGTAATGCATTCTCTGAAGAGTACTTCCTTTTAAAGCCATATTGATGCTTATACAAAATGTTATTCACAGTTAAAAGATTGTTGTGTACACTAGTCTCTCTAGGACTTTTGAGAAACAGGAGGGAATAGATATTGGGCGATAATTACCAAATTTTCATGTCTGGCTTTAATTTAATTTTTAATGTCAGTGATCTTTTTAAGTGATAAAGTTTAGAGACAACCTTCCCTCATGAAAATGCCATAACAAACATCCAAAAGTTTCAGTTTTGATTCATATTTCATGACATAGTTAATAACTGATTATCTCTTTTAGTTTATTTCTTGACGTGAATCCTGTTAATTATTAATTTAATGATGAGGAATAACCATGACGCTGGGCTTTTGTTGCAGGATGGACTTGACCTCCATGGCAAGGAGGAAGAAAACAGAGACGAAGTTGCCGTATGAGCTTGATTCAGATTACGGCTCTGTGACAACGTGAGTGATTTTAAAGAGGTTGATCACAAACACACAGAACTGTGATTTCCAAACCCAGGTACATACCAAACCATGACTTTGGTGAACTGCTACACCCCTACTGTCCAGACGAACATCTCCAGAATAACCTCAAAGGTACTGCAGACTCCAGGGACCTGCAGAGAGAAAAGTCAAACCCAACAAATAACAAGATGGTCATATTGAGTTAACATATAATCATACTCTCTCCTTTCTCTTTCAAACACGTTTTTTTTTTTTTGTGCTGCAGTCCAAGATTCATGTTGAAAGACAAAATAAATAAAAGAGAGAGAGCAGAAACACATGAAGCAGCCATTACTGACCACCTCCCAAACTCTATGAGAGTAAAATCATTTTATTCTTCAAACAGCAAATGAACAAAGTTGTGAACATAAATTTAGCTGTAGGGATTTAATGTCACTTTGACATATTTATGGATTTCAGTATTGTTTATATTGTGAATGTGTCCTGAAACATCTACCCTCAAAAATTGTTCCATTTGAATAACAGCGTCTGTTAAATGACACTGAAACATTTTGGTCCAGGATCATATTTTCTACAATGGAGTTTGATTTTCATGTTTAAAGCCGGGTCAGTTATTCAGCGAGAACAAAGATGGACCTTTACTAGACTGATACTCTTTGGTAGTTTTTCAGCGTCATGGTGGTTTCATCACTTTCGTCTCTTCCTCTTTTTCTACCAAGCTCATCTAAAGGCAGTCAAATCTCAGGTCCGTCTGGATCATCCTTCAAGAGTGACAGATCAAAAGACCTCATACACAGATTCAGGTAGGAGTTTACCAACATTAAAATGCCACATTCATAACGACTGTCTATCTTTCTATCTGTCTATCTATACAAATAGTTAATTGTATATACATTTTTCCTATAACTGTATCTCTTGCTGCAGTCATAAACTGGTTGAGTCCACGGAGAGATCGATGAAAAGTGCAGAAAGAAATGAAGAAGCTGTTATTGAGTACCTCTCAAACAACTGGTCAGTGAAGACTGTGACTTTTTGTTTGAATTTTATATAGTATATACATATGGACTGATGCTACATCTTTATGTTTGTGCGTGGAGTAGATGCTGTGGTTTAATACCCACTCAATCTCTCTTTTTCTTGTTTTCCCAAACTCAGTCACTGTGGCCGATGGTCTTTTTTCAAAAAGAAAGGAAAATGCACCTGTCTCAAGTAAGTGTTTACAAAAACTGAAGTGTCTGTCTTCAAACTCACCCAGTAAATCGATCCATCAGAAAACAGTATTGAATTTCAAAACTGTGTCCTCCCATGGTGGAATTATAGAGGTTGATCTTTAACAGAAAAAGCTTTTCCTCAGACTGAAATGTTGCCTCAGTGGTAGATATTTAGTAAAATGACAAACTGAATTCATGCTTGTTCCACAATCTGTTGTATTCTGTTGGTTATCTTTTCAGATAAATTCGGGCCTGACCGATATGGAATTTTTGGGGCCAATGCCGATACTGTTTGTTGGGGAGGGGGTTACTCATTTCCGGTCCGGTCTCATCTGTAGACATGCAGCTGCCTCAGTAAGAGAAGTCGCTCGATCACTATTGTGTACTGTTGTTTATTCTACCGTTACTGGCACGGCTAACAGTGTAGTAAGGCTAATAGCAGGTGGCTAACTCTAACTTTAGCTTCATATTACATGGTGCTTCACCGTTAACTCGGCGTGACCGAGACCAGCACAGCAGGGAACATGGTGAAGTGGGTTGAACTGAGACTCGTTGACTCATTGAGTATTTCACAAACTGGTTTATTTACCGTTGAGGCGGACCACTCTCCTCCGTGCGTCTCTGAGCTGCCTGCTTCAGATCCGTCACTCTGCTGTGCTGTGAGGTAGTTAGTGGATGAAGATTGTCATGAGGTCGCTGCGCCATCTACAGGATAAGTCGGGGAACTTTTAAAATGGCGGAACATTTTCCAAGTGAAACCGAATCTTATTCTCTGCATTTTATCTCTGAAAATGCCGGTGAAAATTGGTGAGTTTTGGCCGATTACCGATTAGTCTCAAACGGGCTAAAATTGGCCGATTTAATTGGTCAGGCCCTAATAAAAATATTATATATTTTTAGACAAAAACATCATGATGTTGTTCTTCTTGTTGCAGCAACCCACTACTCAAGTCTGCACGGGAAGAAAGGAAAAGTGCTCAAAACGACCTAGTTGATACTATGAAGTTCATTGTAGAGAGGTAATGAGTGAGATATGTACATGCGATGTCTATCAAGTTGTTTTTTTATCCTGAATATAGAGATAAAAATATTTTAAATCATACAAATCTGTTTTTATTTTCATCATCATCGTAGCACCCTAACATTTTGGGTTGTATATCTTTTATGATGGGTCACACAGTTGACATGTTAAATCTTATTTGTTATTCTAAGTGGGTCCAAAAATCTCATTATAAATCAGATGCAAGATTTTCTGATACTCCAGGATTCAGGCTGATCAAAATGAGTTTTCTCTGGACTGATCCTGCTCTGTGGGTTTTGTCCAGCAGTCATGGACCTAAATCTTAATGAGCTTCTCTTCTCTAAACTCATCTCCAGAAGCCAGTGCACCTCATCTGGATCTGCCTCTCAGAGCGATTGCTCAAAAGATGTGACAACCAATTTTAAGAAGGCAGAAACACGCTCTCTCCAGTAAGTGTTGATCAAAACTTTTCTCTTGCAAACAGTTTGAGTTAAAGATGAACTCTTACAGTTTTTCTCAGTCGCTTTGGTGCATGTCTCAGATCAGAATGAAAGTTCTCACAACTATTCGTTCAAACTCCACAGCATTCAGTCATTTGTGCACATCGTTGTAGCAGTCAAGGGTTTGCTGTTAATGTTGAATTTAGTTCTGATTAAGTGAATTTCTTGTTGTAGGGATGGAAACATGGACGAACAGAAAATGGAGCAAACAGCAAAGTGGTGTGAAGCAGCTGGTCACACCAAGATCCCACCAAAGCTGTGAGTGAAATGACATTTATTCAATTATTACTTTTCTGGAATAGATTTGATGAAGTTTTAAACACTATTATAAGCACTCTGACACTCAGGGAGGTTGTAATGTTGTTTGCAGTTTTAACCCTTTATTAGGGACTGAAACATGTAGACATGAGCGCCACACAAAATTCAAACCTGGGAAAGAGGGGTAGGCTTACAGAAAAACCAAGTTTGACAACGGCAGTCAGTGATTTCAGTGGAACCTCCACATCCATGTAAGCCATTACCAACATTTATATATCACTGTAATAACAATTTGTTGGCAAACTTCAAAGCATGAGTTAAATAGACGACCATGTGAACATGAATAAATCTCATGTTAAGGAAATGTCATGCTGCTCCAGAGAGTCCAGATCACCAGTTTTTTGTTAACCCTGGTCCACCACCTCTCCATCACCTTCAGCCACCATGAATCAAGATCAAACAGATCAGCTGATTACATTTCTTTAAAGGAGACTGCATATACTATGGACAATTCAGCTCAGAATTCAGGATATGGATTTGAAGCCAAACTGCTCTCGGTATTTCCAGGATTTTCTCCTCTTCCCTGCAATCACCACTTTCATAGTGGTGTTGTACATATTCGGCGGTAGAGTCTCTGTGATGACACTCCGCTCAAACAGCGTTTCCCCCAGATGAGCTACGCAATCTTCGTACGCCTATAGGCTGTATCAGGTGTCAATCATAGAAAACATGAACCCCCTAATAACTTTTAAAAACTGAGCTGCACAGAAAAAAGAGGACTTGAGCACAAACCAGTCTGACAGTAACTACATGTCAACATCACAAGCAGGGAGGAGAAACATGTATATTCTGTGTGCGTAATTAATTTCTAAAGTTTGTCCACAGCTCCATAGAGATTGCTGGAAGAGGCGGGATTTATGACCTATGCCGCAGCCCGACACCAGAGGGTGCTGTTCTCGGAGTGGCTTCAGACAGTGATGATGACCTCTATGGTTGATACAGTCCATGGTAAGAACTGCTTCACAAAGTTATTATGAACAGAAACATGTTTTTGAAACACAAAATAATGTTGGAATAAGCCTTTTAAAACGAACACTTCGTCCAGTTCAACAGATTATCAATAACATCTGCTGCTTCATGACACTCACTTTATTACATATTTTAAATTTGGCAGCTTTGTATTTTAGTGTTAGTTTTTAAACGAATGAAGTAAGATGATTGTTACTTATTTCCTAATGCAGGGATGATGAGGAGGAAGAGAAAGCTGAGTAAGACGACTGTGGCTCCTCTCCACCCAGCGTATTCCTCTCCCCCACAGCCTGCCGCTGCCGCGCCCCCCACTCTGCCCCTGTAGCCCACTGTCCGCCGCTACCGCCAGCCCATCACCCTCCACCATAAATTAGCACAATCGATGCTAAATTAAATATCATAAACCGTGTTTTAGAAAAATCTATTTGATGTATATTTCATTTAAAGTATGTCCCATCTGTTTACATGGAGGAGTCGGGCTTTATCACCTATTCTGCAGTTAACCAGAAGGGGGAGCTTCACTTTCAGGGAGTTTTCTTGTTTGCGTATTTCTTTACATGATGATTTACTAAATGTACATGATGAACTCTCTGGACGAGCTAACAAACGGACCTTTTCTTCACCGTCTCCACCTCCATCTGTGACAAAGTTTATTTTTATATGCTGCTCACCTAAGAAGTGAAAGTGTAGTTTGTAGTTTTGGAGAAAAGAGGATGAATGGTAAGGTTAGTGTAAAGAAATAAGCAGATGTCAGTGTTTTGTCATAAACATAATTGTACTCTCTGTTTTTCTGCACACCAACAGCCCTGCTCTTCCTTATGTTTGTGTTGTAAGTTAGCACTACCTGTAATGTCACCAAGTCATGAATCAGCCAGTGTTTGAACCTGCACTTTATCCCCACTCGGATTTCAAGTCCTTTTTATTCCTCTTTCCTTTATTACGCTAAACATGTCGTATCTACACCCTTTGTTGGATTCTTCTGTTATGAATAAAATCAAGTGTTTATACATTTGTGGTGTCTGTGTCATGGTGCTGGGTGGGTGGGTGGGTGGGTGGGGGTCTGTGGTTGATTTCTGCCATGTTAATGACAAAAGAAAGTGCCTCTAGGAGTTTTAGATGGATGTAAGAAGTTTATTTCAGCTTCACATGTTTCTGAGTAATTCTTATAACCATCTACAACTCAACAAGCTGACTGTAAAAGAGCTGAGACAAGAAAACATGAAAAAACAGTTTAGGCTGTGTGGAAAAATGAGGAAAGTCTGTTTGTATTAGAATTATATTAAACACAGTCTGATTTTAGAGGAACAAAAACTGCTCTTTATCACAGGAGTTTGTTCATGGCTCTCTCTGTTGTAACTTAGTTTATGTATCTGTCCCTTTAAGAGTAAAGTAGGCGGAGTCAAAACACCTCACAGGTAAACTTTCGTTTTCACTCAGTTTGTGTCGCAGTTTATTTTCTACCGTCTGCAGGTCTGTAGTCCCTCACTTTAAAATACTTTAACCTTTTTCTTTATCAGATGTTTTTCATTTTACCTTTGCCTCTTTGTTTGGTTGTAGAAGAGGAGGCAGGAATCTGAAGAGGTTTGTGGAGAACTCAGAAGAAATGGAGGAGGAGAGAAAGGCTCTCTTGGAGGCCCGCAGGGCAAGGCTCGCTGCCTTAATGGCCCGTATGGAACAGGTAAGTAAGCAAACTGTTTTGAAAGGGTAATATTGGTTTGAAAGGCCTAAGATGGTTAAATTATACTATTCAGAAACGTAGTTTCAGTTTAATGGAGTTAGTTGAATAAAGTGAAGTTTGCTCTGGCTCAACACGGAAACATGTCGGACCATCGCCATTGTTGATTTTCTTGGCCTACCTGTTCAGAGGATGAGAGGTCAGACGGTGTTTCTCTCAGTTCATAGAAAACTGGTGTTTTGCTGTTCAAAAAGTTAATTTTCAGTCTATGGGTATTATAGATTTACCCACCATGACTTTGTTGTTGGTTTATTTGAAGATTGTCTTCCTGAAAACATCTGAATATTTATTCTTTTTTGTTTGTTCTTTATGTTATGTGCTTATAAACTAAACCAAAGATGTGTTGTCCTGTTTTAGTTCTTTAAATGTCAGATGAAATGTTCAGGATGTTTTACTGTAGCTACTGTTGTACTTCTGTTTCCTGTTCTGCTTCTGTCTGCCATAAAATACTGTCACTGTGGCCTGCAGCATGCACTAGTGTCGTGGATCACAGAGCTTCACTAACCCTGAGAAGTAAAACTAAAAGAAGTTAAAGACGAGTTTCTGCATTTATATCAGTATGAAACAGGGAAACAGGTTGTAGGTATAAACTCTAGTGTTTCTGCTTTAAAAAAGGTTTAACATCGTGTGTTCTGGATGTTTTGTACAGTATAACTGTCTGATCAGTCTGCTACTCTTAAGCTTTCATTACAGTGTTCATGTCATTGAATACTGAGGAAAATGAGCAGTAAGACCTCTATGTGTTTGTTTTGCAGCGACGTGAATTAATGGAGACAAGAGTCCACAGAGAGTCTGTGGAGGAGCCTGTTGATCTTCTGAGGCACCTAAAACAGTAAGTCATTAAATGTGAACTTGAATAACAGTTATTGATTCAAGACAATGTTGCAAAAACACACAATGTTTTTTCTGTTTTTGAACTTTTTTTTTTCCTTTTAACTGCCTCCATTTTGTCACATTTGTCTTATTACAGTGACACTCATTACTGGTAACACTGAGTTCCTCCAACAGAAGATAAATAATTAAAACAGTTTAATTAAGTTTAGTTTATTTGTTTGCTTCATATTTAAAAAAGGGAAACACAATCGATTAATAATTTACAACAGAGTGCAGAGAGGGAAGGGAAGTCTTATACAAAGTCCTAAATACATTTAAGTATTACAAATAAAAACATGGGAAAAAAATAAAAAGTAAAAAATAAGAGAGTCAATGTAAGTAGCAGATCCGATTACCGATTATTTTAAAAAATTTTAAAAATCTGCTGATTAAAGGCAGAAAGTTCCTGTGAGTTGGAGTGAGAAATCTAAAAAATTTCTTTCATATGTTGAGCAGCTTAGAAAGGTTGGAAGAACAGGAAGAACCCCAGACAATGTTACAATAATTAAGATAAGCAAATATCAAACTAATATATCGTTAGATGGGAAGATGGATGAATAGATTTATAAACTTTTAACAAAATACCAAGCATTTTTAGAGGTCTTCTGCAGAAAAGGTTTTTTTTATATTTTTCCGAGTTAAATTCTCAATTCATTCAATGTGCTTCCATTTAGAAAGACTATTTGCTCTCTTTTCTCATATTAATTGGATAACTATAGAAGGGTTACATCCTGGATCCCATATCTGTTGAGTTAGGGGATTAAGATCGAATTCTTGACTGTATCAAGTGCTTAGGATAGATCTAAAAACACACCAAGAGCGAATTTTATTTTATTTAGAGCAGTGAAGATGTTACTGGTGAGATGTAGTAATGCATTCTCTGAAGAGTACTTCCTTTTAAAGCCATATTGATGGTTATACAAAATGTTATTCACAGTTAAAAGATTGTTGTGTACACTAGTCTCTCTAGGATTTTTGAGAAACAGGAGGGAATATATATTGGGCGATAATTACCAAATTTTCATGTCTGGCTTTAATTTAATTTTTAATGTCAGTGATCTTTTTAAGTTATAAAGTTCAGAGACAACCTTCCCTCATGAAAATGCCATAACAAACATCCAAATGTTTCAGATTTGATTCATATTTCATGACATAATTAATAACCCTGATGATCTCTTTTGGTTTATTTCTTGACGTGAATCCTGCTAATTGTTAATTTAATGATGAGGAATAACCATGATGGTGGGCTTCTGTTGCAGAGATGACTCGACCTTCATTGCAAGGAGGAAGAAAATGGAGACGAAGTGGCCACATATTGATTTAAATTACGACTTTGATCCAATGTAAGTGATTTTAAAAAGGTTGATCACAAACACACAGAACTGTGAGTTTAAAACCCAGGTACATACCAAACCATGACTTTGGTGAACTGCTACACCCCTACTGTCCAGACAAACATCTCCAGAATAACCTCAAAGGTACTGCAGACTCCAGGGACCTGCAGAGAGAAAAGTCGAGCCCAACAAATAACAAGATGGTCATATTGAGTTAACATATAATTATACTCTCTCCTTTCTCTCCCACACGTTATTTTGTGCTGCAGTCCAAGATTCATGTTTAAAGAGAAAATAAAGAAAAGAGAGAGAGCAGAAAGGCATGAAGCAGCCATCACTGACCACCTCCCAAACTCTATGTGAGTAAAATCATTTTATTCTTCAAACAGCAAATGAACAAAGTTGTGAACATAAATTTAGCTGTAGGGATTTAATGTCACTTTGACATATTTATGGATTTCAGTATTGTTTATATTGTGAATATGTCCTGAAACATCTACCCTCAAAAATTGTTCTATTTGAATAACAGCGTCCGCTAAATGACACTGAAACATTTTGGCCCAGGATCATATTTTCTACAATGGAGTTTGATTTTCATGTTTAAAGTCAGTTATTCAACGAGAACAAAAATGGACCTTTACTAGACTGATACTCTTTGGTAGTTTGTCCCGCTTTGTGGTGGTTTCATCACTTTCATCTCTTCCTCTTTTTCTACCAAGCTCACCTGAAGGCAGTCAAATCTCAGGTCCGTCTGATTTGTCCTTCAAGAGTGACGAGTCAAAAGACCTCATAATCAGATTCAGGTAGGAGTTTACCGACATTTAAGTGCCATATTCATAACAACTATGTATGTATGTGTGTTTCTATCTATCTATACAAATAGATAATTGTATATACATTTTTCCTATAACTGCATCTCTTCTTGCAGCCATCTGCTGATTGAGTCCACGGAGACAGCGATGAAAAGTGCAGAAAGAAATGAAAAAGCTGTTATTGAGTACCTCTCAAACAACTGGTCAGTGAAGACTGTGACTTGAAGTTTGAATTTTATACAGTATATATATATGTACTGATGCTACATCATTATGTTTGTGTGTAGAGTAGATGCTGTGGTTTAATACCTACTCAGTCTCTCTTTCTCTTGTTTTACCAAACTCAGTCACTGTGGCCAAAGGTCAAATTCATCTGATTCATCCTCTGAGAGCGATTCAGGATATGAAGTGCGTAACTCCAAAAAGAAAGAAAAATGCACCTGTCTCAAGTAAGTGTTTACAAAGACTGAAGTGTCACTTTGGCAGTGAGGTTAAGCAAAAACACTTTTTGTCTTCAAACTCACCCAGTAAATCGATCTGATCGATCCATCAGAAAACAGTATTGAATTTCTTTGTCTCATATGAAGAATTAAATGCAGCCTTCCTCCTTAGATAAATACATATTATAAATCCAGTTTTCTTTTTGTACACCCAAAACTGTGTCCTCACATGGTGGAGTTAAATGAGATGATCTTGAAGAGAAAAAGCTTTTTCTTAGACTGAAATGTTGCCGAAGTTTTAGATATCAAGTAAAACGACAAACTGAGTTCATGCTTATTCCACAATCTGTTGTGTTCTGTTGGTTATCTTTTTATAAAAATATATGTATTTTTAGACAAAAAACATCATGACGTTGTTCTTCTTGTTGCAGCAATCTACTCCTCAAGTCTGCACAGGAAGAAAGGAAAAGAGCTGAAAACTATGCAGTTGATACTATGAAGCTCATTTTACAGAGGTGATGAGTGAGACAAGTACAGTTGAGGCCAAAATTATTAGCCCCCCTATGAAATTTGAAGTTTTTTTTCCAAAATTTCCCAATTGCTGTTCAACAGATTACTGATTTTTTACACAGCTTTTCCAAACATCCTAGTTTTATTTTGGATCATTACATTATTTTACTTTGCACACAGAAACAAAATTATTTCACAAAAACCCCAAAACTACCAGGGTCAAAATGATTAGCCCCCCTGAGAATTGATGTTTTTATTGAGCCAAAACAAAAAAATCATGTGCTTTCACTCTTGAGTGCTCACAGCTTGTCATCAATCAAACAATTAATTGAAAACAAAGAGTTGTCCTACACTTTACACACAGAATAAACCTTGTTACGTGTTTGAGTTGTCACTTGAGAAGGCATTGTGGCAAAAACAAAAGATTTCAGTTTAGACTTAAGAAAAAGAACTGTTGATGCTCACAAAGCAGGAGAAGGATATAAAAAGTTATCACAGTGTTTCCAAGTATCAAGAGGTGGAGTGAGAAGTATGTGAAAGTATGTTTCAAAGAAACTGGAACGAAAACTGGTGAGAGCTGTGTCTAAACAACCTAGAACAGCTACCAAAACGGTAGTTGCTGACTTAGCCAAGTCGGGAATTGTGGTGTCAAACAAGACGGTCTGTAGAGCCCTGAACATAAATGGACTGTGAGGATGCAGGCCATGAAAAACTCCACTTCTACAAAAGAGACACCTTCAAACCAGACTGAGGTATGCTAAGGACAATCTTGAGAAAGATTGTGCATACTGGAGACGTGTTCTTTGGTCGGATGAGACCAAACTAGAGCTCTTTGGTCACAGAGACATTGCTTATTTTTGGAAAAAGAATGGGGAGGTGTATAACCCTAAGAACACTGTCCCCACAGTTAAACACGGTGGTCAGAGTATCATGCTGTGGGGATGTTTCGGTGCATCTGGAAATTAGAATCTTGTCAAGGTTGAAGAAATAATGAAGAAAGAAGGATATGTGAAGATTTTGAAAGAAAACCTCAAGGAGTCAGCAGCAAAGCTGGGTCTGGGTCGTCCCTTTGTCTTCCAACATGACAATGACCCAAAAGATACAGCGCTCCTGGTGAGGAGCTGCCTCCAGGAAACCAAAGTGAACATTATTGACTGGCCCGCACAAAGTCTTGACTTAAATCCTATTGAAAATCTCTGGGCTGCAATGAAGACCAGGGTCCATGCTAGAAGACCATCAGATCTGGAGGAGTTTGAAAGATTTGCCAAAGAGGAATTGGCTGGGATTCCTCAGGAGATATGCCAGAGCCTTGTTACAAACTACAGCAAACGACTGCATGCTCCTATACGACAGAGAGGACACAAAATTGACTATTAGCCTCAGGGGGAATAATAATTATGACCCTGGTAGTTTTGTTTCTGTGTGCAAAGTAAAATAACGTAATGATCCAAAATAAAACTAGGATGTCTAAAAAGCTGTGTAAAAAAACGGGGGGCTAATAATTTTGGCCACAACTGTACATGCAATGTCCATCATGTTGTTTTTAATCCTGAATATAGAGTCAAAATTATTTTAAACCATCTTAAACTTTGTTTTTTTTTCATCATTATCGTAGCATCCTAACATTTTGGGTTGTATATCTATTATGATGGGTCACACAGTTGACATGTTAAATCTTATTTGTTATTCTAAGTGGCTCAAAAAATCTCGTTATAAATCAGATGCAAGATTTTCTCTGATACTCCAGGATTCAGGCTGATCAAAATGAGCTTTCTCTGGACTGATCCTGCTCTGTGGGTTTTGTCCAGCAGTCGTGGACCTAAATCTTATGAGCTTCTCTTCTCTAAACTCATCTCTAGCAGCCGGTGCACCTCATCTGGATCTGCCTCTCAGAGCGATCGCTCAAAAGATGTGACAACCGATTTTAAGAAGGCAGAAACACGCTCTCTGCAGTAAGTGTTGATCAAAACTTTTCTCTTTAAAAATGACGTTTATGTGAGTTCAGGACTCACGAACACACAGAAACAGTTTGAGTTAAATATGAACTCTTAATTAAAAGAGTTTGAAGTGATCCTGAGTGGTTTTTCTAAACTAAACAGCAAGGACCTGCACTCATCTTTCGTCGTCTGTCTCATCGACAAAGTTCCCGCTATGCTCTTTGTAGATACTTAATTCTGATTGACTATTGCAGTGAAAGATCAGTTTTCAAATCAGTGTAAAACAGCCTAGGATGAGTGACCATAATAACAGCCCCAAATTCTGCCAGAAGAAAGAAAGTTATTCTACACTCTGTTGGGTTTGCTGTTAATGTTGAATTTAGTTCTGATTAAGTGAATTTCTTGTTGTAGGGATGGAAATATGGACAAACAGAAAATGGAGCAAATTGCGAAATGGTGTGAAGCAGCTGGTAACGCCCAGATCCAAGCCCAGCTGTGAGTGAAACTACATTATTTTATTATTGTTTTTCTGGAATGGATTTGATGAAGTTTTAAACTTTATTTTAGTTTCATTAGCACTGTTGGTGCGAAGTGAACCCTAAGTTCTCTTTCATAGTCATACTCGATACTCGATGTCTCACTATGGGATGCACGCCTCGCTGCAGCCCTCAGAAGCATTTATCTCATTACACCCATCCTGATTGGCTGGTGAACGTGTCTGTCCGCCCTGGGTAGTCCCACCTACCATAAACACCTCATGCAGACGGCACCACCTCATTTAAACACCTCTTTTCACTCAGAGCATATGTCCTGACCAGGGCTAGCCAGCTAAATTGTCCACAGGCGGATCTAATTCAGCTTCTGTCGCTGGGTGCTACTAGCCTTGGATACTTTTCTGCTTCAACGATCACATCAGATCAATTCCAGTGCTCCCATGCCCCTCCATGGCTTGGTTAGCACTGTTCTCGGAGCCCCACCACGGTTTTTTCAGGCACCAAGCATTAGCATACCAGCTAACTTGGCTTTTTTGCAGTTAGCACACCAGCTAACTCCACCAGTTTGCGATGAATGGAGGTTACTATCCCTCACACCAGAGGGCACAGAGACTCTGGTGCCAGGCGCTGTAGCCGCGGGAATAAGATTAAAAAGAAGAATAAGAATTAAAAAAATACTGGATGTCAATTTTCTGTTTGTGTGTTTTCTGCAGTTTCTTAAGTTGGACGTCGAACGATCTGAATTTTTTTCACTCTTTTCCCAAACACAGTGATGATGACAGCCAAGCGTCTGATTCAGCTGCTTCGTCCAAAGGAAGTGAAAGGTAAAAAGAGCAAGGCTGTGATTTCAGAGTAAACTCTGTCATATGAGATTTTACCAAGTCACTTTGGTGATTCAGTTTGTTGATACCCTCACACACAACATTGTAAAATAGTGTGTAATATATCTTGTTAAGGAAATGCCATGCTGGTCTCGAGGGTCCAGGTCACAGATTTTTGTGCATCTGTCTTTGAATTAGCCTCAGGAGTTGATCCACTACAGCCTCATTGAGTTTTTAATGAGGGCTCATAGTGTACTGTTGATGTTGTATAGCTCCAAGTACTGCAAATATCAGTGTGTTTGGCATTGAGTCGTAGGCTTTCTTTTAGTCAGTCCAAACAGTGCACAGGTTTGTACTTCTGCTCTTACAGTCACAGTGACTGCCCTGTTAGCCAGCAGCTGGTGTTTGGCTCCTCTGGCCTTATTGACAGGGCCTGTCTGTGCCCTACTCATGTATCGATTTACACGCCCACTGTACAATGATGCCTGACAGGAGACTGGCAGTTGGATGGTGCTGCTCTCTTCTGGGGGTCCTTCATGATGAGGACTGTCTGGCCTCAACTCAAGTCTCCAGGGGCAATTTGAGGTCTACTTTAGTGATCTTTTGTCATCAGCTGCTGTTGGGGTTTGATTTCTACAAATTCTCTTTCTCTGTCTACGGTTAGGCAAAAAGGGTCCATGTACGACAGAGAGAGGTTGATGCTCGAGAGAGAAAGGTTGATGTTCGAGAGAGAGAAGTTGATGTTCGACAGAGAGAAGTTCATGTCAACCAAAAAGAGGTTTGTGTTTGTCATTTTTTTAAGTTGCTTTCATTGTCAGCTCCCATGTACACACAGGTTTCCCTATATGGTATTATTTTGTCAACATTAAAACACACACACATTTGTGCTATAGACGTAACGTCCATGTATGTCTGATTATATTTAATGAGTCTCATCGGTGTGTTCACACAGGTGTCCTGTAATTTCTGCAAATGTAATTCTCAGTTTCTTCTCCTAGTCTGTCCTGTGATTTAGAGAGCAGAAGGTCACAGTGACACACTCAGGACTTTGTTGTCACGCCAGAAAACGACACACTATATGGTGGATTCAACCAGTTATTTTTCTTTTTCATGTCATATAAAAAAATCAATAGTAATAAACAATATCAATATAAATACTCACTGTAAACTAGAGAACAAACAATCCTGTTTCCAGAGCAGTGGGGACTCCATATGTATTTTTGAAAGGTCACTTATGATACGATACACTTTATTGTCCCCTTAAGGAAATTTGTCTTGGACTCCAAGAGCTGCACATATAATGCTGCTAATTGATAACACAAAGTATTTGACCTAACAAAGACACAATCACATAACCCAGGCATATTGTTAGTTATCTTTATTGCACATACCCACAATGCACAACAATCTCACATAAATGGTAACAAGAAACATAAATAACTAGAACAGCACTCGGAGAGCGCAGACCTCCGCCAAGCAGTTCATGTCCCCCCTTATATTGTGATTCACACCAAAACGTTTACTGTTACGTGTCTTTTAAAAGTCTTGTAAAGTTGCTAACAGACAAACAAACAAACAAACCAATGCTACCGAAAACATAACCTCCTTGGTGGAGGTAACAATGACAAAGAATAAGATACAGCAAGGTGAGATAAAAGGAAATGATAAGAATAAACCATGACATTATTGTACAATCCGGCTACATTTTCAGGAAACATAAATTGAACACCTAATTGAGGTGGGCACGAATGACTTTTTAAAACGATTCCTGTCTATTCAGAAAAATATCCCATTAATGCAGAGTTTTTATTTGTTTGTTAGTCAGCTAATACTCAAAGAAAAAGAACACTTTCACTGGCCGATCATTTTTCAAGTTTGTGTGTTATCTGCAGATGTTGAAGTTGGATGTCTAACAATCTGATCTTTCTCACTTTTTTACCTAAATCAGTGATTCAGCTGCTCCAACTCCTGAAACACCAGGTTCGAAAGAGCAAGGTTTTGATTTCAGAGGAACCTCAGCAACCATGTAAGCTATTTTAGATATTACTGCAGTCATTTTTTGTTTGCAGACTTCACACACAGCCTGGGTGAAATAGACGACCATGTGAACATGAATAAAACTCATAAGGAAATGTCATGCTGCTCCAGAGAGTCCAGATCGCCCGTTTTTTGTGAACCTCTGGTCCACCACCTCTCTGTCACCTTCAGCCACCATGAAAGTTTAGTTTCATCTTTAAAGTGTTTGGAGCTTTGAACCCTGTTACACTGATCTGTTCTCTAATTGGGAACAAATCCAGTGTAATTCAAGGACAAAGCCTTTTCTCCTGGTATGTTTGAATAACTTTAAAATGTTGGACACTTTGCAGATTTTAGATCCAGTGTTTTATTTTAAATCATCTTTGGGTTTGCTCTTGATATTTTACCCCTCACTGAAGAAGGATCACCATAACAATGTTTCTTTAATTACAGGAACAACAAAACTTTATTCAAGCTGAGATCTCCTGTAAAGTCTGGAGAGGAGTCAGGCTACTCTTCACTCTTTGGGTGAGTGAAATGTGTTTACAACAATTTTCTTCTAGACAGTTTTTTGTAGTTTTTGATTACTATGAATACATGGATCATAAATTACAGGAGCAGTTTTTTGGTAATTCCTTGGATCAGTTTCCTCTCTGTAAAACGTGCTCTCTAGGACAAGGATGGATCTCTGCTGTCAGTCATTATTATTGTTTATAGGTTTGTATCAAAGCTGTCAGCTTTAACATGTTAATAGTTGTGTAACTTTAGTCCAAATCTGATGAATGAGTCCTTCACAGCAGTCTCCTCCCCCTGAGTCATGCTGTCAGACCTCATTGGTGCAGCCGTGTGACATTTATTTGAATATTAAATCTATAAAAACAAGATCAATTATTTCAGCTGATTGCAGTTATTTAAAGGACCTGGTAAGAACTGCTTCACATATTTAATATGGATATTAACGCTGTTTTGAAACGCAAAATAATGGTGTTATAGACATGAAATGAGCCTTTAAAATGAACACTTTGTCCAGTTCAACAGAGTATCAACAACATCTGTTTCTTCATGACACTCACTTTATTACATATTTAAAATTAGGCAGCTTTGTATTAAAATGTCTGTTTTTATACAAATGAAGTGAAATGATTGTTCCTTTTTTCCTAATGCAGGGATGATGAGGATGACGATTTGTACGGATGAACGGATGAAAAGCCAATTTTGAGCAAGAATAACTCAAATACCTGATAATTATGGTAAAAATGTTTTATGTAAAGTTACTCTTTTACTCTTTCTACAAATTTGCTCTTGCTTCCAAACTTTTGGCCTGTAGTGTATGTATAGACAGCAGTATATGCATACCTACATTTGATTTTAACCACAGAGATCAGGTCACTGACTCTATAGATTGCAGATACATCTACATTTACGTTCTATATCTGAAATGTTCTGATTTCTTTATTTCTTGCTTTGATTGATTGATGTGTTTCTCTGTTCTGTATTTCGCAGAATGTTTGATGACAAAAAAAATCTTTAATTGACTTTATTGTGAGTTTATTTGACTTCATGTGATTCTAAAGTTAAATACTTGGTTCAGAATAAATGCTTTACTCAGTACAAAGTGTACAGCTTTGTTTGGTAAATACACTGAACAAAAATATAAATGCAACACTTTTGATTCTGCTCTCATTTTTCATGAGTTGAACTCAAAGATCTCAGACTTTTTTCTCTTCAATATTGTTGACAAATTTGTCTAAATCTGTGTTAGTGAACACTTTTCCTTTGCTGAGATAATCCATCCTCCTCACAGGTGTGGCATATCAAGATGCTGATTAGACAGCATGATTGTTGCACAGGTGTGCCTCAGACTGGTCATAATAAAAGATTACTCTAAAAGGTGCAGTTTTATCACACAGTACAATTTCAAGTCCTTTTTATTCCTCTTCTTCCTTTTATTACACTAAACATGTCATATCTACACCCTTTGTTGGATTCTTCTGTTATGAATAAAATCAAGTGTTTATACATTTGTGGTGTCTGTGTCATGGTGCTGGGTGGGGGTGGGTGGGGGTCTGTGTTTGATTTCTGCCATGTTAATGACAAAAGAAAGTGCCTCTAGGAGTTTTAGATGGATGTAAGAAGTTTATTTCAGTTTCACATGTTTCTGAGTAATTCTTATAACCATCTACAACTCAACAAGCTGACTGTAAAAGAGCTGAGACAAGAAAACATGAAAAACAGTTTAGGCTGTGTGGAAAAATGAGGAAAGTCTGTTTGCATTGTTATTATATTAAACACAGTCTGATTTTAGAGGAACAAAAACTGCTCTTTATCACAGTAGTTTGTTCATGGCTCTCTCTGTTGTAACTTGGTTTATGTTTCTGTCCCTTTAAGAGTAAAGTAGGAGGAGTCAAAACACCTGACAGGTAAACTTTCGATTTCAATTTGTCAGTTTGTGTGGGAGTTTATTTTCTACCGTCTGCAGGTCTGTAGTCCCTCACTTTAAAATACTTTAACCTTTTTCTTCATCAGATGTTTTTCATTTTACCTTTGCTCTTTTGTTTGGTTGTACAAGAATCTGGAATCCAGGAATCTGAAGAGGTTTGTGGAGAACTCAAGAAATGGAGGAGGGAGGAGAGATTTCCCGCGAGGCCCTTGGGGCAAGGCGCTCCGCTCGCAGGAATGTCTTGACGATACAGGTAAGTGGGCAAACTGTTTTTGAAGGGTGATATTGGTTTTAAAGACTTAAGATGGGTAAAATATACTATTCAGAAACGTAGTTTCAGTTTAATGGAGTTAGTTGAATAAAGTGAAGTTTGCTCTGGCTCCACACACAAACATGTCGGACCCTCACCATTGTTGATTTTCTTGGCCTACCTGTTTAGAGGATGAGAGGTCAGATGGTGTTTCTCTCAGTTCCTAGAAACTTGGTGTTTTGTTGTTCAAATAGTAAATTTTCAGACAATTAGTGTGGATACTATACATTTATTGCAGTGTGTGTGTGTGTGTGTGTGTGTGTGTGTATACCTGAGTTACTGCTTAGTTAATGTTACGGTTTGATTAATTAATTTGGACTATCATGATAAAATACAATTGTTGTTCAAGAGAAGACTGGAAAGGTCTTTTTTTGTTTCTCTGTTCGTTTCATCTGTAATAAGCAAAAAGATTATTGCAGCCTTGTGGGATCACAGAGCTTCACCAACCCTGAACAGCAAAGCTACAAGAAGTTACAGATGAGTGTCTGCATTTATATTAGAAAAAGGGAAACAGGTTAAAGGTAAAAACTAGTGTTTCTGCTTTAAAAAGGTTTAATATTGTGTGTTCTGGATGTTTTGTACAGTATAACTGTCTGATCAGTCTGCTACTCTTAAACTTTCATTACAGTGTTCATGTCATTGAATACTGAGGAAAATGAGCAGTAAGACATACATGTGTTTGTTTTTGCAGAAACAAGAAAAATTGGAGGCAAGAAGAGCCCACAAATTGTCTAAGAAGCAGCGTATTGAAGTTCTGAATAACCTAGTGGAGTAAGTCATTAAATGTGAACTTGAATAACAGTTATTTATTCAAGGTAATGTTGCAAAAACACACAATGTTTTTTTTTCTCTGTTTTTGAACTTTTTTTTCCCTCTTAACTGCCTCCATTTTGTCACATTTGTCTCATTTGTCTCTTTAGTGTTTGTCTTGTTACTAGGAACACCGAGTTCCTCCAACAGGAGATAAACAATTAAAACAGTTTAATTAAGTTTAGTTTATTTGTTTGCTCCATATTTGAAAAACGGAAACACAATCAATGAATAATTAACAACAGAGTGCATGGAAGCCTGAGGGTTTATACAAAGTCCTCTCTCGTCTGAAATGAACATGAATGAAGAGTAGGGGGTAAAAACAGCAAATCCAATAATAATAAAACTAAATACATTTAAGGATTACAAATAAAAACATGACAAAAAGAAAAATAAAAAGTAAAAAATAAGAGAGTCAATGTAAGTAGCAGATCACAATGAGAGAATGTAGGGCTGAGATCAGGACATGATGAGAAAATTTTTAAGCTCAATTTAAAGACCGTTGAGTCTCTGATGACAAAGGCAGGTTATTCCAAAGTGAGGTGATGTGATGTTGGTGTTTGGATGTACGACAGAAAGAGAGATGGAGATAATTTCTTCTTCTAGTTGGATAATTGTGGATATAAAATGTCAGGGAAAGAAGGTCTGGGAGAAATACTGGCTGATTATGTTCACATTTAAGGATATTTAAAGATAAAAAAAACATATTTGGAGAGCTTTCGATTTATCTGCAGATAAAATTGAGCACTTCTTGTATAGAGGGGCAGAAGGTTCCTGTGAGTTGGAGTGAGGAATCTCAAAAACTTCTTCTGTACGATGAGCAGCTTAGAAAGTTTGGAAGAACAGGAAGAACCCCAGACAATGTTACAATAATTAAGATAAGCAAATATCAAACTAATATATTATGAGTGTCAGTAAAACTTTTATTACATTGCCAAATTTTCTTTTTCAATACCAATTTTTAATGTCAGTGATCTGGTTAAGTTATAAAGTTCAGAGACAACCTTCCTCCATGAAAATGCCATAACAAACATCCAAATGTTTCAGATTTGATTCATATTTCATGACAAAATTAATAACCCTGATGATCTCTTTTGGTTTATTTCTTAAAGTGAATCCTGTTAATTATTAATTTAATGATGAGGAATAACCATGATGGTGGGCTTTTGTTGCAGGATTAGCTTGACCTGGAAAACAGGGAGAAAGAAAAGGGAGACCAACTTGCTGTATGATGTGGATGATTCAGATTACGGCTCTGATACCAGGTGAGTGATTTTAAAAAGGTTGATCACAAACACACAGAACTGTGATTTTAAAACCAAAGTACATACCAAACCATGACTTTGGTGAACTGCTACACCCCTACTGTCCAGACAAACATCTCCAGAATAACCTCAAAGGTACTGCAGACTCCAGGGACCTGCAGAGAGAAGTCGAGCCCAACAAATAACAAGATGGTCATATTAAGTTAACAAATAATCATACTCTCTCCTTTCTCTCCCACACATTTTTTTGTGCTGCAGTCCAAGATTCATGTCGAAAAAGAAAATAAAGAAAAGAGAGAGAGCAGAAAGGCATGAAGCAGCCATCACTGAACACCTCCTAAAGTCTATGTGAGTAAAATCATTTTATTCTTCAAACAGCAAATGAACAAAGTTGTGAACATAAATTTAGCTGTAGGGATTTAATGTCACTTTGACATATTTATGGATTTCAGTATTGTTTATATTGTTTATATTGGCTGACTCCTCCTCCTGACTGGTGAGCGTGCGCATTGCTTCATTCCCTTCCTTGCTGTTGAACTGTGTGTAGCGTTTCGTTTCCTCCTGAAAGCGCTCTCTTGCTGTTTTGGTTTATTTTCTATCTGTAATTTATCAGTACATCTGTCTGTTTAGAAAGTCTGTAAGTATTTCTGATAGTTTTCACCAAGCACTGTTTTTATCTCCACTCCGGGCGATCTCTCTGACCATTTACTTTACTAGCTCCTAGCTTAGCTTCTCTTAGCTACACTTGCTAACGATGGCTTCCCCCCGGTCGCCTGCTTCTCCTGCTCGCTTCTGCTCAGTGTGTCAGATGTTCAGTTACTCCTCGTCCTCCTTAGACGATAACGATACCTGCTTTAAGTGTAGTTTATTCTTAGCTCTGGAGACGAGGATTACAGAGTTAGAAAAGCGGCTCCGCACCGATGCTAGTGTAGCGATAGCCAGCCAGGACTCGGTAGCCGGTGCGGGTCGGCCTAGCTTAGCCTCCCCCCCGGCGAATCCCGAGCAGCCGGGATGTAGTAGTGGTTGGGTCACTGTGAAAGGGAAGCATAGCAGTAGACCTAAGAAGCCCACGGTAGACCACCACATTCACATTTCAAACAAATTTGCCCCTCTCAGCAACACACCTGCTGAGCCTGACGCTCTTGTGATTGGAGACTCTGTAGTCCGAAATGTGAAATTAGCGAAGTCAGCGGCCATAGTTCAGTGTCTCCCGGGGGCCAGAGCGGGCGACATTGAAGGTAGTTTAAAACTGCTGGCAAAGGCTAAACGTAAATTCCGTAAGATTGTAATACATGTCGGCGTAAATGACTCCCGACGCCGCCAGTCGGAAGTCACTAAATTGAACGTGGAATCGGTGTGTGAATATGCCAAGACCATGTCGGACTCCGTAGTTTTCTCTGGTCCCCTGCCCGATCAGACAACTGATGAGATGTGTAGCCGTATCTCATCATTCAACCGCTGGCTGTCGAGGTGGTGTCCGCAAAACGGCGTGAGCTTCATTGATAATTGGAAGTCATTTTGGGGCAAGCCTGGTCTGATTAGTCGGGACGGCATTCATCCCACCCGAGATGGAGCGGCCCGTTTATCCAGAAATCTGGCCGATTTTATTAATCCGAACCACTGACAATTCAAAGCAGAGATCAGGGAGCAGGGCCGCAGTCTTACACGCCCCCCTGCGCCTCTTTTAGAGCAGCCTCCCAGCCACTACCACTTATACACAGAGACAAGGGAGCAGAGCCGCAGTGTAAAACGCCCTTCTGTACTCCCTTCAGAGCAGCCTCCAAGCTACAATCAGCTTGACTTCGAAATCAGGGAGCAGAGCCGCAGTGTAAAACGCCCCTCTGTACTCCCTTCAGAGCAGCTTCTAAGCTACTCTCAGCTTGACATAGAAATCAGGGAGCAGAGCCACAGTGTAAAACGTCCCTCTGTACTCCCTTCAGAGCAGCTTCCAAGCTTCTCTCAGCTTGACATAGAAATCAGGGAGCAGAGCCACAGTGTAAAACGTCCCTCTGTACTCCCTTCAGAGCAGCTTCCAAGCTACTCTCAGCTTGACATAGAAATCAGGGAGCATAGCCACAGCTCTACACGTTCCTCTGTACTTTTGTTAGAGCAGCCTCCTAGCTACTGTCACTTTAATATAGAGACTGTGTCTGTCCCTCGTACTCGGCTCTCAAATTCTAACCGATCAATTAAAAAAGGAGTAAATAACAAGAACCTTACTAGAATTAAGACTGTTAACATAGCTGAACCAAGTACTAGTAAGATAAAATGTGGCCTACTGAATATAAGGTCTCTAAATTCAAAATCTGTGTTAATAAATGAACTAATCTCTGATCATCGCATTGATTTACTCTCCCTAACCGAAACATGGCTGCATAAGGATGAATATGTAAGTTTAAATGAATCCACTCCTCCTAGCCACCTAAACTTTCACATTCCTCGAGACTCCGGCCGAGGTGGTGGAGTTGCAGCTATCTACAATTCCAGTCTTAGAATTAACCCAAGACCAAAACTAGATTATAACTCTTTTGAAAGTCTCGTTCTCAGTCTCCCGCACCCAGCCTCAAAGTCCATGAGACCACTGGTATTTGCTATAGTTTACCGCCCTCCGAGCCCATACTCTGAGTTTTTGTCAGAGTTCTCAGAGTTCCTATCCGAATTAGTCCTTCTCGCAGATAAAGTCATCGTCGTCGGTGACTTTAATATTCACATAGATGTGGAAAATGATAGCCTAAGCATTTCTTTTCGGTCCTTGCTAGATTCAATTGGGTTTACACAGTGTGTACATAGACCTACGCACTGCTTTAACCACACTCTCGATCTCGTCCTGGCTTATGGCCTCGAAACTGATGCCCTGTTGGTCAGCTCATTAAATCCTCTATTATCTGATCACTGTCTAGTAACTTTTGAATTTGTGCTTTCAGGTTACTCTCCTCACAACAAATTCGTGCTAACTAGAAGGTTGTATGAAAATGCTGTTACTAAGTTCAAGGAGGTAATTCCGTCTGCTCTAAATTCTGTAGCTGAGAAAAACTTTACTGATAGCTCATATTTAAACATCAGTCCCTTGCAACTCGACCAGTTTGTTGATGATACCTTAGGCACACTGCGATCAGTTCTAGACTCAGTTGCCCCTCTTCGACAGAAAACTATTACACGCGAGAGGCTAGCCCCGTGGTATAATGCTGAAACCCGTGAGCTGAAACAGTTATTAAGAAAATGTGAAAGGATTTGGCGCTCCTCCAAAACAGCTGAAGCTCGTTTTCTCTGGCAGGAATGTCTCGATAAATATAAGAAAGCCCTACGACGTGCTCGGACAACCTACTACTCGTCTCTTATTGAGGAAAATAAGAATAACCCCAGATATCTCTTCAGCACTGTAGCCAGGCTGACAGACTGTCCGAGCACCACTGAACCATGTATCCCATTAGCCCTTAGCAGCAATGACTTCCTGAGCTTCTTCAATGATAAAATCTTAAAAATAAGAGGTAAAATTAGTAACCTATTGACTCCATCAAGTGTCTCTCTCTCAGATAACCCTAAAAATGTTGAGGAGCCCCTAAGGCCTCTGGTGCACCTTAGTAATTTTGTACCTATTGACCTTCCTGAGTTAAAGTCAGTGGTGCTAGCAGCCAAACCATCGACGTGTCTCTTAGACCCAATTCCATCTAAATTGCTGAAGGAAACTCTTCCTTTGATTAGTACGTCCCTGCTCAAAATGATTAACACGTCTTTATTAACAGGATATGTTCCCCAGTCTTTCAAGACTGCATTGATTAAGCCTCTCCTTAAAAAACCTACTCTAGACTCAAGCTCCCTAGCTAACTATAGACCAATATCCAACCTTCCTTTTATTTCTAAAATCCTAGAGAAAGTTGTTGCGAATCAACTCTGTGATTTTCTCCATAACAATGGTTTATTAGAGGATTTCCAGTCTGGGTTTAGAACCCATCACAACACAGAGACTGCTCTGCTAAAGGTGTCAAATGACCTACTCATGGCCTCAGACAATGGTTTTCTCTCTGTTCTAGTCCTGTTAGATCTTAGTGCAGCATTTGACACAATTGACCACTCCATCCTGCTTCAGAGACTAGAACAATCTATAGGCATAGCAGGATCAGCTCTCTCCTGGTTTAAATCGTACCTAACAGATCGATCCCAGTTTGTCAATGTAAATAATAAATCCTCTGCACACACCAAAGTCTGCTACGGTGTGCCGCAAGGGTCAGTGCTCGGTCCAATCCTCTTCACCCTGTATATGATTCCGCTGGGTAAAATTATGAGGAAGTATTCGATTAATTTCCACTGTTATGCAGATGACACCCAGCTATACCTATCCATAAAGCCAGAGGAAGCAGGCCAGGTTGCCAGGTTAGAAGCCTGCCTCAAAGATATAAAATCCTGGATGACCAATAACTTTCTAATGCTCAACTCAGACAAAACTGAAGTTCTGGTCCTCGGTCCTAAACACCTTAGAGAGGCGTTCTCTAGTAATTTAGCTACATTTGATGGTATCAGCCTGGCATCCAACCCCACTGTGCGTAATCTAGGAGTTGTATTTGATCAGGATTTATCTTTTAGCTCCCACATTCAACAAATTTCTAGGACAGCCTTTTTCCACCTGCGCAATATCTCAAAAATTAGACGCATATTGTCTCAGAGCGATGCAGAAAAACTAGTCCATGCCTTTGTTACCTCTAGGCTGGATTACTGTAATTCTCTCCTATCAGGCTGCTCTAGTAAGTCATTAAGGACTCTTCAGCTGGTCCAAAATGCAGCAGCTCGGGTATTGACTAGAACTAGTAGAAGGGAGCACATCTCCCCTGTTTTAGCCTCTCTTCACTGGCTCCCTATTAAATATAGAATTGAGTTTAAAATCCTCCTTGTGACATATAAAGCGCTTAATGGCCAGGCGCCATCATATCTCGACGAGCTAGTTATACCGTACTTTCCATCTAGACCGTTACGCTCACAGTCTGCAGGTCTGCTCGTTGTACCAAATGTCTCTAAAAGTAGTGTTGGAGGAAGAGCTTTCAGCTACCAGGCACCTCTCCTCTGGAATCATTTACCGCTCGAGGTTCGGGGGGCAGACACACTCTCAACTTTCAAGAGTAGACTTAAAACGTTCCTCTTTGATAAAGCCTATAGTCAGGGCTGATTTGAATCAGCTCTTAGTTATGCTGCTATAGGCCTAGACTGCCGGGGCTATCTGGCACACTGAGCTAGAGTCTGTCTCTATCTCCTCTTTAGATCTTTATGTCCCATATAAGTCACTGACCAGTTTTCTGTCTCTCTGAGTGTCTCTGAGTCTTTTAGCTGCCACTGGACTAATGCTGCAAACGGTCTGCTGCGGAACTGCCTGACCCCAGCTGCATCCATCCAGGGCCCTGAGCTCCTCCATCTCTTTGGCTCCTCTGGACCGTTGCTGCAGAGACCCCCCCCCCGGCCCTGAGCTCCTTCTTCTCTCTGATTCCTCTGGACTGTTGCTGTTACTGTTACTGCAGACATGAACATCAGCCTCACTGTCATTATTGACATACAAAATAGAACTGACTACGATTAAGCCTGCTAACTGTAATCACACTCAATTAATTCAACATTGTCCATTATCACTCATATCCTAAACCTGTAAACTGAACGTCTTTTGTTTCACCATTACATGAGCTGTTGTCGTTGTTGCTGTTGTTCCTGCTGCCTCCTGTCTCTCTCTCACCCTCGTTCCCTACTCTCTCTCCCTCCCCCTCCCTCTCCGTACTAATTCTCTCTCGCCTTTCCCCTATCTTGCTGTCTCTCTCCCTTCCCCTGTCCTCTCCTCCTCTCCCCTCTTCTCTCTACATTCCACCCCAACCCAGCAGCGGCATGGTGGCTGTCTAGCATGAGTCTGGTCCTGCCCAAGGTTTCTGCCTGTTAAAAGGAAGTTTTTCCTTGCCACTGCTACTCATGTTAGTTGAGATGGGCCAAAACCCATCTTAGGTTGGTTCTTGATCATCAAACAATGAGCGCGGTCCTGACCTGCTCTTGTTCCTTGAAAAGCGTCTTGAGATGACGACTGTTGTGAATTGGCGCTATATAAATAAAATTTGATTGATTGATTGATTGATATCTTCAAACATCTACCCTCAAAAATTGTTCCATTTGAATAACAGCGTCTGTTAAAGACATTGAAACATTTTGGTCCAGGATCATATTTTCTACAATGGAGTTTAATTTTCATGTTTAAAGCCGGGTCAGTCATTCAACAAGAACAAAGATGGACCTTCACTAGACTGATTCTCTTTGGTAGTTTGTCCAGCTTTGTGGTGGTTTCATCACTTTCATCTCTTCCTCTTTTTCTACCAAGCTCACCTGAACGCAGTCAATTCTCAGGTCTGTCACGTTTGTCCTTCAAGAGTAACAGATCACAAGACTTCACACTCACCTTCAGGTAGGAGTTTATCAACATTAAAATGCCACGTCCATAATGACCATGTATGTATGTGTGTATCTATCTATCTACACAAATAGTTAATTGTATATAAATTTTTCCTATAACTGTATCTCTTGTTGCATCTCTTCCTCTTTTTCTACCAAGCTCATCTAAAGGCAGTCAAATCTCTGGTCCGTCAGGTTTGTCCTTCAAGAGTGACGGATCAAAAGACCTCAAACTCACCTTCAGGTAGGAGTTTACCAACATTAAAATGCCACATTCATAATGACTGTCTGTCTGTCTGTCTGTCTGTCTATCTATCTATCTATCTATCTATCTATCTATCTATCTATCTATCTATCTATCTATCTATCTATCTATCTATCTATCTATCTATCTATCTATCTATCTATCTATCTATCTATCTATCTATCTATCTATCTATCTATCTATCTATCTATCTATCTATCTATCTATCTATCTATCTATCTATCTATCTATCTATCTATCTATCTATCTATCTATCTATCTATCTATCTATCTATCTATCTATCTATCTATCTATCTATCTATCTATCTATCTATCTATCTATCTATCTATCTATCTATCTATCTATCTATCTATCTATCTATCTATCTATCTATCTATCTATCTATCTATCTATCTATCTATCTATCTATCTATCTGTCTATCTTTCTATCTATCTATCTATAAAAATAGTTAATTGTATATACATTTGTCCTATAACTGTATCTCTTGTTGCAGCCATCTGCTGATTGAGTCCACGGAGACAGCGAGGAAAATTGCAGAAAGAAATGAAGAAGCTGTTATTGAGTACCTCTCAAACAACTGGTCAGTGAAGACTGTGACTTGAAGTTTGAATTTTATATAGTATATACATATGGACTGATGCTACATCTTTATGTTTGTGCATGGAGTAGATGCTGTGGTTTAATATCTACTAAATCTCTATTTCTTTTGTTTTCCCAAACTCAGTCACTGTGGCCAATGGTCTTTCTTCAAAAAGAAAGGAAAATGCACCTGTCTCAAGTAAGTGTTTACAAAAACTGAAGTGTCTGTCTTCAAACTCATCCTGTAAATCGATCCATCAGAAAACAATATTGAATTTCTTTGTCTCGTATGAAGAATTAAATGCAGCCTTCCTCCTTAGATAAATACATATTATAAATCCAGTTTTCTTTTCTGTACATCCAAAACTGTGTCCTCACATGATGGAATTATAGCGGTTGATCTTTAAAAGAAAAAGCTTTTCCTAAGACTGAAATGTTGCCTCAGATATGACAAACTGTTTCTATTGGTTCTGTTGGTTATCTTTTCATAAAAAATTAGCGCCTGACCGATATGGATTTTTTGGGGCCGATACCGATTATTGGGGGGGAGTCTGATTACGGATTAATCGGCCGATTTTCTAAATTTTTGATGAAGTTATAAAAAAAAATATATATATTCACTGTAGATTAGTCTCAAACGGGCTAAAATTGGCCCGATTTAATCGGTCGGGCCCTAATAAAAATATTATATATTTTTTAGACAAAAACATCATGATGTTGTTCTTCTTGTTACAGCAATCCACTTCTCAAGTCTGCACGGGAAGAAAGGAAAAGAGCTACAAACCACTCAGCTGACACAATGAAGCTCATTTTACAGAGGTAATGAGTGAGACATGTACACGCGATGTCCATCAAGTTGTTTTTTATCCAGAATATAGAGAAAAAAATGTTTTAAACCATCTAAATCTGTTTTTTTTTTCATCATCACAGCACCCTAACATATTGGGATTGGGGCTGTATATTCATCGTGATGGGTCACACAGTTGACATGTTAAATCTTATTTGTTATTATAAGTGGCTCAAAAAATCTCATTATAAATCAGATGCAAGATTTTCTGATACTCCAGGATTCAGGCTGATCAAAATGAGCTTTCTCTGGACTGATCCTGCTCTGTGGGTTTTGTCCAGCAGTCGTGGACCTAAATCTTAATGAGCTTCTCTTCTTTAAACTCATCTCTAGCAGCCAGTGCACCTCATCTGGATCTGCCTCTCAGAGTGATCGCTCAAAAGATGCCGGGATCAATTTTAAGAAGGCAGAAACACGCTCTCTGCAGTAAGTGTTGATCAAAACTTTTCTCTTGAAAAAAATGACGTTTATGTGAGTTCAGGACTCACAAACACACAGAAACAGTTTGAGTTAAATTTGAACTCTTACAGTTTTTCTCAGTCACTTTGGTGCATGTCTCAGATCAGAATGAAAGTTCTCACAACTATTTGTTCAAACTCCACAGCATTCAGTTATTTGTGCACATCGTCGTAGCAGTCAAGGGTTTGCTGTTAATGTTGAATTTAGTTCTGATTAAGTGAATTTCTCGTCGTAGGGATGGAAACATGGACAAACAGAAAATGGAGCAAACAGCAAAGTGGTGTGAAGCAGCTGGTCACACCAAGATCCCACCAAAGCTGTGAGTGAAATGACATTTATTCAATTATTACTTTTCTGGAATAGATTTGATTAAGTTTTAAACACTATTATAAGCACTCTGACACTCAGGAGGGTTGTAATATTGTTTGCAGTTTTAACCCTTTATGAGGGACTGAAACATGTAGACATGAGCGCCACACAAAATTCAAACCTGGGAAAGAAGGGTAGGCTTACAAAAAAACCAAGTTTGACAACGGCAGTCAGTCATTTCAGAGGAAACTCATCGTCCATGTAAGCCATTACCAACATTTAGATATCACTGCAGTAATAATTTGTTGGCAAACTTCAAAGCATGAGTTAAATAGACGACCAGTGAACATGAATAAATCTCATGTTAAGGAAATGTCATGCTGCTCCAGAGAGTCCAGATCACCAGTTTTTTGTTAACCCTGGTCCACCACCTCTCCATCACCTTCAGCCTCCATGAATCAAGATCAAACAGTTCAGCTGATTACATTTCTTTAAAGGAGACTGCATATACTATGGACAATTCAGCTCAGTTCAGAATTCAGGATACAGATTTGAAGCCAAACTGCTCTCGGTATTTCCAGGATTTTCTCCTCTTCCCTGGAATCACCACTTACATAGTAGCGTTGTACATATTCGACGGTAGAGTCTCTGTGATGACACTCCGCTCAAACAGCGTATCCCCCAGGAGAGCTACGCAGTCTCCGTACGCCCATAGGCTGTATCAGGTGTCAATCATAGAAAACATGAACCCCCTAATAACTTTTAAAAACGGAGCTTCACAGAAAAAAGAGGACTTGAGCACAAACCAGTCTGACAGTAACTACATGTCAACATCACAAGCAGGGGGAGAAACATTTATATTCTGTGTAATAAATTTCTAAAGTTTGTCCACAGCTCCATAGAGATTACTGGAAGAGGCGGGATTTATGACCTATGCTGCAGCCCGTCACCAGAGGGTGCTGTTCTCGGAGTGGCTTCAGACAGTGATGATGACCTTTATGGTTGATACAGTCCATGGTAAGAACTGCTTCACAAAGTTATTATGAACAGAAACATGTTTTTGAAACACAAAATAATGTTGGAATAAGCCTTTAAAACGAACACTTCATCTGCTGCTTCATGACACTCACTTTATTATATATTTTAAATTTGGCAGCTTTGTATTTTAGTGTTAGTTTTTAAACGAATGAAGTAAGATGATTGTTACTTATTTCCTAATGCAGGGATGATGAGGAGACAGAGAAAGCTGAGTAAGACGACTGTGGCTCCTCTCCACCCAGCGTATTCCTCTCCCCCACAGCCTGCTGGTGCCACGCCCCCCGCTCTGCCCCTGTAGCCCACTGTCCGCCGCCGCCGCCAGCCCATCACCCTCCACCATAAATTAGCACAATGGATGCTAAATTAAATATCATAAACCGTGTTTTAGAAAAATCTATTTGATGTATATTTCATTTAAAGTATGTCCCATCTGTTTACATGGAGGAGTCGGGCTTTATCACCTATTCTGCAGTTAACCAGAAGGGGGAGCTTCACTTTCAGGGAGCTTTCTTGTTTGGTGTATTTCTTTACATGATAATTTACTAAATGTACATGATGAACTCTCTGGACGAGCTAACAAACGGACCTTTTCTTCACCGTCTCCACCTCCATCTGTGACAAAGTTTATTTTTATATGCTGCTCACCTAAGAAGTGAAAGTGTAGTTTGTAGTTTTGGAGAAAAGAGGATGAATGGTAAGGTTAGTGTATATAAATAAGCAGATGTCAGTGTTGTGTCATAAACATAATTGTACTCTCTGTTTTTCTGCACACCAACAGTCCTGCTCTTCCTTATGTTTGTGTTGTAAGTTAGCACTACCTGTAATGTCACCAAGTCATGAATCAGCCAGTGTTTGAACCTGCACTTTATCCCCACTCGGATTTCAAGTCCTTTTTATTCCTCTTCTTCCTTTTATTACGCTAAACATGTCGTATCTACACCCTTTGTTGGATTCTTCTGTTATGAATAAAATCAAGTGTTTATACATTTGTGGTGTCTGTGTCATGGTGCTGGGTGGGTGGGTCAGTGGGGGTCTGTGTTTGATTTCTGCCATGTTAATGACAAAAGAAAGTGCCTCTAGGAGTTTTAGATGGATGTAAGAAGTTTATTTCAGCTTCACATGTTTCTGAGTAATTCTTATAACCATCTACAACTCAACAAGCTGACTGTAAAAGAGCTGAGACAAGAAAACATGAAAAACAGTTTAGGCTGTGTGGAAAAATGAGGAAACTCAGTTTGTATTGTTATTATATTGAACACAGTCTCATTTTAGAGGAACAAAAACTGCTCTTTATCACAGGAGTTTGTTCATGACTCTCTGTTGTAACTTAGTTGAGTCAAGAGTCAAAACAGCTGAAAGAGAAACTTTCGTTTTCAGTCAGTTTGTGTCGCAGTTTATTTTCTACCGTCTGCAGGTCTGTAGTCCCTCACTTTAAAATACTTTAACCTTTTCTTTATCAGATGTTTTTCATTTTACCTTTATTCTTTTGTTTGGTTGTAGAAGACGAGTTAGGAATCTGAAGAAGTTTATGGAGAACTCAGAAGAAATGGAGGAGGAGAGAAAGGCTCTCGATGTGGCATTGTACAAACAGGTAAGTAAGCAAACTGTTCAGAAAGGCTGATATTGGTTTTAAAGGCCTAAGATGGGTAAATTATACCATTCAGAAACGTAGTTTCAGTATAATTGAGTTAGTTGAATAAAGGGAAGTTTGCTCTGGCTCAACACGGAAACATGTCGGACCATCACCATTTCCTTGGCCTACCTGTTCAGAGGATAAGAGGTCAGATGTTTTTTCTCTCAGTTCATAGAAAATTGGTGTTTTTTTGTTCCAAAGGTAAATTTTCAGTCTATGGGTTTATAAATTTAACTCACCATGACTTTGTCATTGGTTTATTTGAAGATTATCTTCCTGAAAACATCTGAATATTTATTCTTTTTTTGTTTGTTTGTTTGTTTGTTATGTGCTTATAAATTACAACAAAGATGTGTTGTGCTGTTTTAGTTCTTTAACTGTCAGATGAAATGTTCAGAATGTTTTCCTGTAGCTACTTCTGTACTTCTGTTTCCTGTTGTGTTCGCCTCTGACTGTAGTAAAATACTGTCACTGTGGCCTGCAGCATGCAGTAGTTTTGTAGGATCACAGAGCTTCACTAACCCTGAGAAGTAAAACTAAAAGAAGTTAAAGACGAGTTTCTGCGTTTATATTAGAATGAAAAAGGGAAACAGGTTAAAGGTATAAACTCTAGTGTTTCTGCTTTAAAAAGGTTTAATATTGTGTGTTCTGGATGTTTTGTACAGTATAACACTGTCTGATCAGTCTGCTACTCTTAAGCTTTCATTACAGTGTTCATGTCATTGAATACTGAGGAAAATGAGCAGTAAGACCTCTATGTGTTTGTTTTTGCAGAAACATGAAAAATTGGAGACAGTAGTCCACAGAAAGTCTATGAAGAAGCGTGTTGATCTTCTGAAGCACCTAGAACAGTAAGTCATTAAATGTGAACTTGAATAACAGTTATTGATTCAAGACAATGTTGCAAAAACACACAATGTTTTTTTTTTCTGTTTTTGAACTTTTTTTCCTTTTAACTGCTTCCATTTTGTCTTATTACAGTGACACTCATTACTGGTAACACTGAGTTCGTCCAACAGGAGATAAACAATTAAAACAGTTTAATTAAGTTTAGTTTATTTGTTTGCTCCATATTTAAAAAAAGGGAAACACAGTCGATGAATAATTAACAACAGAGTGCATGGAAGCCTGACGGCTTATACAAAGTCCTCTCTCGTCTGAAATGAACATGAACGGTGAATCACAGAGTAGGGGATAAAAACAGCAAATCCGATAATAATAAAACTAAATACATTTAAGGATTACAAATAAAAACATGGAAAAAAAATAAGAAAAAGTAAAAAATAAGAGAGTCAATGTAAGTAGCAGATCCGATTACCGATTATTTTAAAAATCTGCTGATTAAAGCAGATTTTTTAATTTTTTTTATGAAGTTATAAAAATATATATATACTGTAGACATATACAGTATACTATATACTGTAGATATACTGTAGGCTACTGCTCTTCACGCAAACAGGAAGACCGACTGATCAAATTCGGACCAGAAAAGCAGTTGAACTAAAACTTTTTGACTTATTGTGTATTTCACAAACTGGTTTATTTACCGTTGAGGCGGACCACTCTCCTCCGTGCGTCCCTGAGCTGCCTGCTTCAGATCCGTCACTCTGCTGTGCTGTGAGTAGATGAAGATCGTCATGAGGTCGCTGTAGCGCCATCTACAGGATAAGTCAGGGAACTTCTCAAATGTCGGAACATTTTCGAAGTGAAACCGAATCTTAGTCTCCGCATTTTATCTCTGAAAATATCGGTGAAAATCTGCAAGTTTTGGCTGATTAATGATAAGTCTCAGACGGGGTAAAATTGGCCGATTTAATCGGCTCGCCAATAAATCAGTTGGGCCCTGATAAAAAGACAGGTCAAGAGTTGGAGTGAGAAATCTGAAAAATTTCTTCCATATGTTGAGCAGCTTAGAAAGTTTGGAAGAACAGGAAGAACCCCAGACAATGTTACAATAATTAAGATAAGGAAATATCAAACTAATATATCGTTAGATGGGAAGATGGATGAATAGATTTATAAACTTTTAACAAAATACCAAGCATTTTCAAAGGTCTTCTGCAGAAAAAGTTTTTTTTTAAAATATTTTTCCGAGTTAAATTCTCAATTCATTCAATGAGCTTCCATTTAGAATGACTATTTGCTTTCTTTTCTCATATTAATTGGATAACTATAGAAGGGTTACATCCTGGATCCCATATCTGTTGAGTTAGGGGATTAAGATCGAATGGTTGACTGTATCAAATTCTCAGGATAGATCTAAAAACACACCAAGAGCAAATTTTATTTTATTTAGAGCAGTGAAGATGTTACTGATGAGATGTAGTAATGCATGCTCTGAAGAGTACTTCCTTTTAAAGCCATATTGATGGTTATACAAAATGTTATTCACAGTTAAAAGATTCTTGTGTACACTAGTCTCTCTAGGACTTTTGAGAAACAGGAGGGAACAGATATTGGGCAATAATTACCAAATTTTCATGTCTGGCTTTAATTTAATTTTTAATGTCAGTGATCTTTTTAAGTTATAAAGTTCAGAGACAACCTTCCCTCATGAAAACGCCATAACAAACATCCAAATGTTTCAGATTTGATTCATATTTCATGACATAATAACTTTGATTATCTCTTTTGGTTTATTTCTTGACATGAATCCTGCTAATTGTTAATTTAATGATGAGGAATAACCATGATGGTGGGCTTTTGTTGCAGAGATGACTCGACCTCCACGTCAAGTATGAAGGAAACAGAGATGAACTTGGCATATGAGGTTGATTCAGGTTTCTGCTCTGCAACAACGTGAGTGATTTTAAAAAGGTTGATTACAAACACACAGAACTGTGATTTCAAAACCAAGGTACAGACCAAACCATGACTTTGGTGAACTGCTACACCCCTACTGTCCAGACAAACATCTACAGAATAACCTCAAAGGTACTGCAGACTCCAGGGACCTGCAGAGAGCAAAGTCGAGCCCAACAAATAACAAGATGGTCATATTAAGTTAACCTGTAATTATACTCTCTCCTTTCTCTTTCAAACACGTTATTTTTGTGCTGCAGTCCAAGATGCATGTTTAAAGAGAAAATGAAAAGAGAGAGAGCAGAAAGGCATGAAGCAGCCATTACTGATCACCTCCCAAACTCTATGAGAGTAAAATAATTTTATTCTTCAAACAGCAAATGAACAAAGTTGTGAACATAAATTTAGCTGTAGAGATTTAATGTCACTTTGACATTTTCATGGATTTCAGTATTGTTTATATTGTGAATACGTCCTGAAACATCTACCCTCAAAAATTGTTCCATTTGAATAACAGCGTCTGTTAAATGACACTGAAACATTTTGGTCCAGGATCATATTTTTTACAGTGGAGTTTGATTTTCATGTTTAAAGCCGGGTCAGTTATTCAACGAGAACAAAAATGGACCTTTACTAGACTGATACTCTTTGGTAGTTTGTCCAGCTTTGTGGTGGTTTCATCACTTTCATCTCTTCCTCTTTTTCTACCAAGCTCACCTGCACGCAGTGAATTCTCAGGTCTGTCACGTTTGTCCTTCAAGAGTAACAGATCACAAGACTTCATACTCACCTTCAGGTAGGAGTTAACCCTGACCAAAATGAGTTTTCTCTGGACTGATCCTGCTCTGTGGGTTTTGTCCAGCAGTCGTGGACCTAAATCTTAATGAGCTTCTCTTCTCTAAACTCATCTCTAGCAGCCGGTGCACCTCATCTGGATCGGCCTCTCAGAGCGATCGCTCGAAAGATGTGACAACCGATTCTAAGAGGGCAGAAACACACTCTCCGCAGTAAGTCTCTCACAAACACAGAGAGACAGTTTGAGTTAAATATGAACTCTTAATTAAAAGAGTTTAAAGTGATCCTGAGTTGTTTCTCTAAACTGAACAGCAAGGACCTGCACTCATCTTTCGTCGTCTGTCCCTCTCTGCTCTTTGTAGATACTCAATTCTGATTGGCTGGAGCATTTCCATTAACTAAATATATTAAACCTCTCAAGTCGTTGCAGTGAAAGATCAGTTTTCAAATCAGTGTGAAACAGCCTAGGATGAGTGACCATAATAACAGCCCCAAACTCTGCCAGAAGAAAGGAAGTTATTCTATACTCTGTTGGGTTTGCTGTTAATGTTGAATTTAGTTCTGATTAAGTGACTTTCTTGTTGTAGGGATGGAAACATGGACAAAAAGAAAATGGAGCGAACAGCGAAATGGTGTGAAGCAGCTGGTAACACTCTGATCCAACAAAAGCCGTAAGCAAAATGACATTTATTCTTATTAAACTTATTGTAAAGTGTGAAAAACATTCATTCACGCATTTTTAAAGGGATTGTTGATGCCATATGTGGTCAATTGGAGGCGTTCCTGAATGCAAATAACCCTAACCATGCACGAGCACGGTAGTAAAGAACAGGTGGGATTTATCATCACCGATTACTTATGTGTGTGTGCGTACGACTGGTGTCCGCACGTTTGATAAATGCAGATTTTTTTGTACTTACGCACATTCTGAATTTCACTCCTACGCCAGAATTTAGAACCTTTTCTACGCACGTTTGATAAATAAGGCCCCAGATCTCTAGTTTTTTGTGAACCTCTGGTCGGCCACCTCTTCCTCATATTCAGCCTCTGTTTAAGTTTAGTTTCATCTTTAAAGTGTTCAGAGCTTTGAACCCTGTTACACTGATCTGTTCTCTTACAAATCCAGTGTAATTCAAGGACAAAGCCTTTTCTCCTGGTGTGTTTGAATAACTTTAAAATGTTGGACACTTTGCAGATTTTAGATCCAGTGTTTCATTTGCAATTGTCTTTGTTTCTTCTTTGTTCCTCTTCCAGAAAGTTTTGTTGTTGTTGTTTTTAAATACTGTGAATACATGAGTCACAAAAACCACAGGAGTAGGTTTTGATAAATCCTTGGATCAGACCCACCCTTGCCTTAGAACAAGGGTGGGTATGTGCTGTCAGTCATTATTATTGTTTATAGGTTTGTTTCAAGGCTGTCAGCTTTAATATGTAACTTTGTAATGTTATTTATTTTAGTTTTAATGTCCATGTTAGACAAAATTTTGCAGCTTTTTGCGAAAATAAGATGAGTTAAATTCCCTAACTGAGTAAATATGTGGGCCTTCACAAAACTCCTATTTTCCTATCGTGATCTATTAGTTATATACAGTGAGATTTTGAGGGGAAGGGTAAAGGTACCACCTGGCTACCAACTATAGACACAAATACATTTACATGTGTCAGTCTGTTTTTATGGAGTCTGAAACAATCAAAATCAAGTAATTAATGTCGTCTTATGAATGAGAAGAAGGCTTGGTCATAGATGTGAGTGTGCATGATTTGTGTTGTGTATAGTCTAATCAGGTTGCTTTCATGCTGATGTAGTGGTTTTGTAACTGTGCTGATCATTCGCCGCAGGGAGGACCCGACCTCCTCCTCAAATAAGGAGGATGTTGTAGCAGCCGGAGGTCATCCTGAATCCTTTTCTGGCTTTGTGCGTCTCTTAGTCTCCTCACATTCTTTCATTTACATCTTCACCCATCATGATAAACCTGACCTGCTGTCATCAAAACACCATTCTCACCGTCTTTCCCTTTAAATAATCTGCTTTAGTGTTCATGTAAACAGTTTCTCTTCCCTGTTGGTCTCCCTCTCTTCTTGACCAGATCAATTGAAAGCCGAACAACCATCCAGTCCTTCGAAAGTGACAGGTCAAAAGACGATACCATTGATTTCAAAGACAGTCAGCTAGATCTGGGGTAAGTTGCTCTTAAATTTATCCATTTTTACCTGGTTTAACTGACTGTAGTGGGAGTGGATGGGCTAAACCTGTGCTTTGTGATATCAAATTATATGGTTGTTAAAATTATGTGGTTGTTGGACATGGAAAAATGTATGTTGGTTTTTATCTTTCTTCCAGAGTCACTCCTCCAAGTTCAGCTCTTATGGCCCCTTTGTCTCCTAAAGAGAAGTAAGCTTCCTAAAGTTAACGCTGCCTTGTTGAAGGAGCGTCCTGTAGAGTCAAATATGACATCCTTAATTATACACAGTCCATAACTTTATCTTGTACTTAAAATCAAATCACTTCCTTTATTGTTGCGGTAATCCCTGCAGTAATCATTTCTCATTGCAGGTTTCAGAATTTCTTCAGAAATCTTGGCTTCAAAAGGAATCGATGAAACATCTAATTTTCCACCTCAGTGTTTTCATAAACAACGGGATGGTTCGAATTATTATAGCCACTCGAGTCCACTGATACAGTGTTAATATAGTTTTGAATGTGCATCACAGTCCTGTAAAAACAAGGTTAAAATGATCATAACATCTGAACACAGCATTATGTTTCCATGACATATAATACTGCACCACTGAGCATCAACCTTCATTTTTGAAAAAGCTGCAGTTCCTTGAGTCCCCACTAGAGGCTGTTTCAGAAAGAAAACAAAGACCTGATACAGCACATAATAAAACGCCCAATCTTCACAGCAGGGATTAACACATAGTTGTCAAGTCTCCCGTTTTGGCCGAGAAACTACCGTATTTTTCCCCTCTTCCCCAACGTCTTCCTGTATTAGCATTCTCCTTGAAATCTCCCGTATTATTAAATATGTATATAAAACATTCTGCCTCTCCAAACTGAACTCTGTGACTAGCGCTTGTTACGTACCCACCAACTCGTAGTAGTGAGTAGTCATCTGAGAATCACACAGACGATAAACTAACCCGATAATTTCCCTTATTTACAGAACAAAAACTTGACAGGTATGGATTAACATGTTTACAGCTATTTCAATGTAAATCAACTATTTTTATATTATCAATTTATAGAGAGAAGTGAATTTTTGTGTACTGTAAATCCCCTAAAATAAGATAAGATATTCCTTTATTAGTCCCACAGGGGGAAATTCCAAATAAATGGACCGGGTCCTGTGTTTGCCTCTGCTCTCCAGGATACCAGGCCTTTAAACGAAGCAGGCTTGTATTATAGGCGGGCCTTTCTTTTATCTTCTCTGAGGCTGAGAACTGTAATTGTTCATATTAAAGTACAAAGTCGGAGCCTTGTTAACTAAAGACTTGCATGACTTTTGAGTGAATGAGTGAAAAAGACATGAAGCACACGCCCACTTTATTTCCAAAATCACTCTCCTGCTGTATCAAAGACAAGAAACTAAGACCATAAAAAACAGACAAAGCTTAAATGAGGTCAGGTTATTCCTTTCTTGTGTTTCCAGTGAGTCATTTTTTGTAAAAAGGAGTCTCCCCCTGCTGGCCATGGAAAAGAAGGACAGGTTATAGGCGTCTCACTTTTGAATCTTAAAAGGAAACATCCACTGCAGATACAGATCAAATTGCTGTTTTCATAAATTTCCAGCTAAAACAGCTAAAAGATATGTACATTGTTTATTTTGATGAAATTGCACTCGTGTTTACTTTTCTTTTGTTTACTTTGGTGAGAGTAAGTTCTGAAGTTTCTGAAATATATTTACATTTTCATTGTGTGAAGAGAACAAAAGATTTAAAAAAGAAAATTTAACTAGAATGGAACTGTGCTACTCACCTTTTTAATGTCTTATTGCTGTAATCTGAATTTAATATGATTTTGTTTCATTTTATTCATTTTTTATTTGTCAAAGTTACAGAAAAGAAAATGTAATTTATTTGTGGTGTTGTTTAATTCTTTTGTAAAGAGTGTATCTTTGTTCGCAGACATGTATATTTTTCTTGTTCTGTTATAAAAGCATCTTAATGAACTATGCGACTGTCTTAATCTCGTTGATATCCCTGGGTCATTTCATTTTATTCAAGTCTATTAGGTGCTGGATTTACAGCAGCTGTTTTTGTCATCATATCAAGTTCATCATCTGGTTTCATTTTGATATACTCATTTTTGACAGCTGGCTGTAAATGTCACACCTTCTCGCTTCAACCAAACCCCGTAAAGACCAAAGTCCTCTAAGTTATTAAAGCTTGTGAGAGACTTTACTTTTCACTTTTCCTCAGCAGAGACGCTGTGTTTCTCACAGACAGGTAATACAGCTTTGCATTTATAAAACTTAATCATAACAAATTTTTTTTTTTTCAGGACTTGTGTATCAGAGCTGAGTTTTTTTGGTCTTCATATATACCTGAAATGATCATATTATGACTTTTCTGTAAGTTTGGGTTTGGGTTTACCAGCTGAATAGTTTCGTTTGTCTTTCTCTTGTGACGCAGTTTTTTTTCACCATCTTAAACTATTTTTAACAGGAGTTAACATATCCAAAAACATCCTTTGGTGTAACCTGTTTGTAGTTTCATCTTGAAAATCAAACATCAGAAATGACATTGGTTAAAAAACAATAATATTAGATAACAACACAGGGGTATACAGTGACTGGAATTTACAAAAGACACTGACAGGCTTTCCTTTTTTTAGATTTAGACCGATAGTTAAAAAACGATTTCATAAAGTCTAACATGTAAGAGTGTTCGAAGGTTTCTTGATTGCCCCAATGTGAGGTTTGGAATTTTTTATGGAGTGGTTCTTATCTTTATTGCTTTATGACAAGAAACAGGGAGAAGAGTTTGTATCATAGTTCAAGATCAGAACAATGTTGGCACATATCCCCATGTTTTCTGGGCATGTGCTCGGGGGGGAAAGGAGTATGCTTTGGGTCAGGGGAGAGGAGTGGGTTTTAGGATTACCACATCAATTAAGTTTACACACAGAAACCATGATGATGTGACTCAGCTCTGTACTGTCTGGTCATTTCCTGGTCGACGTACTTGGGTGTGCGTCCAACAATGAAAACACTGTCACTTGGACAGCTGTGTAGTGTTTGTGAGATATGAAAGTTTTGTCTTTTCTAGTTTACAAAAATCTTATAGGTCTCATGTACTATTCACGTTTGTGCTATTCAACTTCTGGGTTAAATGTGAACCAGGTTGACAGAAACACTCTTTGTTAGGACTGGAGTTGGACGAGATGAGACTCTAAAAGTGTTTTGTAACTGTCTAATATTTTATGAAAACAGAAATTACTCATCTTCTCTTTTGGCTTATTTCCAATTTCATGATAAATAAAGAAATGACTTGAACTACCCCTTTGAAAAGATGGAGGTGAGGATGATGGGGTTTGATGGCAGGATGTGGAGCAGAGTGGTGGAGCTTGAAAATGCTGCAGTTTGGACCAGGGAATAAGGAGAGGATGAGGGAGCCTGTACCAAGGATGGGGGGAAAGATGACAGGGTTTGAACCAGGGAATGAGGAGAGGATGAAACAGCTTGAAGATAGGATGGAGGGAAAGAAGAAGTTTATTACGCTAAACATGTCGTATCTACACCCTTTGTTGGATTCTTCTGTTATGAATAAAATCAAGTGTTTATACATTTGTGGTGTCTGTGTCATGGTGCTGGGTGGGTGGGGGTCTGTGTTTGATTTCTGCCATGTTAATGACAAAAGAAAGTGCCTCTAGGAGTTTTAGATGGATGCAAGAAGTTTATTTCAGTTTCACATGTTTCTGAGTAATTCTTATAACCATCTACAACTCAACAAGCTGACTGTAAAAGAGCTGAGACAAGAAAACATGAAAAACAGTTTAGGCTGTGTGGAAAAATGAGGAAAGTCTGTTTGTATTGTTATTATATTAAACACAGTCTCATTTTAGAGGAACAAAAACTGCTCTTTATCGCAGGAGTTTGTTCATGACTCTCTCTGTTGTAACTTGGTTTATATATCTGTCCCTTTAAGAGTAAAGTAGGAAGAGTCAAAACACCTGACAGGTAAACTTTCAATTTGAATTTGTCAGTTTGTGTGGGAGTTTATTTTCTACCATCTGCAGGTCTGTAGTCCCTCACTGTAAAATACTTTAACCTTTTTCTTATCAGATATATTTCATTTCAGCTTTACTCTTTGTTTGGTTGTAGAAGACGAGGCAGAAATCTGAAGAGGTTTGTGGAGAACTCAGAAGAAATGGAGAAGAAGGGATAGAATTGCCTTGAGGCCGTCAGGACAAACCTCGCTGCCATAAACGACTCACTCCAACATGTAAGTAAGCAAACTGTTTAGAAAGGGTGATATTGGTTTTGAAGGCCTAAGATGGGTAAATTATACTATTCAGAAACGTAGTTTCAGTTTAATTGAGTTAGTTGAATAAAGTGAAGTTTGCTCTGGCTCAACACGGAAACATGTCGGACCATCGCCATTGTTGATTTTCTTGGCCTTCAAGTTTAAAGGACAGGTAAGGGAGTCAGACGGTGTTTCTCTCACTTCATAGAAAATTGCTGTTTTGTTGTTCCAAAGGTAAATTATCAGTCTACGGGTTTATAAATTTAACTCACCATGACTTTGTCGTTGGTTTATTTAAAGACAATCTTCCTGAAAACATCTGAATATTTATTCTTTTTTGGGTTTTTTTTATGTTATGTGCTGATAAATAACAAAGATGTGTTGTGCTGTTTCCTGTTGTGTTCGCCTCTGTCTGCTATAAAATAAAGTCACTGTGGCCTGCAGCATGCACTAGTGTCGTGGGATCACAGAGCTTTACTAACCCTGAGAAGCAAAACTAAAAGAAGTTAAAGACGAGTGTCTGCATTTATATTAGTGTAAATAAAGGGAAATAGGTTAACAGGTTTTTTATAGTATAACAACACTGATCAGTCTGCTACTCTCAAGCTTTCATTACAGTGTTCATGTCATTGAATACTGAGGAAATGAGCAGTAAGACCTCTTTTGTGTTTGTTTTGCAGCTACGTGAAAAATTGGAGACAAGAGTCCACAGAGAGTCTGTGGAGAAGCCTGTTGATCTTCTGAAGCACCTAAAACAGTAAGTCATTAAATGTGAACTTGAATAACAGTTATTGATTCAAGACAATGTTGCAAAAACACACAATGTTTTTTTTTCTGTTTTTGATTTTTTTTTCCTTTTAACTGCCTCCATGTCGTCACATTTGTCTATTAAAACAGTTTAATTAAGTTTAGTTTATTTGTTTGCTCCATATTTAAAAACCAAAAACACAATCGATGAATAATTAACAACAGAGTGCAGAGAGGGAAGGGAAGTCTCATACAAAGTCCTCTTTTGTCTGAAACGAACATGAACGGTGAATCACAGAGTAGGGGATAAAAACAGCAAATCCAATAATAATAAAACTAAATACATTTAAGGATTACAAATAAAAACATGGAAAAAAGAAATAAGTAAAAGTAAAAAATAAGAGTCACTGTAAGTAGCAGATCACAATGAGAGAATGGAGGGCTGAGATCAGGACATGATGAGAAAATTGAAGTTCAACTTTAAAAACCGTTCAGCAGTAATGAGTTTCTGATGACAAAGGCAGGTTATTCCAAAGTGAGGTGATGTGATGTTGGTGTTTGGATGTACGACAGAAAGAGAGATGGAGATAATTTCTTCTTCTAGTTGGATAATTGTGGATATAAAAAGACATGGTAAGAAGGTCAGGGAGAAATACTGGCTGATTATGTTCACATTTAAGATATTTGAAGATAAAAATACATATTTGGAGAGCATTTGGTTTATCTGCAGATAAAATGGAGCACTTCTTGAATAGAAGGGCAGAAGGTTCCTTTGAGTTGGAGTGAGGAATCTCAAAAACTTCTTGTGTATGATGAGCAGCTTAGAAAGTTTGGAAGAACAGGAAGAACCCCAGACAATGTTACAATAATTAAGACAAGCAGATATCAAACTAATACATTATGAGTGTCAGTAAAACTTTTATTACAATGCCAAATTTTTTTTCAATACCAATTTTTAATGTCAGTGATCTTTTTAAGTTATAAAGTTCAGAGACAACCTTCCCTCATATTTAATGACATAATTAATAACCCTGATGATCTCTTTTGGTTTATTTCTTGACGTGAATCCTGTTAATTGTTAATTTAACGATGAGGAATAACCATGATGGTGGGCTTTTGTTGCAGAAATGACTTGACCTCCACGTTAAGTATGAAGAAAATGGAGAAAAAGTGGCAACATGTGGATGATTCAGATTACGACTCTGATCTAATGTGAGTGATTTTAAAAAGGTTGATCACAAACACACAGAACTGTGATTTCCAAACCAAGGTACATACCAAACCATGACTTTGGTGAACTGCTACACCCCTACTGTCCCTATGAGAGTAAAATCATTTTATTCTTCAAACAGCAAATGAACAAAGTTGTGAACACAAATTTAGCTGTAGGGATTTAATGTCACTTTGACATATTTATGGATTTCAGTATTGTTTATATTGTGAATATCTTGAAACATCTACCCTCAAAAATTGTTCCATTTGAATAACAGCGTCTGTTAAATGACATTGAAACATTTTGGTCCAGGATCATATTTTCTACAATGGAGTTTGATTTTCATGTTTAAAGCCGGGTCAGTCATTCAACAAGAACAAAAATAGACCTTTACTAGACTGATACTCTGATAGTTTTTCAGCGTCATGGTGGTTTCATCACTTTCATCTCTTCTTCTTTTTCAACCAAGCTCATCTAAAGGCAGTCAAATCTCAGGTCCGTCTGATTTGTCCTTCAAGAGTGACAGATCAAAAGACTTCATAATCACCTTCAGGTAGGAGTTTACGGACATTTAAGTGCCATATTCATAACAACTATGTATGTATGTGTGTATCTATCTAGCTATAAAAATAGATAATTGCATATAAGTTTTTCCTATAACTGTATCTCTTCTTGCAGCCATCTGCTGATTGAGTCCACGGAGACAACGAGGAAAATTGCAGAAAGAAATGAAAAAGCTGTTATTGAGTACCTCTCAAACAACTGGTCAGTGAAGACTGTGACTTTATGTTTGAATTTTATATAGTATATATGGACTGATGCTACATCATTATGTTTGTGCATTGAGTAGATGCTGTGGTTTAATACCTTCTCAATCTCTCTTTCTCTTGTTCAACCAAATTCAGTCTCTGTGGCCAAAGGTCAGATTCATCTGATTCATCCTCTGAGAAGGATTCAGGATACGAAGAGCGTAACTCCAAAAAGAAAGGTCAATGCACCTGTCTCAAGTAAGTGTTTACAAAAACTGAAGTGTCACTGTGGCAGTGACAGTTAAATTTGTGTGGGGTACAGACACAGTAAAGGACGGGAGTCATCTTTAAAGATGGAGCCAGCCATCCTCTCTGACTGCCAAGTGTTTTCGAGGTTAAGCAAAAACACTTTCTGTCTTCAAACTCACCCAGTAAATCGATCTGATCGATTTCTGATCGATCCATCAGAAAACAATTTTGAATGTCATTGTCTCATATGAAGAATGAAATGCAGCCTTCCTCCTTAGACAAATACTGTACATATTATAAATCCAATCTGTTGTGTTCTATTGGTTTTCCTTTAATAAAAATATTATATATTTTTAGACCAAAAACATCATGATATTCTACTTCTTGTTGCAGCAATCCATTTCTCAAGTCTGCACAGGAAGAAAGGAAAAGTGCTGAAAACTACGCAGCTGATACTATGAAGTTCATTTTACAGAGGTAATGAGTGAGACATGTACACGCAATGTCCATCAAGTTGTTTTTTTATCCTGAATATAGAGATAAAAATATTTTAAATCATACAAATCTGTTTTTATTTTTATCATCATCATGGCATCCTAACATTTTGGGTTGTATATCTTTTGTGATGGGTCACACAGTTGACATGTTAAATCTTAATTGTTATTATAAGTGGCTCCAAAAATCTCATTTTAAATCAGATGCAAGATTTTCTCTGATACTCCAGGATTCAGGCTGATCAAAATGAGCTTTCTCTGGACTGATCCTGCTCTGTGGGTTTTGTCCAGCAGTCGTAGATCTAAATCTTAATGAGCTTCTCTTCTCTAAACTCATCTCTAGAAGCCAGTGCTGGACTTCTGCTGGATCTGCCTCTCAGAGCGATCACTCAAAAGATGACGCGATCAATTTTAAGAAGGCAGAAATGCGCTCTCTGCAGTAAGTGTTGATCAAACGTTTACTTTTGAAAAATGACGTTTATGTGAGTTCAGGACTCACAAACACACAGAGACAGTTTGAGTTAAAGATGAACTCTTAATTAAAAGAGTTTGATGTGATTCTGAGTTGTTTTTCTAAACTAAACAGCAAGGACCTGCACTCATCTTTCGTTGTCTGTCCCTCTCTGCTCTTTGTAGATGCTCAATTCTGATTGGCTGGAGCATTTCCATTAACTAAATATATTGAACCTCTCAAGTCGTTGCAGTTAAAGATCAGTTTTTAAATCAGTGTGAAACAGCCTAGGATGAGTGACCATAATAACAGCCCCAAACTCTGCCAGAGGAAATAAAGTTATTCTACACTCTGTTGGGTTTGCTGTTAATGTTGAATTTAGTTCTGATTAAGTGAATTTCTTGTTGTAGGGATGAAAACATGGACAAACAGAAAATGGAGCAAACAGAGAAATGGTGTGAAGCAGCTGGTAACACCCAGATCCAAGCCCAGCCGTGAGTGAAATGACATTTATTTATTATTTTTCTGGAATAGATTTGATGAAGTTTTAAACTTTATTTCAGATTTATTAGCACTCTGACAGTCAGGGAGGTTGTAGTTTACTTTAAAGTGTTTAAAGGTTATAATACTAAATTTATTGTAAAGTGTGTGAAAAAAGGTCCTTTTATGAGGGACTGAAACATGTAGACATGAGCGCCACACAAAACTGAAACCTGGAAGAGAGGGGTAGGCTCACAGATTTTTGTGTATCTGTCATAGAGTTATCCTCTGGAGTTGATCCACTGCAGTCTCATTGAGTTCTTGATGAGGACTTAAAGAGTTTCCTATGATGTTTAACAGCTTAAAGTACTGCAGTATCAGAGTGTGTGGCATTGAGTCGTAGGCTTTCTTGTAGTCAGTCCTGGCAGTGCACAGATTTAAACTTGTATCCAAACCAAATATTTAGTTTGTTCAGATAAATATCCCCGATGATGAAGGGTGTAATTTGTTTGTGAGTCAGCTTATACTCAAAGAACAACAAAACTTTTGTTGGCTTTTTATATTTCAAGTTTGTGTTTTCTGTAGGTGCTGAAGTTGGATGTCTAACAATCTGATCTTTCTCTCTTTCTACCCAAATCAGTTATTCAGCTCCTGTAGCTTCTGTCAGTCCATATATGCCGACGTTTGCCAATAATTTTGGACCAAGCTCCTCATCCAGGTAAGCCATTATCAACATTTAGTAATTGTCTGTCTATAGACCTGAACACACAGCTTTGGTTAAATAGATGACCATGCGTACGCACAGATGTGTGTGTAAAGAGTGCGTACGAACATTCCTGCGCAAAGTCTGGAATTTATCAACCTGTACTTGTGCTTAGGAATGTGCGTAAATTTAAGCACAACTCTGACCATGCGTACACACAAAACCTAGTGGTAGGACAGTAAAACTACAAATGGAACCCATTAAAGGAGTCACAGCGTTCTGCAATCTCAAACTTCACACATGTTCCCGTTGTCTCTATACAAAATTTATCAATTAGTAAATTAGCGAGAAACAAAACGCACCAAAGCCATCCCAGCGCACATCCAGCTCCTGTCCACCCTAACCCGACACCCTATACGGCATTTATCAACGCTAAGCAGAATCATGCCGAAAGAGTTGAAAGCAATAATTTTCCGACCTCAATTTACATCCAGTTCCCAAACACACATCAGCAACAAGCCGAAATAAAACGAGGATTTCACGCCATCGCCGGATTCCCAAACATAATTGGAGCCATAGATTTCACCCACAGCGCAATAAAAGCACCTTCACACAATAAATTCAGATTCGTCAACAGGAAATTTAATCAATGCACAAATAATATGAGATGCACATTTGTTTCTGTTAAACGTTGTTGCCCGGTGGCCTGGAGTTTATATTGTTTATATTGTTAAAATATCCTGAAACATCTACCCTCAAAAATTGTTCCTATTGGATAACAGTGTCTGTTAAATGACATAGAAACATTTTGGCCCAGGATCATATTTTCTACAATGGAGTTTGATTTTCATGTTTAAAAATGAAAACATGTTATTCAACGAAAACAAAAGACTGATATTCTGGTAGTTTTTCAGCTTTGTGGTGGTTTCATCACTTTCATCTCTTCCTTTTTTTCTACCAAGCTCATCTAAAGGCAGTCAAATCTCAGGTCCGTCTGGTTTGTCCTTCAAGAGTGACGAGTCAAAAGACTTCTTTATCACCTTCAGGTAGGAGTTTACCGACATTGAAATGCCACATTCATAATGACCATGTATGTATGTGTGCATCTATCTATCTATACAAATAGATAATTGTATTTATATTTTGTCTGAAACTTTATCTTTTGTTGCAGCCAGCTACTGATTGAGGCCACGGAGACAGCGAAGAAAAGTGCAGAAAGAAATGAAGAAGCTGTTATTGAGTACCTCTCAAACAACTGGTCAGTGAAGACTGTGACTTGAAGTTTGAATTTTGTGAAGTGTGTGTATATATACACTACAGGCCAAAAGTTTGGAAACAAGGCCATTACAGGCCGAACAGTTGGGAGTAACTTCAAGTTTTTGTTCACAATGCTTTTTTTTAAATCCAACATGAGTTTTATGTATTTTGGGATGTATTTACTCCATGATCAGATGTTGCTTTTATGGAAATGCACCATTTTACTCCATTTACCTTTAGATATACAATGACGTTAACAGACCATTGCTAAATATATGTCAGCAAAAGATAATAAGGGCTTCGTTTAAGGGTTGAAAACATTTGCAAGAGTCACAACTTCAGTGCAAAAGCGAAAAAACAAATCACAGTTGGATTATTCACTTCAACTTTTTGGCTTTTGAGAGTCTGCAGACAAAAATCCTAATAAATCTCAACTGCATTCAAACTACTGCAAAAATGGCTAGAAAGAAGCAACTGAGTAAAGAAACAAAAGAACAGATTTGTACATTAAGGAAAGAAGGATACAAAGAAAGAGAAATTGCAAAACGCCTAAAGGTGTTTAACAAAGGAGTCCACTACACTCTGAAGAGACGAGAGGAACCTGGAAGTTATGATGATAGAAAAAGACCTCGACAAAAGAGAGTTACTACAAAAGCAGAGGATAAACATAGCATTGTCACCAGTAAGAGAGATCGGTGAAAGACAGTGCCACAAATAAGGGAGGAAATCAACATGACAAGGTCGAAACCCATATCTCTGACAACTGTGGAAAGACGTTTGAGAAAGGCTGGTCTGAAGGGTTGTGTATCTGCAAAAAAAAAAACACTACTTAGTCCACAGAACAAGAAAAAGAGATATGAGTGGGCAAAAGCTCACAAAAATTGGACTTATGATGACTAGAAACAAGTTTGCACTGTTTGGTTCAAAACACAGAGTCAATGTCCGCAGACAAACTGGTGAACGTCTGAAAGCACCATGTGTTACACTCACGATTCAGCATGGAGGTGGTAGTTCCATGGTATGGGGATGTTTTGCAGGTGATAGAGTAGAAAATTTGTTTGAAGTAAAGGGTATCATGAAGAAGGAACAGTACCACTCCATCCTCCAGCACCATGCTGCTCCATCTAGGCTCAGACTTGTGGGTCATAAGTTTGTTTTGCTGCAAGACAATGACCCTAAGCACTCTGCCAAGCTCTGTCAGGGTTACCGAGACAAAAAAGAAGAGGAAGGTGTTCTTAAAAAAGACCTTTCTTAGACCTTTCTCCAATTGAGCTTGTTTGGGATGAATTGGATCGATCGGTCAGAAAAATGCGTCCCATGAATCAGCAGTCTCTTTTTGATGAACTTAAGAAAGCTTGGAATGCAGTCCCTGGAACATACCTTAAAAAACTTGTGGAACGAATGCCTGGTATATGTCAAGCTGTTGTTAAAGCCAGAGGAGGTTACTTTAAAGAAAGCAAAGTCTAAGCAACAATAACTCAAATACCTAATAATTATAGTCAAAATGTCTTCTGATAAGTTACTCTTTACACAATAGTCATGTTTATTGTGTTGCAAAGTATATTAATGAAACTATGATTTTTTTTTTTGTACAAATCTGATCTTGCCTCCAAACTTTTGGCCTGTAGTGTGCGTGCGTGTGTGTGTGTGTGTGTGTGTGTGTGTGTGTGTGTGTGTGTGTGTGTGTGCGTGTGTGTGTGTGCGTGTGTGTGTGTGTGTGTGTTGTATATATATATATATAGATAGAGAGAGAGAGAGATGGATATACAGTGGATATAAAAGTCTACACACCCCTGTTCAACTGCCAGGTTTTTGTCATAAAAATTAAATCAAGATAAATATTTTCACAACTTCTTCCACCTTTAATGTGACCTATAGCCTGTACAATTCAAAATATGAAATAAAAAAACCAAAATAACCTGGTTGCATAAATATGCACACCCTTACACTAATACTTTGTTGCAGCACCTTTGGCTTTTATTACAGCACTCAGTCTTTTTGGGTAGGAGTCTAGTCTGTGCACACTTATGGAACCACATGATCTCAGTTTTTTATTTTTACTTCACCTCCTTGAAAGATTTCTGTTTGTTTTTCAGTTGTGTTGTACAGGTTACAGGTCACATTAAATGTGGAAGAAGTTGTGAAATTATTTATCTTGATTTTATTTTTATATGACAAAAATCTGGCAGTTGAACAGGGGTGTGTAGACTTTTATATCCACTGTATATGGAATGATGCTACACCTTTATGTTTGTGTGTAGAGTAGATGCTGTGGTTTAATATCTACTAAATCTCTCTTTCTCTTGTTTTACCAAATTCAGTCTCTGTGGCCAAGGGTCAGATTCATCTGATTCATCCTCTGAGAAGGATTCAGGATACGAAGAGCATAACTCCAAAAAGAAAGGACAATGCACCTGTCTCAAGTAAGTGTTTACAAAAACTGAATCTGTTGTGTTCTGTTGGTTTTCCTTTAATAAAAATATTATACATTTTTAGACCAAAAACATCATGACATTCTACTTCTTGTTACAGCAACCCACTACTCAAGTCTGCACAGGAAGAAAGGAAAAGAGCTGAAAACTACGCAGTTGATACTATGAAGCTCATTTTACAGAGGTAATGAGTGAGACATGTACACGTGATGTCCATCAAGTTGTTTTTTATCCTGAATATAGAGATAAAAATATTTTAAATCATACAAATCTGTTTTTATTTTCATCATCATCATGGCAGCCTAACATTTTGGGTTGTATATCTATTATGATGGGTCACACAGTTGACATGTTAAATCTTAATTGTTAGTCCAAGTGGCTCAAAAAATCTCATTATGAATCAGATGCAAGATTTTCTGTGATACTCCAGGATTCATACTGATCAAAATGAGATTTCTCTGGACTGATCCTGCTCTGTGGGTTTTGTCCAGTGGTCGTGGACCTAAATCTTAATGAGCTTCTCTTCTCTAAACTCATCTCTAGAAGCCAGTGCTGGACTTCTGCTGGATCTGCCTCTAAGAGTGATCGCTCAAAAGATGACGCGATCAATTTTAAGAAGGCACAAATGCGCTCTCTGCAGTAAGTGTTGATCAAAAGTTTACTCTTGAAAAATGACGTTTATGTGAGTTCAGGACTCACAAACACACAGAGACAGTTTGAGTTAAAGATGAACTCTTAATTAAAAGAGTTTGATGTGATCCTGAGTTGTTTTTCTAAACTAAACAGCAAGGACCTGCACTCATCTTTCGTTGTCTGTCCCTCTCTGCTCTTTGTAGATGCTCAATTCTGATTGGCTGGAGCATTTCCATTAACTAAATATATTGAACCTCTCAAGTCGTTGCAATTAAAGATCAGTTTTCAAATCAGTGTGAAACAGCCTAGGATGAGTGACCATAATAACAGCCCCAAATTCTGCCAGAAGAAAGAAAGTTATTCTACACTCTGTTGGGTTTGCTGTTAATGTTGAATTTAGTTTTAATGAAGTGAATTTCTTGTTGTAGGGATGAAAACATGGACAAACAGAAAATGGAGCGAATAGCGAAATGGTGTAAAGCAGCTGGTAACACTCAGATCCAACAAAAGCCGTGAGTGAAATGACATTTATTTATTATTTTTCTGGAATGGATTTGATGAAGTTTTAAACTTTTTTTCAGTTTTATTGTCACTCTGACACTCAGGGAGATTGTAGTTTACTTTAAAGTGTTTAAAGTTAATAATACTAAATTTATTGTGAAGTGTGTGAAAAAAGGTCCTTTTATGAGGGACTGAAACATGTAGACATGAGCGCCACACAAAACTGAAACCTGGAAGAGAGGGGTAGGCTCACAGATTTTTGTGTATCTGTCATAGAGTTATCCTCTGGAGTTGATCCACTGCAGTCTCATTGAGTTCATGATGAGGACTTAAAGAGTTTCCTATGATGTTTAACAGCTCAGAGTACTGCAGTATCAGTGTGTGTGACATTGAGTCGTAGGCTTTCTTGTAGTCAGTCCAGGCAGTGCACAGAATTAAACTTGTATCTAAACCAAATATTTAGTTTGTTCAGATAAATATCCCCTATGATGAAGGGTGTAATTTGTTTGGGAGTCAGCTAATACTCAAAGAAGAACAAAACTTTTGTTGACCTTTTATATTTCAAGTTTGTGTGTTTTCTGTAGGTGCTGAAGTTGGATGTCTAACAATCTGATCTTTCTCTCTTTCTACCCAAATCAGTAATCCAGCTCCTTTAGCTCCTCGAGGAAGATCTATGCCAACGGTTGCCAATAATTTCGGACCAAGCTCCTCATCTAGGTAAGCCATTATCAACATTTAGATATCACTGCAGTAATTGTCTGTCTGTAGACTTTACACACATGAGTCAGTTTATAATCATGGAAAAAAACTTTAACATGTCAAGTTTGTGTGTTTTCTGTAGGTGTTGAAGTTGGATGTCTAACAATCTGATCTTTCTCTCTTTTCTACCCAAATCAGTTATTCACCTCCTGTAGCTTCTGTCAGTCCATATATGCCGACGGTTGCCAATAATTTCGAACCAAGCTCCTCATTCAGGTAAGCCATTATCAACATTTAGGTATCACTGCAGTAATTGTCTGTCTGTAGACTTGAACACACAGCTTTGGTTAAATAGACGACCATGTGATCATGAATAAAACTCATGTTAAGGAAATGTCATGCTGCTCCAGAGAGTCCAGGGGCCTCATTTATCAACCATGCGTACACACAGATGTGTGTGTAAAGAGTGCGTACGAACATTCCTGCGCAAAGTCTGGAATTTATCAACCTGTACTTGTGCTTAGGAACGTGCGTAAATTTAAGCACAACTCTGACCATGCGTACACACAAAACCTAGTGGCCATCCCAGCGCACATCCAGCTCCTGTCCACCCTAACCCGACACCCTATACGGCATTTATCAACGCTAAGCAGAATCATGCCGAAAGAGTTGAAAGCAATAATTTCTCCAACCTCAATTTACATCCAGTTCCCAAACACACATCAGCAACAAGCCGAAATAAAACGAGGATTTCACGCCATCGCCGGATTCCCAAACATAATTGGAGCCATAGATTTCACCCACAGCGCAATAAAAGCACCTTCATACAATAAATTCAGATTCGTCAACAGGAAATTCAATCAATGCACAAATAATCTGCGATGCACATTTGATTCTGTTAAATGTTGTTGCCCGGTGGCCTGGAGGAACGCACGACTCATTCATTCTGCAGAACAGCGCTGTGAGTGTGCACCTCCAGGAGGAGGAAAAACATTCATTCACGCATTTTTAAAGGGATTGTTGATGCCATATATGGTCAATTGGAGGTGTTCCTGAATGCAAATAACCCTAACCATGCACAAGCACGGTAGTAAAGAACAGGTGGGATTTATCATCACCGATTACTTATGTGTGTGCGTACGACCGGTGTCCGCACGTTTGATAAATGCAGATTTTTTTGTACTTACGCACATTCTAAATTTCATTCCTACGCCAGAATTTAGAACCTCTTCCACGCACGTTTAATAAATACGGCCCCAGATCTCTAGTTTTTTGTGAACCTCTGGTCCACCACCTCTTCCTCATATTCAGCCTCTGTTAAAGTTTAGTTTCATCTTTAGTGTTCAGTGTTCAGAGCTTTGAACCCTGTTACACTGATCTGTTCTCTTACAAATCCAGTGTAATTCAAGCACAAAGCCTTGTCTCCTGGTGTGTTTGAATAACTTTAAAGTGTTGGACACTTGGCAGATTTTAGATCCAGTGTTTCATTTGAAATTGTCTTTGTTTCTTCTTTGTTCCTCTTCCAGAAAGTTTTGTTGTTGTTATTGTTTTTAAATACTGTGAATACATGGATCACAAAAACCACAGGAGCAGGTTTTGGTAATTCCTTGGATCAGCTGCCTCTCTGTATCACTTGCCTTAAAACAAGGGTGGGTCTGTGCTGTCAGCCATTAAAGTGATCCTGAGTTTTTTTTCTAAACTAAACAGCAAGGACCTGCACTCATCTTTTGTCGTCTGTCCCTCTCTGCTCTTTGTAGATGCTCAATTCTGATTGGCTGAAGCATTTCCATTAACTAAATATATTAAACTTCTCAAGTTGTTGCAGTTAAAGTTCAGTTTTCAAATCAGTGTGAAACAGCCTAGGATGAGTGACCATAATAACAGCCCCAAATTCTGCCAGAAAGTTATTCTACACTCTGTTGGGTTTGCTGTTAATGTTGAATTTAGTTCTGATTAAATGAATTTCTTGTTGTAGGGATGAAAACATGGACACATGGAAAATGGAGCAAACAGAGGAATGGTGTGATGCAGCTGGTAACACTGAGATCCAACCCCAGCCGTGAGTGAAATGACATTTATTCAATTAATGACTTTTCTGGAATGGATTTGATGAAGTTTTAAACTTTATTTCAGTTTTATTGTCACTCTGACAGTCAGGGAGGTTATATTTAAATATTAAACTTATTGTAAAGTGTGTGAAAAAAGGTCCTTTTATGAGGGACTGAAACATGTAGACATGAGCGCCACACAAAACTGAAACCTGGAAGAGAGGGGTAGGCTCACAGATTTTTGTGTATCTGTCATAGAGTTATCCTCTGGAGTTGATCCACTGCAGTCTCATTGAGTTCTTGATGAGGACTTAAAGAGTTTCCTATGATGTTTAACAGCTCAAAGTACTGCAGTATCAGTGTGTGTGGCATTGAGTCGTAGGTTTTCTTGTAGTCAGTCTAGGCAGTTCACAGATTTAAACTTGTATCTAAACCAAATATTTAGTTTGTTCAGAAAAATATCCCCGATGATGAAGGGTGTAATTTGTTTGTGAGTCAGCTAATACTCAAAGAACAACAAAACTTTTATCGTCCTTTTATATTTCAAGTTTGTGTTTTCTGTAGGTGCTGAAGTTGGATGTCTAACAATCTGATCTTTCTCTCTTTCTACCCAAATTAGTAATTCTGCTACTGCAGCTCCTCAAATACCGTGTGTCCCACTTGTTGCCAATAATTTCGGACCAAACCCCTCATCCATGTAAGTCATTATCAACATTCAGATATCATGGCAGTAGTAGTTCGTCAGGAAACTTAAGACACATTAGTCAGCTTATTCTCAAAGAGCAAAACTTTTATCGGCCTTTTATAATTCAAGTTTGTGTTTTCTGTAGGTGCTGAATGTATATCTAACAATCTGATCTTTCTCTCTTTTCTACTCAAATCAGTTATTCAGCTCCCGGACCTCCTCATAGACTATATATGCCACCGTTTGCCAAAAATTCAGGACTGAGCTCAGCATACTTGTAAGCCCTTATCAACATTAATTTATTGTGGCAGAAATAGTTTGTTGGCAGACTTCAAACACATTGTGTTACCTCTTTCCCAATGCAGCTAGGATGAAGAGGAAGAGAAAGCGAGTCAGACGACTGCCCCCCCCCCCCCCAACACACACTGTCCACTGCCGCCTGCCCATCACCCTATACCACCCCTCCACCAGGAGCAGCCTGTCCAGTTGTTGTGAACAACATGCAGCGCCGACTTCTTTCTTCACAAAGCCTGTTACCATGAAATACTCTCACTTTGAAATATAACTTCACATTTATATCATAATCATTCAAATCAAACACTATTGTCTCTGTAAACTCAGCTTTTTGTTTCAGAGCATATGCTATTGTGAAACAGATTCATATGAATGATCACTGCTTTTTATACGATCCTGCAAGTTTACAATTCTGCATTTAAGATGAATAATTCCTTATATCTGATCCAGATAAACATATATAAATCAACAGTTATTCATCAGGTATGTATACGTAGACAGAATTATCTGTATCTGTTTAATTTTTCTAGCAGGGTTAATGGTTTCAGCTCACATTATTTTTTGTGTCTGTAGATCACAGATATATCTAAATTCATTTAGACTCAGGTGCTCTTTATTGAATAAAAAGAATCAATGAGAATAAAAAAATCAGGGCAGACAGCGTTAATATTTCTACAATAATGAAGTCAGCTAAGCAGTAAAACTAACAGGAGTTTCACATGTTCTTCTCTCCTTTTACTTTCACTTTAAATGGGATATTTTACCTTTAAATACCATTTTAATAACTTCAGAGACACCGAGAGAAATCAATTTAATCAGACAAACCAAAATTTGCCCACAAACCTGCAACTTTTTGCTCCACAGTTGCAGGATTGGCAACTGTTGTCATAAAAAGTAAGTAGCACCAATAAGTCAAATCAGACCGAGTAGAAAAAGATATTTTTGTCCGCTTTTTTGATTTTTCATTCATTCATGTAGATTGTAGATATGTCTGTGTAGATACATTCAAGTAGAGTGTATCTGTAGAGCTGCAGTTTTAAGATGAACCATTTTACGTTACAAATCTTTAGTGTTTTTTTCATGCAAGAATAGTGGTCATCCTTTTATTTAAGGTTTTTCTATGCCTTTTTTATTCGACAACTTCGCATAATTTTGAGCTCTGTTTTGTGTTTCCATCAGGACACTCTCAGGTGCTTCATGTGTATGTAAAGTGAAATCAAAAACTTGTTAATAACTTGCTTTATGTAAATAAAAATAAAGAAATTGAATTCATAGCCCTCTGATGTGTTGCAACCATAGACTGTATATACTATGGACAACTTGGTGCTGCCTTCCCTCCAGTATATGGATTTGAAGCCGAAAAGCTCTCAGTAATTCCGCAATTTTTCTCCCTTTCCTGAAACCAACATTACACAGTCAGATATGAAAGTTTTGTCTTTTCATTTGCAGAGTGGTAGGGCTTGAACAGAGGATGGAGGGGTTTGAATTTGGGATTGAGAATAGAGTTAAAGAGCTTGAATTTCAGATGGAGTGGATGATGGGACAGATTAAACTGGGGTATGGAGAGAGGACAAAGATGCCTGAGACTAGGCTGGAGGAAAGGATAAAGGGGTTTGAACCAGGGAATAAGGAGAGGATAAGGGAGCCTGTACCAAGGATGGAGGGGGGGAAAGGACAGGGTTTGAACCAGGGTTTGTTACTGCTGCACCTAGACCAACGACTCACGAGCTACAGCCGAGAGAGAGGGAGTGGTTAACCACTTCAGGATCTCACCACCACCGGAGGAGGAAGGTAAGCGGAGGGCCGATGTTCTGCCGTAGAATGCACCCCTGACGGGAGCGCGGTTGAAAGTACACAACAAGGTGGGATGCATTTTACGGCACAACACCTGGTTTGAGCTGCGAACAGTTTCACTTTCCACGATTCTCCCGTGTGGCGCAGTATTTTTCCACCGACCTGCAGGTACTGGAACCTCGTGTTTTCTTGACTTGAACTAATTTAATCTCCTAATTTTTAGTCGTCGTTTTGTGTTTTTGTTTATGTTAAAAGTCAATAAAGTTGGGACAGTTGTTGTACGTGCCGGTTTCCTGTTGTCCTGTCATGGAAAACTGAATTGACTGACAGAAACAAACGACCGAAACTTCGAGAAGACATTTTTTCCCATCATTTTCACTGTTAGGATTTCGTGATGCTTCATTTGTTAATATATTTGTTAATTTACCGAATATGATTAAAAAAATACTTTTGTCTTATGTCTTTTAATGTCCAAAGATAACAACAGTGTTGGTTTTGGGCCTTGCTGCTACGTGCAATTGCGATTGTCCGTGTAGAAACATTGTTTTAAACTGTTGGGCTATTTACCCATGTGGTGAACCCCCTGAGCTTTTCAGGCATGCTCATTACCCTCACCTGTTCACCTGTGGACTGCTCCAAAAACACCTGTTTGGAGCAGTCCACAGGTAAACAGGTGTTTTTGGAGCAGTCCTCTATGTTCCCTGTTTTTTATTGCCTCTTTCTCAGCTTGTTTGGAGTGTGTTGCAGCTTTAAGTTTAAAATAAGTGAGTATCTGCAAAAAAAAAAAAAAAAAAAAATCAAGTTTATCAGTTTGAACATTTAATATCCTGTCTTTGTAGAGTATTTAACAGTTATATCCGTGAGACAGAGATTATACTGATGATAAAAATAGATAAGAAGGGTAAATACAAGTACGCCACATCGTGACCAGAGAAATGGCGTTCTTTGACTGTGGTCTGTTACAGTTTTCCTGTTTACACCCAAGTAAAATGTCAACCCTCCATCACATGTTGTTTTAAACCCAGAGCTCAAACAGAGACAGACTTGCCAGCTTCCAGTATGTCAGAGGACAGTGACTGGTCAACCAACAGCCCTGGACTAGATGCTTTTTCAGAGTAAGTCTTTATAATCCAAACATTTCAATCAAAGTACTGCAATAATCTTCCTGATTCATTATAATGTTATTTATTTTAGTTTTAATGTCCATGTTGGGCAAAATGTTGAAGTTTTTAATAGATTACAATGTTTTCCTATCTTGATCTGTTAATTATATACAGTGAGACTTTTAGGGGAAGGTTAAAGGTACCACCTGACTACCAACTATAGACACAAATACATTTACATGTGTCAGACTGTTTTTATGGGGTCTGAAACAATCAAAGTCAAGTAATCAATGTCGTCTTATGAATGAGAAGAAAACTTGGTCATAGGTGTGAGTGTGCATGATTTGTGTTGTGTATAGTCTAATCAGGTTGCTTTCATACTGATGTAGTGGTTTTGTAACTGTGCTGATCATTCGCCGCAGGGAGGACCCGACCTCCTCCTCAGATAAGGAGGATGCTGTAGCAGCCACGGGTCATCCTGACTACTTTTCCTGGCTTTGTGTGTCTCTTAGTCTCCTCACATTCTTTCATTTACATCTTCACCCATCACGATAAACCTGACCTGCCGTCATCAAAACACCATTCTCACCGTCTTTCCCTTCAAATAACCTGCTTTAGTGTTCATGTAAACAGTTTCTCTTCTCTGTTGGTCTCCCTCTCCTCTTGACCAGATCAATTGAAAGCCGAACAACCATCCAGTCCATCGAAAGTGACAGGTCAAAAGACGATACCATTGATTTCAAAGACAGTCAGCTAAATCTGTGGTAAGTTGCTCTTAAATTTATCCATTTTTACCTGGTTTAACTGACTGTAGTGGGAGTGGATGGGCTAAACCTGTGCTTTGTGATATCAAATTATATGGTTGTTAAAATTATGTGGTTATTGGACATGGAAAAATGTTAAAACTCTTCTTGTATGTTGGTTTTTATCTTTCTTCCAGAGTCACTCCTCCAAGTTCAGCTCCTATGGCCCCCTTGTCTCCTAAAGAGAAGTAAGCTTCCTAAAGTTAACGCTGCTTTGTTAAAGGAGCGTCCTGTAGAGTCAAATATGACATCCTTAATTATACACAGTACATAACTTTATCTTGTACTTCAAATCAAATCACTTCCTTTATTGTTGTGGTAATCCCTGCAGTAATCATTTCTCATTGCAGGTTTCAGAATTTCTTCAGAAATCTTGGCTTCAAAAGGAATCGATGAAACATCTAATTTTCCACCTCAGTGTTTTCATAAACAACGGGATGGTTCGAATTATTATAGCCACTCGAGTCCACTGATACGGTGTTAATATAGTTTCTAATGTGCATCACAGTCCTGTAAAAACAAGGTTAAAAAGATCATAACATCTGAACACAGCATTATGTTTCCATGACGTATAATACTGCACCACTGAGCATCAACCTCCATTTTTGAAAAAGCTGCAGTTCCTTGCGTCCCCACTAGAGGCTGTTTCAGAAAGAAAACAAAGACCTGATACAGCACATAATAAAACGCCCAATCTTCACAGCAGGGATTAACACATAGCTGTCAAGTTTCCAGTTTTGGCCGAGAAACTACCGTATTTTTCCCCTCTTCCCGACGTCTTCCCGTATTAGCATTCTCCTGGAAATCGCCCGTATTATTAAATATGTATATAAAACATTCTGCCTCTCCAAACTGAACTCTGTGACTAGCGCTTGTTACGTACCCACCAACTCGTAGTAGTGAGTAGTCATCTGTGAATCACACAGACAATAAACTAACCCGATAATTTCCCTTATTTACAGAACAAAAACTTGACAGGTATGGATTAACATGTTTACAGCAATTTCAATGTAAATCAATTATTTTTATATTATCAACTTATAGAGAGAGGTGAATTTTTGTGTACTGTAAATCCCCTAAAATAAGATAAGATATTCTTTTATTAGTCCCACAGAGGGAAATTCCAAATATATGGGCCGGGTCCTGTGTTTGCCTCTGCTCTCCAGGATACCAGGCCTTTAAACGAAGCAGGTTTGTATTATAGGCGGGCCTTTCTTTTATCTTCTCTGAGTCTGAGAACTGTAATTGTTCATATTAAAGTACAAAGTCGGAGCCTTGTTAACAAAAGACTTCACTCTCCTGCTGTATCGATGACAAGAAACTAAGACCATAAAAAAACAGACAAAGCTTAAATGAGGTCAGGTTTTTTCTCTCTTGTGTTTCCAGTTAGTCATTTTTTGTAAAAAGGAGTCTCCCCCTGCTGGCCATGGAAAAGAAGGACAGGTTATAGACGTCTCGCTTTTGAATCTTAAAAGGGAACATCCACTGCTGATCCAGATCAAGTTGCTGTTTTCATAAATTTCCAACTTAAACAGCTAAAAAAATATGTACATTGTTTATTTTGATGAAATTGCACTCGTGTTTACTTTTCTTTTGTTTACTTTGGTGAGAGTAAGTTCTGAAGTTTCTGAAATATATTTACATTTTCATTGTGTGAAGAGAACAAAAGATTTAAAAAAGAAAAATCTAACTAGAATGCTACTGTGCTACTGACAGCTACACTACAGTATGATATTACTCACCTTTTTAATGTCTTACTGCTGTAATCTGAATTTAATATGATTTAGTTTCATTTTATTCATTTTTTATTTGTCAAAGTTACAGAAAAGAAAATGTAACTTATTTGTGGTGTTGTTTAATTCTTTCGTAAAGAGTGTATCTTTGTTCGCAGACATAGTTGTTTATAGTATATTTTTCTGGTTCTGTTATAAAAGCATCTTAATGAACTATGCGACTGTCTTAATCTCATTGATATCCCTGGGTCATTTCATTTTATTCAAGTCTATTAGGTGCTGGGTTTACAGCAGCTGTTTTTGTCGCCATATCAAGTTCATCATCTGGTTTCATTTTGATATACTCATTTTTTACAGCTGGCTGTAAATGTCATATCTTCTCGCTTCAACCAAACCCCGTAAAGACCAAAGTCCTCTCAGTTATTAAAGATTGTGAGAGACTTCACTTTTCACTTTTCCTCAGCAGAGACACCGTGTTTCTCGCAGACAGGTAATACAGCTTTGCATTTGTAAGACTTAATCATAACAAAATCTTTTGTACAGGATCTGTGTATCAGCGCTGAGTTTTTTTGGTCTTCTTATACACCTGAAATGATCATATTATGACTTCTCTGTAAGTTTGGGTTTGGGTTTACCAGCTGAATAGTTTTGTTTGTCTTTCTCTTGTGATGCAGTTTTTTCCTACCATCTTTAACTATTTTTAACAGGAGTTAGTATATCCAAAAACTGTTTATAGTTAAATCTTGAAATCAAACACTGGAGATGACATTGATCAAAAAAACAATAACATTAAATAAAAACACAAGGGTAAACAATGACTGGAATTTACAAAAGACACTGAAAGGCTTTTTCTATTTTCAGGTTTAGACGGATAGTTGAACAGATTTCATCAAGTCTAACATGTAAGAGTGTTGGGAAGTTTCATGCTAGCCCTAATGTGAGATGTGGATTGTTTTATGGAGTGGCTCTTATCTTTATTGCTTTATAACAAAAAAACAGTGAGAAGAGTTTGTATCAAAGTACAAGATCAATTTTTATAATCGCAGACCAATCACAGATTAAAGATTTTCACTCAGGTTAGAAAGCGGTAAAAAGTCAGAATTTCTCACTTAACTTTCATCCCTCTGGTACACCTGTCCATCAACGTGATAGGTTATCTCCCTAAAAAAAACATCTTAATATTTATTCTGTTTTTATGTTATGTGCTTAAATCTTATCGACTTTTTGGAAGAACAAATAAATCTCCTCTCATCTTATAGTGAAAATGGAGATAAGTTGTCCTAATTTAGTTCTTATAAAAACTGTCCGACCAAATGTTCAGGATGTTTTATGGTACTTTTGTACTCTTGTTTCCTGTTGTGTTCGCCTCTGTCTGCTGTGTTGGTGCCGACTGTTAGCGGTAAAATACTGTTACTGTGGCCCAGAGCATTCACCAGCAACGTGAGATCACTGAGTTTAACAGGTGATAGTGTTTCTGCTTTCAAAAAGGTGTTGTACAGTATTACAACACTGTCAGATCAGTCTGATCTTGATTTCAGTGTTCATGTTATTGAATACTGAGGAAAACGAGTAGTAAGATCTCTATGTGTTTGTTTTGCAGCTACGTGGAGAAGCAGAGACCAGAGCCCCCACTGTAAGCATGCCCAGGTAAATCATTAAATGTTATCCTGATGAACGATTATTGATACAAGCCAATATTGCAAAAAAACACAAATAAGTGAATATCAAGTGGGAGAGAGAGAAGTTTCTTTGAGGACAGGATGAACCTTTAGAACCTTCTGATGCCTTCTTCACAGTTTCCACCTATCAGGAAGTTGCTGTTGCCTGAATAAAATAATTTAATTTTCATTTATATTTTTGTTTAAATACAAGTTAAAATACATTATTGCAGGGTGGTTACTTTTTCACCAAACCCCCTTCCTCATTTAAACACCATCTGAATGGGGCCAGTCAGATGTATTAGGGTGATACATATGATGTGAGGCATTGATTCTTACCCACCTCCTAAAAAGAAACAGCGTCAATTCACTTTTAAATCTTGCTTTGTAGTTGACAATTTTTTAAAATGACACATTTCTCTCATTTTCCTCATTCTTCAAACTGTTACCATTGCACAGGCTGAATATCAATGCAAACAAAACGTGATAAATAGCAAACATCAAAATCACAACCTCAGTCAAAAGTAGTTTTTAATGTTTCAGTAGTTTTGCAGATGTTTAGAAGTTTTCAGTGTTTGAGGAAATTATAAGCTGATTTACAGGTTTTTTTTTTTCTTCTCTGCAGCAAAGAAAAAGTTAAATTGATATCAGACTGTGACTCTGTTATTGAACATGATGTAAAATTATAAATTACAATAATGTTTTTCCAGCATCATTGTTATGTTATGTTATGTTATGTTGTTTTGAAAGGTCACTTAGTTGAATTTATAATCCTCAATTATTGTTTCCGTCTGTTCGGTAAAATATCCTCTATAATAAAGGGTTTCATTTGTTTGTAAGCCAGCTAATCCAAAGAAAGAGAAAACTTTTACCAGCCTTTCATATTTACAGTTTGTTTGTTTTCTGCAGGTGCTGAAGTTATTCATTTATCAGTTACTGTTTTTCATGTCAACTTTGCTCTTTTGTTTGATTGTGGTGACGTGACAGGAATCTGAAGAGGTCTGTGGAGAACTCTCAACAAACAGAGGACCATGGGAATGTGCCCGGCATTGGAGATGGAGTCTCTAAGAAACAGGATCACATCATCAAAGAAACTGGATATAAAACAAAACCCAAAAAGGTGATATTGATTTTAGAGGCCTAAGGTGGGTAAATTATGCTATTCTGAAACATAGTTTCATGGAATCATGGAGCTTCACTTAACCTGAACAGCAAAGCTAAAACAAGCTGAAGACGTGTGTCTGCATTTATATTAGTATGAAACAGGAAACAGGTTATAGTGTTTCTGCTTTCAAAAAGGTTTAACATTTGTGTGCTCTGGATGTTTTGTACAGTATAACAACACTGTCAGATCAGTCTCTGATCTGCTACTCTTAAGGTTGATTTCAGCGTTCATGTGATTGAAAACTGAGGGAAACGAGTAGTAAGACCTCTATGTGTTTGTTTTGCAGCTACGTGGAGAAGCAGAGACCAGAGCCCCCACTGCAAGCATGTCCAGACCTAATACATCACAGAAAAGCCGATTAGAGTAAGTCAGTAAATATTAACCTGATTAACTATTAGGGTCATTGTCTTGCTGCAAAACAAACTTATGACCCACAAGTCTGAGTCCAGATGGAGCAGCATGGTGCTGGAGGATGGAGTGATACTGTTCCTTCTTCATGATACCCTTTACTTCCAACAAATCTCGTACTCCATCACCTGCTAAACATCCCCATACCATGGAACTACCACCTCCATGCTGAATTGTGGGTGTAACACATGGAGCTTTCAGACATTCACCAGTTTGTCAGCGGACATAGACTCTGCGTTTTGAACCAAACAGTTCAAACTTGCTTTCATCGGTCCAGAGAACTTGTTTCTAGTCATCATAAGTCCAATTTTTGTGAGCTTTTGCCCACTCATATCTCTTTTTCTGTGGATGAAGTAGTGTTTTTTTGCAGATATACAACCCTTCAGACCAGCCTTTCTCAAACGTCATTTCACGGTTGTTAGAGATATGGGTTTCTACCTTGTCATGTTGATTTCCTCACTTATTTTTGTGGTGCTGTCTTTTGCCGATCTCTCTTACTGCTGACAATGCTATGTTTATCCTCTGCTTTTGTAGTAACTCTCTTTCGTCCAGGTCTTTTTCTATCATCATAACTTCCAGGTTCCTCTCGTCTCTTCACAGTGTAGTGGACTCCTTTGTTAAACACCTTTAGGCATTTTGCAGTTTCTCTTTCTGTGTATCCTTCTTTCCTCAATGTACAAATCAGTACTTTTGTTTCTTTACTCAGTTGCTTCTTTCTAGCCATTGTTGCGGTAGTTTGAACGCAGTTGAGATTTAGTAGGATTTTTGTATGCAGACTCTCAAAAGCCAAAAAGTTGAAGTGAATAATCCAACTGTGATTTGTTTTTTTGCTTTTGCGCTGAAGTAGTGACTCTTGCAAACGTTGTCAACCCTAAAACTAAGCCCTTAATATCTTTTGATGACATATATTTAGCAATGGTCTGTTAATGTCATTGTATATCTAAAGGTAAATGGAGTAAAATGGCGCATTTCCATAAAAGCAACATCTGATCATGGAGTAAATACATCCCAAAATACATAAAACTCATGCTGGATTTTTTAAAAAGCGTTGTGAACAAAAACTTGAAGTTACTCCCAACTGTTCGGCCTGTAATGGCCTTGTTTCCAAACTTTTGGCCTGTAGTGTATGTAGTATGGACACCAAACTTGGTAGCTTTGCAGTTTTGTTGTCAATGTGGAAAAGCACCTCCCCAACTGACTCCACTTTGTCACGGTTTGTCAAATCAGTGAATATCAAGTTAAAGATAAGTTTCTTTGAGGACAGAATGAACCTTTAGATAATCTTTTCTGATGCCTTCTTTACAGTTTCCACCTATAAACTCTCCAGGGACGAGTAAAGTTCTACTTTCGTGATTTTTTTTTGTGTTCAGCAGTTGCTGTTGTTTGATTTCTACAAATTCTTTTACTCTGTCTACTAGATGTTTGTCTGCCAAAAAGAGTTCCATGGCTGCCAGAGAGAGGTTCATACTTGCCAGAGAGTGGTCCATGTATGACAGAGAGAGGTCAATGTATGCCAGAGAGAAGTCCATGTATGCCGGAAAGAGGTTTGTGTTTGTCAGCGTTAAAGTTGCATTCAGTGTTAACTCCCATGACAGTGCAGGCTTTCATATGGTTTGATTTTGTCAACATTAAAACAAACACATCTACACATTTGTTCCACAGACAACAGGCAGGGCTGCACGATTTTCCCAAAACGAAACCACTGAAAACTATTTAATGTATGCTAAATAGTAGTAGTGTATGCAGCAATTCTTTGCTCCTAGTGGTTTGCGACAGCTTCGACACTTGTTTGACAGCTTAAGGATCAGCAAGCTCGCTGCAGTCAGTGAGAAAGGATGCTTCAGTTTATCACCAGCCACACACACTCGAGAATGGCACCCAGTTTTAGGATTAAAGGTTCCGACTCCAGCTTAATTGTGAAATTGTAACATAGCTGTAAAAGGCTTGAATGAATGTGAATATTTCAGTGTTGAAATTGTACGCTGTATAAAAACGCTGAAATTCATTGTCCATAATGTGTAGGCTTCTTGTTAATACATTTAATTTATGAAACAAATCCCCCCTTGATACTTTGAAAAGTCAGAGAACCATAATTTTTGACCAGGTGGCGCTCTCTGTGGCCCGGGAAGGGTGCACAATGGATGGCCACAAACGACCAGAGCATCCCCACTCAATACTTTAAAAAGTCAAAGAACCATAATTCCACAGAGTGGGGACTGTGTGTATTTTGAAAGGTCACTTGGTTGAATTTGCAATCCTGAATTATTACGATATGATACAATTTCTTGTCCCTTGAGGTCCCTTGTCTTGGACTCCAAGAGCTGCACAGATGAAGCTGCCAATTGATAACACAAAGTATGAGACCTAACAAAGACACAGTCACATAACCCAGGCATATTGTTTATTTTTATTGCACATGCCCATATTGCACAAGAATCTCACAGAAATGGTTACAAGAAACATACTGACAATGTAAACTGATAAGATAACATCATGACATTATTGTACAATCCGGCTACATTTTCAGGAAACATAAATTGAACACCTAATTGAGGTGGGCATGAATGACTTTTTAAAACGGTTCCTGTCTGTTCAGAAAAATTTCCCATTAATGCAGAGTTTTTATTTGTTTGTTAGTCAGCTAATACTCAAAGAAAAAGAACACTTTCACTGGCCGTTCATATTTCAAGTTTGTGTGTTTTCTGTAGGTGCTGAAGTTGGATGTCTAACAATCTGATCTTTCTTTCTTTTCTACCCAAATCAGTTATTTAGCTACTGTAGCTCCTGAAAGACCATATAACATGCAAAATAACAGAGTTAGAGAATGGAATCAAAATTACAAATAATCACAATCAACCATCAAAACTTTGCTATTAATTACAATCTGAATTTAATTTGTTTTTCTATATTTATTCATCTGTAAGGCACCATTCAATGCCCTTTCCTCTGAAGGTGGAAAATACAGATACAACTAATGTGGACAAGGATGCTCTTCTTATCAGACGGTTAGTAAAATATGTTTACATCATCTGTATGTTTTTGGATACTAAAAGTGTTTACATCATTAACTGTTAAAATAGTTCTGTCCAAGTGTGACCCTTCTCTCTTCAAATAAAAAAGCGTAAGACTTCTAACTTTACCTTCAAAACAAACACTTTGTTTAATTTAACAGAGTTTCAATAACATCTGTGGCTTCATGACCCTCAACTTTTTTAAATATTTGAAATTAGGCAGCTTGAGATTCAGTCTGTTTTTACACCAATGAAGTAAAACCGTTTGTCACTTATTTCTTAATGCAGGGACGGTAAAGAGGAAAAGGAGGAAGAGGAGGAGGAGAAAGCTGAGTCAGATGACTTGGGTTCAAACCTGTAAGTCTAATCTGTTCAGGTCAAAAAGATTTTTTTTTTAACTTGTTTTCTTTGGTACAGACAAAGACAGATTACACATAAACAAAAAACACTGTTTTCTCTGTATTTGGGACAGTTTTAGATGTTTGATTTATTTTGGACATCATAGGGGAGAAGTAGATATGAGGTTATTAAAGCAACTTTCTTAACACTGTGGGGGCCCTGCCCCCTTTATTAAAACACAGGGCCTTAATGCACAGAAGCAACAGAGCTGATTCCCACACAATTCCCTTCCTCTGTTCACTAGGGTTAGGCAAAAAGGGTCCATGTTCGACAGAGAGAGGTTGATGCTCGTGAGAGAGAGGTTGATGTTCGAGAGAGAGAGGTTAATGTTCGACAGAGAGAAGTTCATGTCGTCCAGAGAGAGGTTTGTGTTTGTCATTTTTTAAGTTGCTTTCATTGTCAGCTCCGATGTACACACAGGTTTCCCTATATGGTATTATTTTGTCAACATTAAAACACACACACATGTGTGCTATAGACGTAACGTCCATGAATGTCTGATTATGTTTAATGAGTCTCATCAGTGTGTTCACACAGGTGTCCTGTAATTTCTGCAAATGTAATTATCAGTTTCTTCTAAGAAAAAGTACAACATTTTCACTGGTCTTTTATATTTCAAGTTTGTGTGTTTTCTGTAGATGCTGAAGTTGGATGTCTAACAATCTGATCTTTCTCATTTTTCTACCCAAATCAGTGATTCAGCTGCTCCAGCTCCTGAAAGACCAAGTTCAAAAGAGCAAGGTTTTGATTTCAAAGGAACCTCCACATCTATGTAAGCTATTTTAGATATCACTGCAGTAACACAGTTTGTTGACAAACTTCTCAGCGAGGGTTAAAAAGACGACCATGTGATCATGAAATAAAGTCATGTTAAGGAATTGTCATGCTGCTCCAGAGAGTCCAGATCTCTAGTTTTTTTTTTCTGTTAACCCTGGTCCACCACCTCTTGTCACCTTCAGCCTCCATGAAAGTTTAGTTTCATCTTTAAAGTGTTTAGAGCTTTGAACCCTGTTACAATGATCTGTTCTCTAATTGGGTACAAATCCAGTGTAATTCAAGGACAAAGCCTTTTCTCCTGGTATGTTTGAATAACTTTTAAATGTGCGACACTGCAGATTTTAGATCCAGTGTAAGATTTCAAACCATCTTTGTGTTTGCTCTTGATATTTAACCCCTCACTGAAGAAGAATCACCATAACAGTGTATCTCTTATTACAGGGATGACAAGACTTTCCTCAAGCTGTGGCCTTATATAAAATCTGAAGAGGAATCGCACTACTCCTCAGCCTACAGGTGGGTGAAATGTTTTTACAATAGAATTTTTTTCCCAGACTCTTTTTTGTATTTTTTGATTTCATGGATCACAAATCACAGGTGCAGGTTTTGATAATTCCTTGGATTAGCCCCAAGTGTCAATCATAGAGAACATAAGCCCTGTGTAACATGGTTGAATCCTGGAATGCCCGCCTCCTGGCTGCTGGTGTTGATGTAATTGTGTCCTCGGAGATAGCTGGTCATTTTGCCACCACCAAGAAGAAAATCTTCCTTTTTACATTAAGAGGGGCAAATGCTCTGAACTGGTTGATGTTACAGAATCCTGTAATCCTGGTTTAGGTCTATTGGTCTCATCAGCTTCCACTGGAGTTTTAGCACCATTGGGCATCTCTTGTATGCCCTGTAGGGCACACAATTTGGACCTAGAGCTGAGGCAGATTGTTGCTTTGTCTACCACCTGCCTGATCTTAGCCCACTAAGTGGTGCGGTGTGAGACTGAGATTCAGGCTCAGTGGGGTGAGGCACATATCCTGGCAAACCAAGTGAGATGTTCTTCTCATGGTCACCTAGCTGGTTCCTCAAGCTTCTGTACAGTGACTTCTAGCTTGACCCTTTTCTTCCCCTGTAGTAGGCTCTTGGCAAACTGAGCCGGTCCCAGAAAAACCTTGCTCTCTCTTTCCCTTTCTTTTTTTTTCTGTCTCTGGATCCGCTCAGCCCTCTTTAAGGTTGAAAGCCTGTCTCTGGTCTGTACCGAGATTTTTGTGTTTGCTCTTGATTTTTAACCCCTCACTGAAGAAGAAGCACCAAAACAGTGTATCTCTTATTACAGGGACGACAAGACTGACCTCCGGCTGAGGCCTCCTGTAAAATCTGAAGAGGAATCGCACTACTCCTCAGCCTACAGGTGGGTGAAGTGTTTTCACAGTATAAATTCTCTTCAAGACAGTTTTGAAGTAGTTTTTGAACACTGTTAATACATGGATCACAAATCACAGAAGCAGAATGCTTTGATTAGCCCCCTCTCTGTAAAACCTGATCTAAAACATGGATGTATCTCTGCAGTCGGGTTTGTATCAAGGCTATCAGCTTTAGCATTTTAATAGTTTTGTAGCTAAAGTCAAAATCTAATGAATGAACTCTTCACAGCAGTCTCCTCCCCCTGAGTCATGCTGTCAGACCTCATTGGTGCAGCAGTTCGACATGTATTTGAATATTAAATGTAAAAGTCAAGATCATACAGTACAGCTAATTGCATTTATTTAAAGGACCTGGTGAGAATTGCTTCACATATGTAATACAAATGTAAACACTGTTTGAAATGCAAAATAACAGAGCTGTAGACATGGAATAAAAATTAAGATTAAGCACAAGCAAACATTAAAACTCTGCTTTTAATGACAATCTGAATTTGATTTTTTTTCTGTATTTATTCCTTTGTCAGGCCCCACTCAATGTCCTTTCCTCTGAAGACAGAAAACACAGATACAACTGATGGGGACAGAGACGTTATTCTCATCAGGCAGTTCGTAAAACGTGTTTACTTCATCTGTATATTTTTGGATTTTAAAGCTGTTTACGTCATTAACTGTTAAAATAATTTTGTCAAAGTGTGACCCTTCTTTCTTCAAATGAAAAGATTTAAATTTTTCTAACTTTACCTTTTAAACAAACACTTTTTTTTTCAATTCAACAGAGTATCAATGGCATCTGTTGCTTCATTAGACCTACTTTTTTACATAACAGTGTATCTCTTATTACAGGGACGACAAGACTGACCCCCGACTGAGGCCTTCTGTAAAATCTGAAGAGGAATCGCACTACTCCTCAGCCTACAGGTGAGTGAAATGTTTTTACAGTATAAATTCTCTTTCAGACAGTCAGACCTCATTGGTGCAGCAATGCGACATTTATTTGAATATTAAATCTAAAAGTCAAGATCATACAGTACAGCTGATTGCAATTATTTAAAGGACCTGCTAAGAACTGCTTCACATATGTAATACAAATGTAAACACTGTTTGAAATGCAAAATAACAGACATGGAATAAAAAAATATGACCAATCACAATTAACCATCAAAACTCTGATAACTGCAATTTAATTAGTTTTTTTTATATTCATTCCTTTGTCAGGCACCACCCAATGTCCTTTCCTCTGAAGGTGGAGAGACAGGAAGGTTCTCATCATCAGACGGTTAGTAAAACATGTTTACATCATCTGTATATTTTTGGACGCTGAAGCTGTTTACGTCATTGACTGTTGAAATAGTTTTTCTTCAAATAAAAAAGCTTTAAACCTCTAACCTCTAAATTCACCTGAGTATCAACAACATCTGATGCTACATGACACTCACTTTTTACATATTTTAAAATGTCTGTTTTTACACTAATAAAGTAAAACCGTTTGTCCCTTTTTTCTTAATGCAGGGACGATAAAGGGGTAAGGAAGGAGGGAAAAGCTGTGGTAGATCACTGGGGTTTAATTCTGCCCCTGGAAGTCACATCTGTTTTAAGAAGGTTTTAAGAATGTTTTTCCGTTTTTCCGTTTAAACCTGAGTAAAATGTCAATCTTTTAATGGTTTCTGAGGAAGAAAAGTGTTGCTGTTTAGTCTCATCATTTCACTCACTGATATATTCATCTGCCAAACCTACCATAGAAGCATTTAAAAATTATTGTTATTCTTTATTATTTGCAAAATGTCTAATGTCCACAATACATGACTTGATGTGTGCTTGTACCTGCTCTTTATGTTTACCTGTATTCAATGTGATTTTGTTTCATTTTAGACATTTTTTATTTGTCAAAGTTACAGAAAATAAAATGCAATGTATTTGTAGTGTTGTTTAATTCTTTTGGAAAGAGTGTATCTTTGTTCATAGACATGTATATTTCCTCACACTGTTACTAAAATCAATATCACTCATAATTTCGGACGTGTACCAAACTTTCACATAACAAACATCCAGATATTTTTCAAGAATAACCATTTCTCAGTCGAGCAGGCTACAACACGTCACCAAATCTCATCTGAAAAACCATCAGTCTGGAGTGATTTAATCTGACTTTGTGTTTGCCATTTAAGAGCCTGTCTTTGGTTTTTGGGGTTTGTTTTTACAGTGAGTGATAACTTGACCCTAGAGACAAATGTAAAATGATTTTAAAAAATACTTAAAGCTAATTAAGTAATTAAAACTTAAAGACATCCTAAGAACTGTATATGTGAAGTATGTTCCTCTTTATTTCATCTTTATTTACAGTTTACTTGATCAGCTGTACATCTTTTTCTCTCTGGAAAATTTAATGAGAAGAATGGAGAAAAACTTGTCTTTCCAGTGAGAGTTTGCTGAAATTGAAACGTCACTTCATTTTGATTGTTGTGTGCATGTTGGACACACACACACACACACACCAGTGACACCAAGTATGTTAATGAACTGGATCGAATTCATATCCAATTAACTGGATATGAACTCTACACAGACTGCTTGTTTGCAGTTTACAGTTGTAGAAACACAGAAGAGGACCTCCCACAAAAATTGTAAGTTAAACTTGTTTATACCATAACAATTATTTTAAACTTATTTAACTTGTAAATTATTGTTATGATGTAAACAAGTTAAGCTCAAAAGCTCAACTGAAGGATGGAGTTTCAGGGCCACATTTAAGACAGAAAATTGTATTATGATTACAACAGGTGGTATTTTTTCCCCTTCTGTTTGGTCAAATCACTTTAGGAAACAGATTTTCCAAGTGGGTTCACATATCCCATAGCATGCAGGCCCCTGTAGTCCAGCAGAGTCTGCACATTGATTTTCTGATAGTTCACCACCTTTCCTCCTCTCTCATTTCTTGACATGAGGAAACTTATCACTACATCAAGTCAATCATAGTTTTGTTTCTAACTAGTGTATCTTTATATATTTCAAGATGTTGTTCATCCCTGAAAACCAACAGAATGAATGTAAACATAACTGACTTGATAATATAGCATGCCAAAAAGAGGTCTCCTATGGTCAACTTACCCCGTGTATGGGGTAAGTTGAGCCGTATCCCTACTATCCCCCACTCTCCAACCCAGCCCTCCCTCACCTTCTCTCTCCCTAAATAACAGTCACTTCTTCACATTCATGTGTATTTTTATCTATTATACACTTTTCAACTGGAAAAATTATTTTTATTATTATTATTGCATTTAACTGCTAAAAAGCTGTTTTAGTAAAAAGCCATTTTAACATGAGAATGTCTTTAAGTGATTCAAAACATTCACAGCTGTACCAAGGATGGAGGGAAAGATGACAGGGCTTGAACCAGGGGTTGTTACTGCTGCACCTAGACCAACGACTCACGAGCTACAGCCGAGAAAGAGGGAGTGATTAACTGCTTCAGGATCTCACCACCACCGGAGGAGGAAGGTAAGCGGAGGGCCGGTGTTCTGCCATAGAATGCAACCCTGACGGGAGCGCGGTTGAACGTACACAACAAGGTGAAATAATCCAAGTTTTCCTTACCGTTGGATGGATTTAATAGTGTGTGCCTTTATTATTTCATTCGGGATATTCAGATAAGCCAAAAACAATCGCCCTCTGATTCTGAATATTTGCTGTCCTGAAAATATAACGTTCTCTACCTTGACAGCTCACTAAACAGTTTATATACCCAAGTACACTTCATTTTGGAAAAAGCTGCAGTTCCTTGAGTCCCCACTAGAGGCTGTTTCAGAAAGAAAACAAAGACCTGATACAGCACATAATAAAATACCCAATCTTCACAGCAGGGATTAACACATAGCTGTCAAGTATCCTGTTTTATCAGGAACTGCCGTATTTTACCCCTCTTTCCTGCCGTCTTCCCGTATTAGTATTCTCCTGGAAATCTCCATTATTATTTAATATGTATATAAAAAAAACATCCTGCCTCTCCAAAATGAACTCTGTGACTAGCGCTTGTTAAGTACCCTCCAACTAGTAGTAGTGAGTTGTCATCTGTGAATCACACAGACGATAAACTAACCCGATAATTTCCCTTATTAACAGAACAAAAACTTGACAGGTATGGATTGACATGTTTACAGCTATTTCAATGTAAATCAATGATATTTTTTTAATAAAATTTTAGAAAGAGGTGAATTTTTGTGTACTGTAAATCCCCTAAAATAAGATAAGATATTCCTTTATTAGTCCCACAGGGGGAAATTCCAAATATATGGGCCGGGTCCTGTGTTTGCCTCTGCTCTCCAGGATACCAGGCCTTTAAACGAAGCAGGTTTGTATTATAGGCGGGCCTTTCTTTTATCTTCTCTGAGTCTGAGAACTGTAATTGTTCATATTAAAGTACAAAGTCGGAGCCTTGTTAACAAAAGACTTGCACGGCTTTTGAGTGAATGAGTGAAAAAGACATGAAGCACACGCCCACTTTATTTCCAAAATCACTCTCCTGCTGTATCAATGAAGACCCCAAACTAGAAACTAAGACCATAAAAAAACAGACAAAGCTTAAATGAGGTCAGGTTGTTCCTCTCATGTGTTTCCAGTTAGTCATTTTTTGTAAAAAGGAGTCTCCCCCTGCTGGCCATGGAAAAGAAGGACAGGTTATAGGCGTCTCACTTTTGAATCTTAAAAGGAAACATCCACTGCTGATCCAGATCAAGTTGCTGTTTTCATAAATTTCCAGCTAAAAAAATATGTACATTGTTTATTTTGAAGAAATTGCACTCGTGTTTACTTTTCTTCTGTTTACTTTGGTGAGAGTAAGTTCTGAAGTTTCTGAAATATATTTACCTTTTCATTGTGAGAAGAGCACAAAATATTTAAAAAAGAAAATTTAACTAGAATGGAACTGTGCTACTCACCTTTTTAATGTCTTATTGCTGTAATCTGAATTTAATATGATTTTGTTTCATTTTATTCATTTTTTATTTGTCAAAGTTACAGAAAAGAAAATGTAATTTATTTGTGGTGTTGTTTAATTCTTTCGTAAAGAGTGTATCTTTGTTCGCAGACATGTATATTTTTCTTGTTCTGTTATAAAAGCATCTTAATGAACTATGCGACTGTCTTAATCTCGTTGATATCCCTGGGTCATTTCATTTTATTCAAGTCTATTAGGTGCTGGGTTTACACCAGCTGTTTTTGTCGCCATATCAAGTTCATCATCTGGTTTCATCTTGATATACTCGTGTCATATCTTGTTTGAACCAAACCCCATAAAGACCAAAGTCCTCTAAGATATTAAAGATTGTGAGAGGCTTTACTTTTCACGTTTCCTCAGCAGAGACGCTGTGTTTCTCGCAGACAGGTAATACAGCTTTGCATTTATAAAACTTAATCATAACAAAATCTTTTGTATAGGATCTGTGTATCAGAGCTGAGTTTTTTGGTCTTCATATGTACCTGAAATGATCATATTATGACTTCTCTGTAAGTTTGGGTTTGGGTTTACCAGCTGAATAGTTTCGTTTGTCTTTCTCTTGTGACGCAGTTTTTTTCCCACCATCTTAAACTATTTTTAACAGGAGTTAGTATATCCAAAAACATCCTTTGGTGTAACCTGTTTGTAGTTAAATCTCGAAATCAAACACTGGAGATGACATTGATAAAAAACAATCATATTAGATAACAACACAAGGGTATACAATGACTGGAATTTACAAAAGACACAAAGGCTTTTCTTATTTTCAGATTTGTATGGATTGTTGAACAGATCTCATAAAATCTATCATTTGAGAGTGTTGTAAAATGTCTTGCTTGCCCCAAGGTTCTTTTCCTTATTGCTTTACAACAAAAAACAGGAAGAAGAGTTTTGTATCAAAGTGCAAGGTAATTTTTTATAACTACAGACCAATCATGGATTTTTCAGACTGTAGCAAGATTCAAGGATTTTGAATTGGATTAGCAATGATGTTGAAAAGTCAGAATTCTTCCCTTCGTTTACTTTCCTCTGGTACATGAACTTTAGAATTTTAAGAGCAGAGTGGGAAGTCCTTGATTTGTCCATTTTCCACTCTCATCATCTATGGAGGAGACATAATCACTCTAACTAACAAGACCTGAGGCAGTAAAAGCTACACTGAAACTTGGAACAGAGGGTGTTGTGTCAGGGGAGAGGAGTAGGTTTTAGGACTACCACATCAATTAAGTTTACACCACCTACACAGAAACCATGACGACATGACTCAGCTCTTTACTATCCGGTCATCTCCTGGTTGACGTACTTGGATGTGCGTCCAACAATGAAAACACTGTCACATGGACAGCTCTGTAGTGTTAGTAAGATATGAAAGTTTTGTCTTTTCTTACGTCCTTTCTTATGTCTGCAGGGGTCTCATGTACTATCCATGTCTGTGCAATTCAACTTCTGGGTTAAATGTGAATAAGTTTGAAAGAAATGCTCTTTGTTAGGATAGGAGTTGGACTAAATGAGACTCTAAAAGTGTTTTGTAATTGTTATTTTCTATTTAATGATAAAGAAGAATGAAGATAGTCAATATCTTGTTGCAGGAATGACTTGAACTACCCCTTTTAGAAGATGGAAGCGAGGATGATGGGGCTCGATGACAGGTTGTGGAGCCGGGTAGTAGGGCTTGAACAGAGGATGGAGGGGTTTGAGCAAAGGATGTGGAGCAGACTAGCGGGACTTGAACAGAGGATGGAGGGGAAAATGCTGCGGTTTGAACTCGGGATTGCGAATAGAATTAAAGAGCTTGAATTTCAGATGGAGTGGATGATGGGACAGATTAAACTGGGGTATGGAGAGAATGCAAAGATGCCTGAGCATAGGCCGGAGGAAAGGATAAAGGGGTTTGAACCAGGTAATAAGGAGAGGATGAGGGAGCCTGTACCAAGGATGGAGGGAAAGACCGCAGGGTTTGAACCAGGGTTTGAAGAATGGATGAAGGAGTTTGAACAAAGGGTGGAAGAAAGAATGAAGGGGTTTGAACCAGGGAATAAGGACAGAAAGAAGGAGCTTGAACAAAGGGTGGAGAGAAAGAAGAAACCAGGGATTGAAGAGAGGATGGAGGAGTTTATGGAAAGGATAGAGGAAAAGATAAGTGCGTTTGAACAGAAGATGCAAGAGACAAAGAGTCTTCGCCCAGCTGATTCAGACTACTTCTCAGATGCTTCGTGAGTAAAATCTGTTTTTATCCTTCTATCAGTCTAATTAACATTTCTATGATCTGAAGTTATAGAAGCTTTTTCACAGCATAGTGTCTTTGGCCTGAATCACCTTTTCAAATATTAGAATATTGTGGAAAAGTCCAGTTTCTTGTCAATTATTTTAGTCCTGAAAAGAGCTCTTATCAGTGAATTAACTTTGAACACCTGCAAAGGTTTATTCAGCATTTATTCTCTCACTCTGGTTCACTTAATACAACGGGGTATTACTGGGATTGATTGTCTAGCCAACTGCCCTGACCTGGGATTGTGGACTGAGGATTTATGATCACTGTAAACCGTAAATATTTCAAGTTTTTTCAGTTGCACCTTTAATCTCTAACAACCTTTTCCTCTCTTTTTACCCAACTCAAACGCCTGCAGCATGTGCTCACAAGGATCCACTTATACCACAAAAAGTGATGACTCAAAAAAGAAAATATACAATTTGGGGTATGAGTTTACAAACAATTATGAGTACTCATATAAACACAGATATACACCCCTAATAGTAATAATCAAAGTGTCTTAACTGTGTTTCCCTTCTTGCAGAAAAAAGCAACACATGACTGCAGAGGAAGCGAAGAAAAAATCTAAAAGGTAAGAAGCCGCTGTTACTCCTGAGCCCTCACACAGCTGATGAGTGAAACGTGTGCACCACTTACTTTTTGTTTTCCAGTAAAGACAATCAGAATCACCTTTGCCGTCACTATATTGTATGGAGTTTACAGATGAATTAACTAACCTGCTCCCAAAGATGGCAGAAAATAGATTGTGACAGCTTGCCAATCATTCTAAAACTGTTGTTTCAATTACAGCACAAATACTGTCTGTGCTGCCATCTAGTGGTGAAAAGGAAACAGTAGACTCATCTGTAGGATCCTGAAAAAAACATTTAACAGTTCAGCAGGGTTTTAAAAATACTCACATTTACATACCTGAAACATGGGACAACAAGAGTAAACAACCACAATTGGTCAGGCTCGAACCAGAAAAGAAGATCTGAATGTCAACGGTCACGTAGCTGTGACTTAAGGCAGTAACTCACTACAGGAAAATTATTCATTTCTGAGATATTAAAATCATTTTTTTTATTTTTTGGGAATTTAGCCTTAAGTTATATAAAGTTTTTGGGGCCAATCAGCTTACATTTTGCTACTTTGTTGTTTCTTTTTCCAGTTGTTACCGTGTTTTGATGATTAACTTTTATAAATTTCTCTTCTTTCTGGCATATTCACCGACTACAGCCAGGAATCAGGTTCATCTGGTTCGCCCTCTCCGAGTGAGGGGTCAAAGATCGAATAATGAAGTCCAAAATGATGAAAAAAAGATCCTTCTCTACAAGTAAGTATTCATGAAAATCACTTCATTCATTTGGTGTAGTTATATATAACTTGAGGAAAATGCGGAAAACTTGCGGAATTGTTAATGCTGTAGCTGGTGGGCGCATTTAAACACATGGATCTGAGAACTGGTTGATGATTAATAGAGCACATACAGGAGTTACAGGTAAATGGAGAGATGGATGGAGTAGACGACAAGAGTAAAGTGTGGCTAAATGGTGCAATAAATAAATGAAACAATAGCAGCCTGTGGTGTGGTGCTGCTGTTTAATAATGGAGACAGGAGTTTAATTTCCAGGCTGTCCTCGCCTTTCCCAAGTCTTTAGACTCATTATTTTTGTGTTTGTTATTTTCCACCAAACATCTGGGGAATTTTTAGTACGACAAGGATTATACCAAGAAACTATAAATAATTAAACCTTCATTAATACACAGAATTAAATATATTAAAAGTAAGCAAATATCACCAAAAACAGCCTAAAAGTGGAAAAAGTAGGTAGGTAGTCATGGACGAAGTAGTTGTATGAGTAGATGTAGGGTTGTGATAGTATTAACAATGAAGAGGTGCTATGATTACTACTACTCCTTTAACTAATACTAATAATAATGATAATAAAAATAATGTGGCAAGAAGGAAAATGACTCCTGAAAAAAACTTTTCCTTTCAATTTTCAACAAAATCTTTATTTGTTTTTTCTTTTACTCCCGTCAGTTGCCATGTACCTGGGGATCAAAAAGGGGGAAATAAAGATGATAAACTCTGCTCCCTCAGATTCACTTGGAGTATGAGGACCACCAGCACCATGGAGCCTGGCCACATCATACAGAAAATACCGAATGCCCTGTCCTTCCCTCGACAGCGTCAGGTTCAAATGGATATCTGGATCATTCATCACTTTCAAGAACAAATTCTGTTGAGCACAATAACCACTCTCTTCTTCTCTGTCTTCTGGCGGCTGTATTTTGTCTCTTTTACTGTTCAGATAAAAAAGAATACTCATCTCTTGAGAAAACACATCTGCACTTAGTTTAGGATGATAACAGTTCCCTTCTTCTTCTGAGACACTTTTTGACTCAGCTCTTTCTGCCTTCACTAGTTTATCTGTACATTATCTGTATATTATCTGAAATAACTCTGTTTTTATTGAAATTGACAAATCAAATCAGTTACTTTTTTAAGATGATTTCATACATAAGCTTTTGTGTTTTGTAGTTTTTTTTATCTAATAAATCTAAGATATTATCACACACTGTCCTGTTTCAAATCAAAATTTCATCAAAACTATTAATACTACTGTTTTTTGTTTTGTCATGTCTTCTTTTTTTCAAGGTTTATTTACTGTAAAGTAGTGTGAATTTGGACCTGTTATTCTTAGAAGAAATACTGTATATTTCAGTCAGTAAATCAAACAGTTTGACTTGTAAGGATGTACGAAGTCCCACTTGCATACTGTACGGTCAGATCACTACATCAGGTTAATCATAGATGTGTCTCTAACTAGTGTTTCTGTGTTATTTTAAGATGTTGTGTATCCCTGCAAACCAACAGAATGAATGTAAACATAACTGACTTGATAATATAGCATGCCAAAAAGTGGTCTCCTATGGTCAACTTACCCCGTGTATGGGGTAAGTTGACCATAGGAGCAGGGTAAGTTGATCCGTATCTCTACAACCCCCCCATCCTCCACCTCAGCCCTCCCTCACCTTCTCTCTCCCTGAATAACAGTCACTTCTTCACATTCATGTGTATTTTTATCTGTTATACACTATTCAACTGGAAAATTTCTTTTTATTATTATTATTGCATGTAACTGCTAAAAACCTGTTTTGTAAAAAGCCATTTTAACATGAGAATGTCTTTAAGTGATTTAAAAAAATTCACAGCTGTATTTTTGAAAAGAAAAAGTTAAACATTTCAACAATCTGAACTGAAACTCTGATCCTCTCATCTAAGCTAAAATGGTGGACTTTTATGCTCAGTTTTTAACAGCATGTTGTAGCTCATAGATACCACAATTGATGTTTAAAACAAATTTAAAATGATCTTTTTTGGTCTGAACACAATTCTAATAAAACTTCACAAACTAAATTCACTTTTAAGAGTGAAAATTATTATTATTTTTTTAAAATAAATGTCTAACCTCTTCACCCATGTGCTTCTAACCTTCAAAGACTCCATGAATTGATGCCCATCTCCTTAATATTTGGTCACATGATCAATTTCTTTTACTATTTCCAAGTGACAGGGGGTGGCTCAACTTACCCCAAATCATGCTACATACTACAATATATAAGTTAAAACGTCTCAGGTTAATCTGAAATTGACTAAAATATGAATATGTCTGACCACCTTTTTTATTTTGCAGCTACTGTTCATTTATGAGATCCACGGCCTTGAGCGGAACTGTCCATTTAAAAGCAGCGACATACAAAGCGCCATTACGTAGGCGGGGGAGTCTCATAGCGGCGCCCCCCCTCATACGCTCACTTAAATTTAAAAAAAGAGACTATTTTACTTTCCTTTTCATCCCAAATACACCAAAATACTCTACTTCTGGTTAATATAGATAAAATATTCAAACAATACTCGAATTAAACCACATGCTGACAGCGCGCCACCCCTCCATCCCGACTTGGTCTCGCCCGTGTCTCCCTAGCATCAAACGCACATGTTGGGTGTGTTGTGCTGAGGATTGCAGCGATATTACAGCATTTAGCAAACCTCTGCGGACTGTCACGTTAGTGTGTGCTCTTTGCACACTGGTCATAATGTGATAAGCGTAAAAGTCAATGAAAATTTGTTTAAAAAAATCTGTTATTGTAAGAAAGACTCCGGGTAAAGAGGCTGACAGGCTAGCCGGTGTGACTGCAGGCTGCTACGGTGTGGACTCTACCTGACTGAAGGTATGTACACCGCCGCCATTCACCGCTTTATACGTGTTTCTAACTACCTGTGCGGCTGCCTCTTTTGTTGGACATTAATGACACTGTGAGGAACAGCGTTAAGTCAGTGTCGCCGGTTAGCAGCGCACCGTTAGCTTCCCAGCTGTCAATCAACGTGTGAGAGGTTCACGCGCTCCTGCAGCTGGACCAACGGCTCAGTTTAAATTCAAATTCATTAAAACTCAACTTTAAGAAAACACGGTTGATAGTTTATGTTTATTTCTTATCACATTATCTCAAAGGAGTGTCTTTATTTTGGAGAATTAAGGAGAAACGCTGAGTTGAGTGCCTGGTGCGGAGCAGTGCCACGTAGCTAGCCGGCGAACGGGAGCAGAGAGCCGGTGAGGTTTGTGCAAAATCACTGCTGAGTGATCCGGGGGGAGATACAGACAGGGGGTGCACTTCTTTATTTCATCCATTAAACACATCAGACCAGAGCCAGAGCGAGGATGACAATGCATAGTCTTGTTAGATTTGGTTTAAAATACAAAAGGGAGTCTGCTGGACCTTTTAAACCACAGTTGTAGACTTGTGAATCTTAAATTTTATCAGTGGAAATGCATAAAAAGGTCACTCACTTTGATTAGGCCAGGGATTTATGTTAAAGCGTCTATGGGGAGTTTTGAGAGGTTTATGAAATACAGTAAAATTTATAAAAACACAAAATTATTAAATAAAAACAAACAAGACCATTTTTGCTTGCTTCTCTAGTTATACTAACCTAAGTAATGACCACAGATAGCTATACAGATAGCCACATCAACCAAAACGCCACTCTATAGCCACAAATAATGCTCAGAACAGCACCTAACTTCATCAACAGGACATATAGGGTCATAGCCAAAGTACTAGCCACCAAACATCTTCTTAACTTTGCCTAATTTCTTAAGCAAAGAGACCAAACACAACTCACCTGCTCTCTTCCAGCATCCGCTTGTTTGTAGTGAGACCTCCGACCGCAGCGGGGTGATGCAGCTCAAGGAAGAACATTTATGATCATTTCTTCATGGAAATGTAATCAGACCGAGACGCTAAGGCAGAATAACAACTGCAGAGCTAAATGATGATTATTACTTTAAGGAAATGTTTAAGTAATGATCATAAAACAATATATAACATATAAGAACCACTTGATCCACAGGGGGCGCCAAAGTTTACACAAACTTTAATTTCCTCACAGGTGCTTTACACAGTGAAATCAGGCTTTTTTTTCATTTTCACAACTAGAATAAAGATTTTATAAGTTTGAAACTGTTTTAATAGGTCTTCAGCCTCTTTGGCATAATTTAGTCCACATCTGACAGGTCTAGATGTAGGGTTTTTTGGATTAAGACCCGGTTTTACAGTGAAGTCAGCCCCTTTTTTTGCATTCTCACAAAAAGGATAAAGATTTCATCAGACCAGATTTATGTTTTGAAGGGTCTGTAGCCCTTATGGGATTATCTAGTCCAGGTTTGACTTTGCTAGGTACAGTGGTTTTGGATCAGGACCAGAACCAGTGTGGTCTATGTGTAAAAAAAAAAGAATTAAATTAGCCGGAACAGTTTTATCAAAGGTTTTCTGAATCTGAAACTTAATTTTGAAAAGTCTGTAGCCTCTCTAGGATAATCTGGTCTACATCTGACTATTCTAGGTACAGAAGTTTCAGATCAGTATCTGGTTTTAACCCTCCCCTAACAGCAGAATTGGGGGCTAGGCCGATATCTTGGATAAATGGAGTCAGGAAAAATCCTGAACACTGGTGCCTCTGAGGAAACATGATGGCCTTTATCATTGTGTCTATGAGAGGCCAATATCTGATGATTGCACTGCCCTACAAATGTACTGGTCTGACTTTAAATAGGACTGAAACTAAGGATAAGGATCATTTTATGGGTTAAAATCAGGCCTTTAAATGGACTATTTCACCTAACCCACATTTAAATGTTTTTGTAGTTACTTTCTATATTAAATCTGACTTTTGAATCTTATAAAAGGATCTCGTAATAACCTTTTTTGTATTTATTAATTTACAGCATTTAAAGAAAGAGCCAACTCAGAGTGCTCTGAACAAGAGAAGTTAAAATTACATTTAAAGTATGACTCCGTGCACGTGATAATTTACTGATAACTTTGTGTTTTCCAATCAGGCTTTGAGGCTTGCTGCTGCGCGACACCAACACCATGAGCTCCAAGGTGTGCAAGAACTGCGGCGGCTCGGACATCGATGTGGACCATGCGCGAGGCGATGCCGTCTGTATGGGCTGTGGGTCCGTGCTGGAGGACAACATCATTGTGTCCGAGGTGGAGTTTGTGGAGTCGGGAGGCGGAGGGTCGCTGGCCGTCGGACAGTTTGTGTCATCAGAAGGTGAGACGGACAAAATCATTCACTCGTGCAAAACTATAGAAAGAGGTGGAGAGAGAGAGAGAGAGAGGATGTGATTGGATGACATGCATCAAATTACGTTGAGATGGGGAGTTGATCCAGCAGCCTTATATGTATCTGTTAAGTTTAAGTATCTGCTCCATCATCTCTGGCACACAGATGCCTCTGGGTCATTATTTACTCTTTTGTGGATTGTAGTGCTTTACCTCTGCCTGACAAAAGCTGCACCTGAGCACCCTAAAGCTGCAGCCCAACCAAATTAAACTGTGAGCTACTGGATAAAAAAAGAGACAAAAGGAGAAAAAGTTGAGTTTTTTTCAGCCTGCTCAATCTGCAGAATTTCCCCCCTGTGTTGTAGTTCCCCAGCCGTCCACCAGAGAGTGCTATCTGATTGCACCATAGCTCTACACGACTGTCTCTGCTGGGTAGATGTTTCATCCGCCACTTGTTTTGGTTAAAGGGATATTCAGGCGTAAAATTAGTTTAGGGTCAAACACATTGTAAAACAGAGTTAGACACCCTCTCGAGTGATGAATGTATCTGACCGCTTGCTTCTCAAGTTACCAACTTTAGTAACAACCGCATGATAGCAATACACAGCGATCTGAGGAGCCATAAACAAACCTCAACCAAAACGCCACTCTATAGCCACAAATAATGCTCAGAACAGCACCTAACTTCATCAACAGGACATATAGGGTCCCAGCCATAGTGCTA